TGTTGTCACACAAGGAAGCAGTGTGTTTGAGGTTTTCCTTATATACTTTTCTACAGTTGTGACTCCAGTTAACTCAAATGTTGTCAACATCTGAGCTTTTTCAGAGGCATAATAACTTATTGTATGTAAAATTGACTTTCACGAAAAGTTATAACAATTTCTCAAAAAAATAACTCTCTCATTATTCTGCTATTAAGCATAACAGAAACAAATTTGGTAATCCTAAATTACCTAAAAGAGAAAAAAAGTTTGGTCATATTAACATCTGACATTTGCCTTTTTATACAGTGTATGTAAACTTCTGGTTTCAACTGTAATTAGCGATCTCCAGAAATGTATATAGTGCTACATTTTCATAATGAGCTTATGTTGTGAAAATGCATTCATGTAAATGCACTTAATGCAGCCTCAAGCAAAATCCAAAATATTTGTCCAAACGTCTATTTTCAACAGCTTCCAGAGGTAGTCAAAAATGCATTTGAATGCAGTGCACATGGTATAGCTCATTCACATACTTTCTATCCAATTGCTTTACTTCTTTGTAAGCAACATTTTTTTGTCAAAAGTGATGTAGACTGTAGCTATGTTTTTATCCAAAGATGTGAATTAAATTTATTCGCAAAACTGGAATATCGAATAAAAAACATGTGAATAAACCAGCGTTTACATCCAATGACTAAAAGAGAAAATATCTGCCGCCAACTATCAAAAGTAAAAACAGTATTTGCTGTGGTACGAGAAACTGCAAGAATCTTTTCTTTATTTAATAAATGAATTGAACTGTCATGTTGTTTTAGAATGACAAAAACAACATTTCAGATGTTTTACAGCGCTCAGCCTGCTGGTTTGTCCATTCACACACATTTTTAATCATCACATCATCTCTTATAACAAAATCACATGACCGTTTTTAATACGCATACTGGAATTTGTTCAGTAAAAGTTTTTCGTGGTTTATGTGCATTTTTTCTAATCAAATAAAAAGTTTATTGAACTCGGTTATGCTCATTTTCGAAATGTATGTGCATATTGGTGTTTCTATCAACCGTCTTTTTATGCGCATATCCAAAACGCCGTAAAAAAAAATAGGTGGATGTAAACCTAGTTAATGAAAAATAAGGAAGTTTCTTGACAAAATCTGAATTCATGTTAACACCAGGTTGAATTGATATTATTTTATTGGCTGACCACTTGTGATTCAATCACTGAAAATGCCAATGTTAGAAATTCATAACTTTTTGATTTAGTGGCTAATTTGTATGAAATCATACAATCTTATTCACACAGTTTAGTATGATTTCCTCATCCCGCAATAACGGTTGGGTTTAGGAGTGGGTTTGGTGCCACGTTTTTGTGCGACTGAACTCGTAGGAATTAGCAACTAAACTGACAAAACGTAAAATAGTTAGGTTTTTTCCTGAGATCAGGCTGAAAAATGCACGTTCATACAAAGTGCCCAGATTCACTCAATCATTTTGTCCTCTCCTAACCCACCAGCACTAACATTTTTGTGGCAAGAAATATTAAATGAGTGAAGCAAATTTCGGGCCCGTTTTCCCCACCTGATGCAGCTGCATAAGGAATCAATGTGGTCTGCAATGCAGAATTATTTCTCTCCTCCTTTGGGAGTTTGTTGTTTTTGGAAGGGTAAAAGAAAGGGAGCACCCCACGCCTCCTCCGAGCTGTTTCCTCCTCTTAATTTTTCTCCATCTCAAAGGGCCCGAGAGCGGGAGAGGGAGAAATGGAGGTTGCACCTATAAAACACCAGGGCCGGATGAGGAATGGCCTCCTCCACACTGAGGGAGGGTGCAGTCCCAGAGCTGCTGCTCTCTCTTGTGGGAAGTGCTCTATAAATCTCTGCTCTCTTATCCGGCTGGTCTATTGATAAGCCCTGCACTGCTGGGGAACAAGAAAAGACCTCGAGAGGGGAGGAGAAAAGAGGTACCAGAGGGGGAGTTGGGAAGGGGGGTTAGGAAAACATCTTGCACATGAATCGCTTTTTTTCTTTTATATTAAAAGGTTGAGATCAAAGTTATCTTGTTCTCCATTTTCGGGGAGACATTTAACAAAGCTGACAGGCGTATGACATGCTATACTTAATCTAAACCAATATGAACTCTTAGCGGCGCATTATTATTATTACTCACGGTTAAGGGTTTGCTCAAATCCCTAACCTTGCGTGGGGCGTAACTCGCACGGTTGGTGCCACGAACAAGAATGATACTCCAAATCGAAGCATGCAATTGCTTTTCAAAGTGACTGAAGCTCTTAAATCTGTGCGAATCCTCTCTGTCCAAACTATTGTTTCATGGAGATTTATAGAGATGCCTAAAGCAAGCTCAGGAGAGCTTGGGCAGAGTCCCAAAGCAGCACTGGTCACCCGTCATCAGACGCTAGGGAGCAGGCTAAATCTGTTTTTACATATCCAAGCAGAGTCGTACGTGTTGTAGCAAGGACACTGCAGTTCAAGGGAAGCATACTGGCGCACATACATTGGCGTAGTACATCAGGCCTGCTCCACAATCACTTCAGCTTGATGAAGAGCCTCTACAGGAGTCTGTATTAATGGCGATGTGACGGACTGAGGCAGGGCAGACAAGCAGACGCACTCAAGTGAAATTGAAAGAGCACTTGACATTGGTCTGACACAGATATTTTGAAGATCAGAGGGGATAACGACAGGCCACTTTTACAAGACACCTGAGAAGTGGAAACACCCAATGTTGTAATACCAAAGACTATAATATTGATAATAACTCCTTACATTTATCCGCTTGTTAAGTGTGACGTCATGCGAAGCGGCTTCCGGGTCCAAGCGCTCTATTCAACTGTATGGGGAGACTCATGAAATGGTAATAATTAACGTTTACAAAGCCATTTAATATCGCAATATGTCCATGCCTAATATCCAATGGCCAGAAAGTGATAAATTTTTTTATAAATTGTTAAAATTTTGGTATTTGTTATGCAGCAAGCCCAGAGATTGTTGTGTATACTATGACTTTAAATAAAATTAACTTTAACGTGTGATATGAATAAAAAGTGATCATAAACAAATAATTTCTCAACTCGAGTGGCTCAAAGCACTTTACACATTGGCGAGAATCTCCTCATCAACCACCAGTGTGCAGCATCCACCTGGATGCCACGGCAGCAGTCATATTGCGCCAGACCGCACACCACAAACCAGCTGATTGGTGGAGAGGAGACAGAGTGATGAAGCCAGTCATAATATGGGGATGGTTAGGAGGCCATGATGGACTGAGGCAAGTGGGCAAATTTGGGCAGGATGCTGGGATTAAACCCCTACTCTTTTTCGAACAACATCCTGGGATTTTTACAACAACAAAGAGTCAGAACCTCGGTTTAACGTCTCATCTGAAAGACGGTGCTCACTGAGCAGTATAGAGTCCCAATCAATATACTGTGGTGTTAGGACCCACACAAAGCACAGGTTAAGTGCCCTCTGCTGGTCTCACTAACACCACATGGGAAAGCTAGGTTTCTGCCGGAAGTGGTCTCCCATCTAGGTACCGACCGGGCACAGACCTGCTTAGCTTCAGTGGGCGACTATTAAATACACAAGACATGTCACTTGTGTAGTTTTGAAAGGGGGAAAGTGTAACGATCGATATGGTGAATGAAGTCCCACCTACTAGTACGTGAGCCAATCATCGATCGCTATAGACTGACGTTTCTCTGAGGGGAATCTCGGATCAGACATTTGCTTTTACGGCAGTGTAGTGGTCAACAAACCCACTGGAATCTCTGTGAATGCTTGCTTCACAGACAATAAGAAATATATCCACATAAAGCTTGAAATCTGTACTTTTAAACGAACCAAGTGCACTTGATAACAAAAGTTTTCTGGTTTTGTAATTTGTATGAAATGAACGTGAGGTACAGTCAGTCCTGTCATCAGATGTCCTATCACATGACAGCAACTACTCAAACGTCTCAGAAACTTGAAAACAAAGAGTCGTTGTCATTTCTGGAGGAGATCTGCGATGAAGACTAAGTTGTGAATTACTTTAGAAGACCAGTGTACTCTGACGAAGCATTATCCAGAGGATGATAATGTGTTTATCGGCCATAAATGAGGTTGGTGTCGTGATCTCGTTCCTTTCAAGTGCGCATGCGCATTAGCTTGGGCAACATGAAAATAATGCCAATTTGCATGATTTGAACATTTAGAAACTAAATTTATAAGATGAAATTTTGTTTAATTTATTGGTGATTCCAAATATGTAATGTGATCGTAAGCTTGGCTAACAGTTTTGGAGAATTTGATGTTTCCCCATTCAGACAAAATGCCCAAGCATACTGCCTGAGAGATGTTTCAAAGATGACTTGCCTTAAAGGGACTTTGGTAATACTTACAAATCATATCGTGTATTGGTCAAAAAATCTGTTATTGGTCAAGTTTCCATCCACCTATTTTTATGACATATAGAATAATATATAGCAAGTGACGATTTTATATTCTTTGACTCATTAAATGGTAAATTTTATAATAGTGCTTTATTCGCAAATGTTTTATAAGATATTCCAACGCAATTTCATGGCAATTCGTAACTTTTTTTGATTTAGTGTCTAATTCGTATGAATTTGTACGATCTCATTTGACTTTCTCTTTCCCCAATGATGGTTCGGTTTAGGGCCAGGGTTGGGTGTCACGCCTTCTTTTTAACTGAACTTGTACGAATTAACCACTAAACTGACAAAACGTAAAATACTTACGTTTTCTTATGAGATCAGGCTGGATATTCCAGTTTTGCACAGAAGTCTGACTCACATCTTTGGAAGGTAACATAGCTATTGTTTTGTTATGGACAATAAAAATATGATTGCCGACACAGCAAATTAACTTCCAAGATCAAGCTATTGAGTCCAACAACAAAAATCATTCATCGCATATGTTTGCCAGTACCAATATGGAGACCCAAGAGTTGTGCATTTTTGCTAACAATGCAGAGAACAAAACTTTCCGACACAGAAAATTATATTAAAACTTTATTTACAATATTTAAATAACATCAAAAACATCACAGAGTTGTCCAACATTGTAAAGTGAGGACAGGAATGAAAAGAAACAAAAGATGGATAACATTCCAGCAGCATGACTCCAAGGAAGAGATGATTGATTGAGAGATGGAGGGAGAGTGATGGAGGATGTGAGCAGCGCAGTGGAAAAAAACAGCTACGCAAAAATCCGGGATACTTGGAATAGCGAGACCAACACTAGCTCAGCACATACATGAGCTGTATTTGCAAACTTCACATAAGGACTAGTCTTTCCCGAAGCGTAGTTTGGCATGTCCATGCGTCTTTGTGTTTGGAAACAGCAAAGGCATATCCAAAGAAAAGATGTGATTTACATAACACGATCCTGTACATTTGGTGGGTCATCTCATTGGGATCCACCTGAAACTGCAGAATGGAAAGAGTTAGTTCTCTTCGGGAGCAGATCCAGGATAACACAAGCAGAAGATAAATCAGTCTCTTCCCACACTGGAGAAGACACATGTGGCAGGGAACATTTCCAATGCTGAAAATGGATCAGTGTCATTTTTCCTATACGAGGAAGAACATCATTCAGGCTTCTGGACCCATTCCAGGGCTGATGTAAACATGGGAAACCTATTTATAAGGTTGAAACAGAAAAAGGGATTAAGCTGTTAGTTCTAGGACATTTATCTGAGGTTTTCATGCCCTGTACACTGTCAGAAAATTGTGGAAAAATTGTAAGGGGGTAACTCATCACAAGGGCAGTGTCCTTAAAGGGATAACGTTGTACCTCATTTACCCTTTTAAAGTTCATGGTAGTACCTTAGGGATCCACATTACTGCTTAAACATACTGCATTATAATATGCGCCACACAGAACACTGTCTAAATCTAGGTGCAGATCATCAAAATCATGGGTTGTTTAATTTCGATGAGCGTTTTTCAATCCTGGTCCTCGTGCATCATCATTTGTTTAAATTCGACTACAAGTGGACTCCAGATTATTCCTTTATGATTTCAGTTTAAAGAGAACATATTTGTTTCATTCATACTGTATGGAATCTTCGTGTGTAATATGTTAGGGGCCAAGCACCGAAGGTGTGTAGGCACTTATTAGCCGCATTTCCACTGTCGGGTCAGTGCAAGCCAGGGCTTTTATCGGGCCGGGCCAATCGCCCGGGACGTTGAGCAGTGAGGCTGAAATCATGTCGCGTTTCCACTGTTGAGCTAGTAGCTCGCAGCGTCACACAAACCCTGCTCCCAGTAGTCCCCCGAATCAAACATCACAAACCCCCCCCCAACCCCCCACCCCCCCAGTTCAGCGGGAGTTGGAAGTGTTTCAGCACATAAGAGCAAGTATCAAAATGTAGCCTACATTTCGTTGCGCTCAGCAGCTTTTCACTAATAAAGCTCTTTCATGTATTTAAAATTTCATTTTTAAATTTTACAACATCATATAAAAACATAAACACTTGTTTGAGGACACAGAACACATTTTGTATTTGCAGTTTTCCCCGATTAGTTTGAAAAGTGGCACTGCGCAAGACTTGTTTTAGCTTTTACTAAAAAAGCCTAGCCTAGTTTCTGCTTTCACTCACCCATAAAATGCTCTGTTTGCACGATTTGATTAATATCATTGTATCCAAATACTTTATACATAATACTTCAAACCTTCTCTGGTGTTTATTGTTTTTAGAAAATATCTAAAATCTTTTTTTCAGAGAGGCCTTTTTAAAATAAAAAAGTTATACATGGCTTTAAAATGGTTTATGTATTGTATATACCTGAATTGTTATAGCTAGCTTTTGTTTGTTTTATATTGGTTTATTTATTTAATATGATATTATTATATCCAATATTTGTAATTCTTTAAATTATTTCAATATAGCTTTGGCTATTTTATCAAGATGTGACACTATTGTTTTGAGTCTGCAAAAGTGGACATGTAATTTGTAAAGTTTTATGTCTTTCTGTAGTATTCACATTGTGTGTTATCTTCAAAATAAATAAAAAAATAAATAAATTGAAAAAAACCCTAGCGGCATCAACAGAGCTGTGAAGGGAGCTCTCTTTTGCTCCTCCTCACATTCACATACAGGCATCTAAACGTGCACAAACACACCTTTTAAACATGACAAAAACTCTCGAAAACTTTACTGTCTGCTGTGTCTAATATGGTGTAAAGATCATTATGCGTTATTGAAACATCAAGGAGGACACAGCAAAGAATGTCATTTCTAGATTAAAACAGCCTTGCATTTAAAAGGGAAACATAAGGGCGATCATATACAAAAAGACCCGTATAAGGCTAGATGTATTTTTTTCCTTATTTATTTATTTGTTCATTTGTTTAGCACATGTACTTGTGTGTGTGATCGAAAAACTAGTGTCTGCCTCTCCTTTCACTCCGCCCCGAAGCCCCAGCTGGCCCTCTTTGGCCCAAGGTATTCAGCTGGCCGAAAAAGGCTTGCTGCTGGCCCCGAGAAAACCCCGCTTTGGCCCAATCAGGCCCCAGAAATGACAGTGGAAACGCGACTAGCCTTGGGTCGCCCTGGCTCGCTCGCTTTAGGCGTGATAGTGGAAACGCGGCTATTGTATCCATTCTGGTTCTTATTATTATTATCCATCTTCTTCTTCTTCTGCTCTGGGAGTCTATGGCAGCCCTTTTAACCTGTGTGCGGCATTTGTGCAAACTTTGCCACACTGATAGCGGAGAATTTGATCTTCAATCACAAAAATTTGGACTGTCTGACCAAAACTCTATAGCGCCACCACTTGTCCAAAATTTCACTTATGTTTATCATTATAACTTTTGAACCGAATGGGCTACAATCAAAATTTCCTCTAATTCCTTGGCTCAAGCTGATTCAAGCGCACCCTATGACATCATTTTCATCCTGAAATTTTTTTTTTTTGCTTTTCGAATTTTTCTCAAAATTTAATTAAACAAACTTGTCCCATACCGTTTGTTAGATTTTTCACCAAAATGTATTTTATAAAATTTTATCAAATTTAGTGTCTTCAGGACTGTGCCCTGAAGGTGCTCAAAGTTTCAATGCAGAGCCACTTTTTAGTCAAACGTTATAACGACATTTCTAAAAATGCTAATAAATTTTGACTAGTTTTCCCATTTTGTTATGATACTTTTCTTTATAGATTCCTTGGGTTGTCATGAGAATATCGAAATCAATGATGCCTTAATTAACTTAACTTCCGGTCTGCAATCTTGCCTTCAGTAAAAAACCTGTTTTTCGAACTCCTCCTGCATCGTTAGGCTGATTTGCACTAAATTTGACTCGGATCATCTTCGGACCATGCTGACAAAAAGTTATGAAATTCATGTCAATAGGTATTTTTGTTTAGTGCACCGCCACGTGATGGCATGATGCCAAACTACATCTGAGGCTGTATCTGAGCGATAGTTCAAAAAATTGACACCAAATTTTAGGGTCGTTATTGGCACCACACCATAAAAATTTGGTGACAGCACCACCTATGGGTCGAGTTATCAGATATTTATTAGCCGTTAATAATGAAACATACAAATTTGGTAATAACCTTAGGCTGCATATGCTTATTTTGAGGAGTTCCAGTTGCTCTGTAGCTTGTCGCTGTGCTTGTTTATGATATGGCTGCTTGGCCCTGATAATTGCTGCTTGCATTTATTTGTAATTATTTACAGAGGAACTTTTTGTCACACTTCAAGCACCTCTAGGTAGAAGACGCTGCAGGCAATGCTGTTATACAATAAGAGAGCAATGAAGGAGATGAGACTAGGGAACAATGCACACTGTGCAAGGACCACAGTTCATGCATGGAGCTCTTCTACAAGTTTGTAAAAGGGACTTGCAAAATATGCAGATAGACAAGGATTGAGAAACACTGGTCTAAAGTATCTGTATATCTGCACAAGGTCATCTATATCTGGGGTTCTTTACATACCTACCTTGGGATATCTGCTAATTTTTGTGTTTGTGTTGGAGCAAGACTCTGCAGTACTACAGATCTCCAGGATTGGATTTGGCCATTTCTGCACTAGATCTAATACTGCATCAACTATTCTGGATTAGGTTGCAAGGAAATATGAAGAATTACAAATTGATATTGGTGGCGTGAAACATAGTTTTCAAACATAGTATTGCATGTTTTAGTGAGTTCTTCACTGCACCTTTCAGAAGACTTGCTTCATGAAACTCTTAAGTGACTTTTGGGTGAAAGTGAGAGACCGAGAAGAAAAGGGAGGCAGAGGGACAAGAAAATGTGGCAAATGTGGAATCAAAAAGTGTATCATAGATGGAGACCTCATCTCTTCAGCAGCTTATGCTGGAACAATGTAAACACAGGAGAGTATGTAATGGTCTCCACATGGGTCCCATTCTGCATAACACCCCCATCACCACTATTACCACTGCAGCCGCTAATGTTAACCAGAGAGTGGAACTTGCAGGAAACAGAAACTGATAGGGGACAGACACAGATATGAGGAATCGTCTAGAATGTGCTTTTTATTGATATGGGGGAGGTCTAAGTGTGTGTGCGTGTTTATGTTGGGGGGTACCAGGACAAAATTCGACCGATGCAGCCCTGGTGCCAGCTATAATAAGTGCAATCGCACGTCGTGTTTTCCCAACATCCTCTCGGCACGTCTGACATTTAATCGCTCTCTCTCCCTAGAGCAGAGAGCCCCTTTTGGGGAACAGGAGAGTGAGGGGCTTAGAGCACAGCTGAAGGTGCCCTTGGTTCGCCAGTTTGCTTTGATACTCCAGGAGGTCACTAGAGATCACCACTGACCTTGACTCAGTGCATTATCACGAAGTCTTTGAAAAACTTCCCAAATATGCCGCTTACTCTTACCCATAAATCCTATTTTATCAATGCTGCTTGTATAGTATGACAAGGTCCTTTCCAGCCATGTAAAAAAAGTTTTCACAATTTTGAGAAATCAATCCTCACCTTGTGTCTTCATGGAGAGGGCTGCATTCTTCTGTAGGTCTCGTTTGTTATCGAGAGACGGGTGAGGCGTGCCCCGTAGTAGTCCACAATGTAATCCGACCCATCTGATGGACCCACGATCTATGCCAGAGCAAACAGAACGAGTCTTGAATGTCAGAGCAGCGTAGGGAGACCTACATAACAATGTAATCTTTCACCAGACAATTACATGATTCCACATTACACAATGATGAATACCAGGTGGGCTGGTGGGGTCTATCGTCCTCCTCAGATGGTTCATGCTCGTACAATTGAATTATAAGACAGTAATGCCGAATTGGAAGCAATTTAAGTTTAACCCCAGGCAATGCTGTAATTGAGGTTGCTTATGGAGTCCTGGTGAGGAGGAGTGTCCCGAAGGACAGTCCCCAGATCAGAGCTTCAGCAATGAGCCTAGAGCCCAAACTGGGGCCCGTGCCAGTTCTGAGATCAGCTACTATCCAAGCAACATGCTTGGACTCACGCACAAAGACAGCGTAATGGCTTCCTGCAGGCGTGCGTGCCCAACACCTGGCCCTGCCGGCTCCGCTCCTCAACGCTTAGGGACGCGATGATAATGAGAACACACATCTGGTGGAGGGAGAAAGGCACCCACCAAACACAGACACTGTGTTATACCATATCGAGATTAGTGCTCGTCTGGCAGTGGCCCAATACAAGCTATTTCCTCTCGCAATGCTATCGGCCGAGAGTTGTCAAGATTGGTATTGTGGTCAAGATTCTTGAACACACATGTACACATGTACAGATCCATCCAACATCACTCTCAAAGCTAAAGTTTTGCAGCGCCATTTATCTTGCATTATTACTTTCAAAAGGCCAAAATGTGGTGCGACTAGCGGGAGGGAATATCGATGAATATAAATAACATGAATATGTCCCAGGTGTTTATTCATTAGTTCTCAAAGACACATTCCTAGGTGAGGTGGCTCTAAGTGGAGGTAGTTTTCTGAGCAAAATATGGGGTTTTAGAAAGAGTGACGTGTGCAAATGGGGTCCCAAGAGAAGGGGATACTCTTTATCAAAAGTGTCACAATTTAAAAACGAAGAGGCCCGACAGTAGACGGCTAATTGAGAATGTTAGCGCGTGACAGCTTTGGCTGCCGGAGGCACTTCTTAAAAGCATTGCTCTCCCAGGGCCTTCAATAAGACATTAAGAGAACAATAAACACTGCAGTGGCCCTGTTAATCAAAGCCGCCATGGCTGTTTTAAAAAATAAAGGCTTGCTTTATTTATCCACTGCGGCTAGGAAAGAGCGAGTATTTCCGAGGAGGAACACAAAACAACCGAAGGAGTGATGATTAGCTGGCAAGAGGATAAAATTGTCAACGAATGGACAGGTATTGTTTTGAGGCAGAGCTGTGCAGGCTACTACGAATAAACAAACCAGGTAAAAGGATTTCAGCTGAAATATTTATGGAAAATAAATATAAACTCTTTTTGAAAGAGATTGAAAGACCAGGACTCTTAGGAGTATACATGCTGCATATTCTTGAGATGGCCGACGAAAAAGGTATCATAACATTTTGTCCTGTCGTGATCTCTTCCAACATGCTGAAACTTGTCGGAAAACATCAGGTCATTGTTTCCCTAGCGTTTAGTAGCACAGACACATCTGAACAAATCGCACACAAAAAAAGTTTATTTTCACTAGCAGCGGGGGACGAAAAGATTTCCAACATATGAGGCAGCAGCCTGAGGAATTCTAAAGTACGTGTAATAATTATTCCTGGAGCCATCCTTCAACAGGCATAGGAGCGTGCCATAAATATCTGTCATCAGTGGTGTGTGGAAGTGGCGGCAGTGAGCAAACGTCTCATGTATAGCTTCATTCAGGCCTGTGAGGCCTAATGAGAGTGGAGAGGGTGAGGTTAGGCCTAACAAGATGACAAATGGAGCGGCTTTTTTCTCTTGTCAGGTGTAGGGGGCCTTTAATAGGGGTTAGGGGAGTCCTGGGGGAGCGTGCGACTCGGGAGAAAAGAAGGAGGAGGCAAAAACAAACCACGCTCTCATTAGCTCCTTTCACAGTGCTGGAGCCACCGGAGGAGAGACACAGGTGCCAGTGAATACAAACACAAGCATTCAAGTACAAGTCAGTGCTGAGTCTCCGTTTCTGCAGCTCATTTTAGGGCTTGTGGGTAAAGCGCCTCCCCTGGTTACTGCTCTAATATGCCAAATTTAAGTCAGTGTTCATTTAGTGGATGCTTTAATCCAAAGTGACTTTAAGTAAAGGTCTCGATCATTGGTCATAGCTCACAGTACACCCCATTTTGGGATTTGTGAAATGTATTTTATGAGTCTGTTTAATGCAACATCATTAAAATCATAACATTAATGTTAAGTACTTTAATAAATTAAAATTAATTTATCTCAAACTCAGTATTGATCAAGTCCGAAATAAAAAAAGTAATTAACATACAAAAAAAAAAACTCTACTTACTTCTGGACAGTTTTGTAAAGACCAACTAGGTCTAATGCAATATTTCCAACATTAAATATTTTCTCCTTTCAGTGAAAGCAAAATACAGAGTGAAGAACAAAAGCACAGCCAAAAACCCTGATAACTTAAATTAGGCATAATTAAGCAAAATGACATTTTGTATCAACCTTTGAGAAAAACAAACGTAGAAGGAAATGCATACATCAATAAATGGGTCAAGAACCTGGAAATTAACATCTCACCTGCATGGATATCAACATGAAGTCCACTAAGCTTCCAATTCCACAGAACCCCACGGTGCAGAATTTCAGCAGGCCTGAGAACAAACAAAGAGCGATCCACACGTTAACCGAGAACATACTACAATGCCTTCCATCATAACCAAATCGGTGTCCAAAAACACCTTCTCTCAAGCCTCTGTATGACCACAAAGAAAAACAATTTCTGAGGGCAAAGCTATTCAACACGCACCCAAGGAAGCATTTCTTTTCATACTTGCATTAGTGCAAAGAGTAGTAGCTTTCAAATGCTGAAAGGTCAAATTATTATAATCATCCAGTTCATAAAATAATATTTGGGTTTAAGTATTTGTCAAGAATTCAGAACAAAACTCAATGGTGTTATTTAAAAAAAAATGGCTAATATTATATTTCTTTGTGCAATCCCTCCATTTCACGGGTGTCCAAACTTGTTCCTGGAGTGCCGGTGTCCTGCAGATTTTAGCTCCAATTTGGCTCAACACATCAGCACGGATGTTTCTAGAAAGCCTACAGTAGTAAGAGCTTGATTAGCTAGCCCAGGTTTTTCTGATTGGGGTTGGAACTAAACTTTGCAGGACACCGGCCCAACAGGACTGAGCTCAGACACCCGCGCTCTAGTTATACTCAACCCTGTTTAAATGGCACCAATCATGGTCCTGGTTTTAGTGCAACCCCTTTGGTTCTACTCATCTTAAAGCAGGTATCAAATCGGTGAATGGGAGGCGGCATGCTAACAAGAATTTCTAGTGGCCAGAGGTGTGAGGCTTACTGGCATCTGTAAGGTTTAAAGCTTGATAGATTCTGGAAATGTCTGGATATTTTAGAAAGCACACCACTACTCAGGTATTTCAAATCTTTATTTTACTGAAGACAAAACAAGATACTCTTTACCTGAATTGGAGCAAATAATATAGGGCTACTAAAGTACGCATGAACTGAAAGCTGATGAGATTTATTTAATCTTGATGTACTTCCATCTGAAATGGATATCGAGTTGGGAGCAAGGCTTTCTTTTTGGCTAGCTTTCCCTTGTAGCAAACTAACAGTAAGAGGGTCATGGTTAATAATATTGTGGCTGAATTGTCAAGAGAGAAGGACTGCCACTCGAAATGCAGAAGCAAAATTATAACAAATTATGCTATTTCTAATAAGAAATCGGTCCAATACAATATTTCTATGTGCATAATAATATAGAACTACTGAAGTATGCATGAACTGGAAGCTGCTGAGACTTATTTCATTTTGATGTACTTTCATCTAAAATGGAATAATGAGTAGGGGATGGGGCTTTCTTTTCGGCTATCATTCCCTTGTACTAAACCAGTGGTCACCAAACTTGTTCCTGGAGGGCCAGTGTCATGCAGATTTTAGCTCCAACCCTAATCAAACACACCTGAACCAGCTAATCAAGGTCTTACTTGGTAAACTTAAAACATCCAGGCAGGTGTGTTGAGGCAAGTTGGAGCTAAACCCTGAAGGGACACCGGCCCTCCAGGACCGAGATTGGTGACCCCTGTACTAAACTAACAGTAAGAGGGGCATGGTTATGGATTATCGTGTCTGAATCGTCAACAGAGAAGGACCGCCACTTCAAACGTAGAAGCAAATGGCCAGACTTTGATCGAAGACCAAACCAAACTTTTTTTTTTTCCCTCAGTAGATTAACTTGCGCTCAGTAATTGTTCACCTAAAGCAGGGGTGTTTAAACAGTTTAAACACCCCGTGGACATCGGTGTCCTCCATATTTTAGTTACGAACCCCATTTAATACACCTGAACCAGCTAGTCAAGCTCTTTATAGGTATACTAGAAACTGCTAGGCAGGTGTGTTGAAGGAAACTGGAGCTAAATTCTTCAGGAAACCAGCCCTCCAGGACCACGTTTGGACACCCCTGACCTAAAGAATAAGAATGTGCACTAGCAAATTAAACATTGTAAAATTTGACTTCAAACAGACTAATAATAATATTCTTAAGCAAAAATATATTGTATAATGTTGACATTATTTCCACAAACAAACAATTTTGGGTTACATTTAAGTAGGCTTGCTTTAGATGTCCATTAAGCCATTTGAAACCCACTATCAGGAGCCCATGAGATCTGACTGCAGTCAATTAAAAAACCCCTTCCCATCCCACGATTCAAACATAATTGCTACTAATCATTGCTAATATTACTCATAATTGGTCATTGAGGGGTTTAGGCATGTTGATTCCAGGAAGGATATCAAAAAAGCCACCTGCAGAATGTCTTCTGAACAAATCCAGGCCTTCTTTTGAGCCACACCTGGTCTGGACTGACCCCAGAGCTGCTGGGCCATTACACTCTAAATGAACAAGTCTATACAACTGACTCCAGCGCGGTGTGAGCCTGCCTTTCACAAACTCCAGCGCTCCTCGCACAAAGAAGCCGGGAACAAGGGGGACCTTCAAACGCCCAGGCCCTTTTGTCCTAACGCAGGTGCTTAATTGATCAGGAAGTCCTTAAAACATGGAGAGAGGCAGAAAGACGGAGCTTCCCGCTGTATACCACCTAACCTTGGGATTTAGATGTACGACTTGAACTCATCTGCATGCGATGACAATAATTGCACCATGGGATAGAAGAACACCATGAGATCTGATGGTAAAGGAGAACTGTTTTTGTTAATTAGTTTTTGCATGCAGATTCGTTTTGTTAAAACAGCTGGTACCAAAAAAAAAAAAAAAAAAAAAAAAAAAAAAAAGAGCAAGGTGCTCAAAAAAGGGTCACCTACGGGTTTCTCGATTGTACATCACGTGCTGTTTTTTTTCTAAACACTCCTGTAAGGACTAATACTGTTGGCCTCATGTGAACAGCATGCACCTTTTCTTAAAAGCAATCCATATGCGTTTAATGACGTCAGTGGTGTGCTGGGATTCGTCTCAGGAGTTTGTTCAATTAAGCGTGGATGTGCTAGGGATGGTTAATATTGAAGCCAAAGGGGAAGGTCTAGAGTTTTTGTACAAGCAGAAAGGCCAAAAACATTAATCACCAGTCAAAATCTAAACTTTTAGTTCTTATCTGATGAAGGGACTTCCACAAAACATGTAAAAAACACTTGTCCCCCTTTTAAAAAAACTATTTCTACTTACTAAAGGTAAGGGTATTGCTTACTAAAAACTAAATCTATGGTTTGTCAATTTTATCTTAAATATATTCCCCAATTTATTTAATACGTTTACAAAAATTCTAGGGTAATGTGTAGTGGTTAGTGCGTCGACACATGCACTCCAATGCTTAAGGGGACCAGAGTTCGATTCACCACCTCAAGGTCCTATGCCGACCTTCCCCTCTTTCTGTTCCCCACGCTTTTCTGTCAGTACCCTCAACTGTCCTATACATTAACGGTGAATATATATATATATATATATATATATATATATATATATATATATATATATATATATATATATATATATATCATATTGGGGCAGCACGGTGGCACAATGGATAGAGCTGTCACCTGACAGCAAGAATGTTACTGGTTTGAGCCTCGGTTGGGTCACTTGGCATTTCTTTGTGGAGTTTGCATGTTCTCCCCGTATTCACGTAGGTTTACTCTGGGAGCTCCGTTTTCACCAACAGTCTAAATTGTTCGTAGTGTATATGTGTGAATAAGATAGTATGGGTGTTTCCCAGTGATGGGTTGCAGCTGGAAGGGTATCCGCTGCGTAAAGCAGGTCGTACACCAGAAGCGGCGCTCGGCGGCGCGCAGCGCCACGCAGCACCATGCATTTCAGAATTCTAAACTTAGGTTTCTATTAGGATACACACACCGGCGCTGCAAGTCGGCGGTGCCCGGCCATGATTCAGGATGCAGTTCATTTTTCAGCCGCGCCACAGAGCGCCATCTGATTAGTTTTATTTTAAATATCATGCGAATGTGCCCGTCTGGTGTGTGATACTTTAAACTGTCATGTGCCCGCCGTGTCGCGGCGCTTCTGGTGTGCGACCTGCTTAAAAGCATATGCTTAATAAGTTGGGGGTTCATTCTACTGTGGTGACCCCTGTTTAATAAATCACTAAGCCGAAAAGAAAATATATGAATGAATAAATGAATGAACAATTCTATTCTGTATTGATCATGGAGGGTCACAGAAAATGGGGGCTCATCCGGGATCTTAACATGTGTATGTAATCAATATAATGGGGGCTCGTCCGGGATCTTAACATGTGTATGTTAATCAATATACTATTTTATTTAACTTGTATAGCTGACAGTAATTACACATATTGTTACTGACTCTACTGAATGACAAAAACATTACCCTGAATGATGAAACTTAAAGGAACGCTCCACTTTAATAGCAAATGCCAACTTTTTATTTTCCATCAATCTTAGTAAACAATGTAACAACAGAAGAGTCCAGCTTTAAACTCTTTCTTGAATTTATTGAGAGAGATGCTTATGGTCTGATATGTATTAGATTGGATGATTGGATTAAGAAAATTATTAAACAGTTTAACTATAGGGGAGCTGTAAAATAAGTCTACCCCCCCCCCCCCCAAAAAAAGTCGAGTGTTCCTTCACTCTTATAATACAAACTATCAACTATAACATTCAATACATTCACAGTTAATCACAAAATCTCTTTTTTTCTTGATCGAACAATAAAAATGCTTATAAGGTTTTGTAAAGAGATAATGGTAAAGTCTTAAGCGTTATTTTGGAACCTTATTTAACATATTTTTTGACTTTTTCATCTTTTTGAATTACATTTTCATGTATTTAATGCGTGTTTTAATAATTGATGCATGATGACATCTGTAACCCTGCAGCTCTCTGGATGTAGTAACCAGAATCTGCCATCAAAACAAAATCACGTTTTGGTTGATCAATGCTCTACAAGCAAATTAATCAAACTGGCCATCATTTTTCTCTTAAACAATTATTAAAATCAAACACTCAAAAAGTCCATATAAATGTAAAGAAAACATCAAGATCAGTGCAAGAAAATAAGACTGTGGGATGCGTATTCACAGAACATCTGGCGAAAAGGTGTGTCCTTGGAAAAGAGGCCACAGATGATGTCAACAGCAGAACATCCAGGACTGATTCTGTCCATTTTAAAGGTCCCTTGTGTTGCAGTGCAGCACTAGCATGAGATATTGATAAGTAAATTGATGCCAGAAAAGGTGATTCCAGGCCACAGTACACACAAAAATGCAACGTTGGATTAAAGCCCAACTAAATTTAAAATAGGGTTTGCAACATTTACAAATTTTGCATTCTCATTTCATGTCTTTAATGCCACTTTGTTTATGAAGAACGCTCAAATAATGGCCAATTCTATTTTGTTTTTTGTGCATCTCCTGACTTTTGTGTGCAGCCATGCTTTCGATGTATATGGTGTATTCTGGGGAATTTTCTTACCCCTTGGTTTCGAGTGTGGCCCTGAATAATCTTCGTTTCAAGGGGTATCTAGCCCTTCCCCTTGGCCCTACGCCTTTAAGCTAAAGAGAACTGGGACATCCCTACCCCTTCACATGAACATGCAAAATGAGGGGTGGGGGTAAGGGGAAGGGCTAAGGGACTAAAGAATAGCATCTTACCCAAGGCAGGATATCCCAAGTAGAACCGATCTGCACCAATCCATCCCAGGAAGAGTGACAGAGCAACAGCTACTTTATAGGAGTAACCACTCCTAATATTAAAGAAAACATCCATGTTAGTGCATGGGATTATTTACAAATTATAATGACGTTATAATAAAGTTTGACTTACACATTTCGACATGGGATGGTTTTGTTAAAGCCGACCTCCTCACCGCTGAACTTGAACTGTGTTCCATTTGACAGCCGACAGCTGATGTTTGGGGCAGGTAGGCATTCCACTGCAATGACAAGACAACGTTTGACTCATGACTTCGTATTTCATGCAGGGACACATACAGTAACTAGCTATTGTTTGTCAGCATACACAAATATATTTTCTTTATAATAATATTTTTAAATGATTAAGTACACAAGTGTAAAATATGCAGTATATATCTATATGAAATACATAACGCATTAACGTAAAGAAAATAAGTTATGTAATAGGGCTGCACAATATTGAAAACTCTGATATTGCGCTGTTTTATTTTTCCGCAATAAGAATACAGTTTTAATAGATGGTTTGAATAGCTCTATTTGATTTTTTGAGAGTCTTACAGTATTCAGGTACAGAAATTGAATAATCGCAATGGGAAAAAAATGCTTTTCTTACTTTGTTTTGTCTGTCAAGTCCAAATATCAAAACAAAAAATTCTTAGTCCAACTAAAAATATTGTTTAATTTTTTACCATCAGAAGAAATATATGAAAATGAAGAGTCTTTTGCTTGTTTTAAGGAAATTATCTGCCCGTTGGGTAAGTGAAATAATTTTGCTTTCAATTTAAAATGTAGATATTTGGGCTAGAAACAAGACAAAAATTCTAAGAAGGAAATATTTTTTTGCATAAATAATATAAGTTCCATATAAACACAGGTGTTTTAATACAATTCTGTAGCTCCTGGTCAACTATAATTCAGACTAGACATTGCATATCTTTGTGATGTGACTATTGTGGATGTGCACTTCGTGAGATTGATGCTGAAATGATATAGTGTGCAGCCCTATCATGTAATTGCACTTAGTATACAATTATATAACATATTATATATAAAATTTAAGTCCAAAATCTAACAATTATATGCATTACATATTTTATAATATATATTTTATTATATTATACATTTTGATTTCTGCAATTTTTATAATAAAAATATTAGAAAAGCATGGTAAACATTTTAAATTGATAATATAAAGGAAAATGGACTAGTTCATTATTAAAAAATTTCAAATTTATTATAACAATGTACAAATATTAAAACAACGTAAAATAAGTCAAAATGCAGATTTAAAAAAAATGTTATACTTTTTAATTTGTTACATTTTATAACAGCATACAATACACACAAAGATACACACATATAGAAATATTTTAGTCTAGATTTAAAAAAAATTTTTTCGATCTTTTACAGAACAAACCATCATTATACAATAACTTGCCTAATTAGCCTAATCTGCCTAGTTAACCTTATTAACCTAGTTAAGCCTCTAAATGTCACTTTAAGCTGTATAGAAGTGTTATGAAAAATATCTAGTCAAATATTATTCACTGTCATCATGGCAAAGATAAAATAATTCAGATATTAGAAATGAGTTATTAAAACTAATATATTTAGAAATGTGTTGTAAAAATCATCTCTGCGTTAAGCAGAAATTTGGGAACGCAATAAACAGGGGGCTAATAATTCTGAATTAAACTGTATATATATATATATATATATATATATATATATATATATATATATATATATATATATATAATTATCATTATTATTATTTCATTCATTCATTCATTTTCTTTTCGGCTTAGTCTCTTTATTAATCCAGGGTCAACCCCAGATTACTAAAAGGACTAAGCCAAAGGAAAATGAATGAATGAATTATTTTAAAAAAACATTTGTTCTAATAATAAATTACAGTTAATGTAATTTGTCCAAATATAATAATAATAATAATAATACTAATAATAAATTTTTTTTATAGTGCACTTTTCTCAGATCCAAAGTGCTACAAGGCATACAAGGCAAACAGTAACAAAGCAGAACAAAAAAAAAAAAATAGTATAAACACCACAATAAGGCAAAAATTCAACAATAAAATTAAATGAATAAATTGACAAAAATAATCAATCTAAGTTAAAAGCAACGGTAAAAGGTGAGTCTTGAGAAGTTTCTTAAAACAGTTCAAAGGAGTGAATGATGAATAAAGAAAAATTAATTACCATATTTATATAAACAACTATGATATCACAATGATACATTTTATAAACAGAAGTATACATATATTGTATGTGGAATATATAATACAAATAGAAACCCACCCCAAGCCACTCGGTCCTTGCAGGTTTCAGGTTCTTGAGTTGCATCATCTATTCTGGGTTCTTTACACAAATACTTGAGCTCTGTTAAGGTGGAATCATATCTCTTATAAAACATCTCAATGTGACCATGTCACTGGCCCATAAACATTTCATACTTGTTACCAAACTATTTCATAACTGTAACAAGAGACAATTTAACTATATCTTGATGTTAAAACATCTGCCATAACATAATTTATCAATTTGTGACCTTTTTGGTTTCTTGAAAGCTATGGAAATTCAAAATGTAATAGAGGAAATAAATTAAGTCCAATGCTATTGTTTACATCCATCAAAATGGTCCATATTTATCATTATACTTGCATCATAAAGTAAGAATAGTGATGCTAAATTTCAATAGTGATTAATGGATGACCGACAAGATCATCAACAGGATCTAATTCATTATTACGCCTGATTACCAAATAAAAAAAAACCCTCAAATGTTATGATTTGTCATAAACAGACATCTGAATTATACAAAGCACGCTATTTATGACGTATTAACTATACATATTATCACTCAACACACGTCTGAATTACAAAACCACAACAAAATATTCCTTATGATTGTGCGTTAATAATTGAAAAACAATATCTACCATGATAAATTAGCACAAACGTCAATTAGCGACAGTGCAAGCTAGCATGCTAATATTTCAACAACCCTATCAATTGTAGACATTTTGAAAGGATATTGTCCCAGATGGAGTTTATCACAGCTGTCCACATCATTGCCCAAACTGTGGATGACAGTCAGACAGAAAGTGAATAAAAGCAGCAGTCTTGTTGTCGATCGAAAGCGCATCAAACTTCTCCAGCGAAACGCCATGTTGAACTGTCACGTGACTGCCAGGGCTTTTAAAGAAACAGTGCATTAGATTCGCCGCACACATAGCATGTAAGTCTCACGAAATTCTCTCATTTAATGCATTTACTTGCGTGCATATATTTAGTCAAGCCGGGTTATTTTGTAAGAGCATATTTACACTTAAAAACTGATGTCAGTTCAACTTTTCCGCGGTGTTTGATGCTTATGATCAACTTTATTCCCGGCTAACTGCGCTAGCCTGTGTCTCAGAATGGGAAAAACGAGGACGTTTGTGTTTGAGCCTTTTTTGCAGTGATTAACTTTTCACTAATATATTCCTTTTGAACCAAGCTCGTTTCGATTAATAAAACCATTATTTATCGTCTTGTTCATGCTGTCAGGAGGTTTTTACAGAAATGATTTCAGTGTTTTATGCTTATGCACCTGTTTGATTGCGTTTGTGTAATTTATTTATTATGACTTTATATTAAAAATGCTTCAATTCAACATTAGAAATGTTTTTAGCATTCGCTTACGTCACGATGTCTCTGTTATCTTGTGTTTTACCCCAGATAAAGTTGACGGAAACTGGAATGACGCGTACTTCCTGGTTTCAGGTGAGGCTCGCGCAGGTGTAAACAGACAAAAACTGCGCTCAATCACAGCTATAAACAACACTTCAGATGCTCAACTGGGTTTTATGAAGGATTCAGAGGCGACCGGGTGTTGTTTTCATCCTTAAGAGGAAGTGTATGGACATTAATATTGTAGGTAAGTAAAGTGAATGTTCTCCCTTTTGTTTTGGCTGCTCACGTGAACAGAAACTGCTACTTCATATTATAAAAGCTCTTCCATGTCGGTTCTGGAAATTGTTAATTGACTTTAAAGGGGTAGTTCACCCAAAAATGAGAAGTCTGTCATTACTTACTCACTTTACTCTACTCCAAAACTGTGTTTAACAGGTTAAAGAAACTCAAACAAAGGAAGATATTGAGAATGCTGAGGGAATTCTTTAGTGTTTTTTGTTATTGCTATGAATTCTAAATGCTGCTTTTTACAAACATTATTCAGATCATTTTGTATTGTGTTCAACAGAAGAAAGAACCAATGAAAGTTTAAAACCAATTGAATGTGAGACAGTGGCGGACTGGGACTAAAAATCAGCCCTGGTACTGTAGCCACACCAGCCCACATTACCACACCAACACAGCCTCACCCACGGACACGCACATTCACTACTTATATTGGTGTACAGATGGTAAAATTATATAAGCAGTAACATATTTAAGATATATTTAAACATTTAATGTATGTGACTAAAACAAAAACAACCCATTTATATATGCAATCATGTCATTCATTTTTTTTTCGGCTTAGTCCCTTTATTTATCTTAGAACCACCAACTTATCCAGCATATGTTTTACACAGCGGATGCCCTCAAAGCTGCAACCCATTACTGGGTTACCCAACTCCCAATCGGACTTGACTGCCTTTCCCTTTTTATGGTCCATCTCTATCAATTTGTTGCATTTACTGTGTGTTTGACATCCTTGATAGATTTTGATTACGTCTGCATAACTTCTGATTGGGTCAGCCCATCTCGAAACCAGCCGGTCGTTGATGATTGGGCGAATGCTTAACATTGATTAATATTCTTACTATTATCCTCATCATCATCATAATATTCACATCTTGCAAGAGATAAAAGCTGCTTACATGTGAAAAAACAATACATACTGTATTAAAAAATAAATAAAAAAATAGCTGACCGGCCCACGTTTATAAAATGGTCCGGCCCTTCTGATGGCCAGTTTGTTTTGTGTTCAACAGAAGAAAGAAATTTATTAAAGTTTAGAACCACTTGAGTGTGAGTAAATGGTGAGCAAATGTTCAATTTTGGTCAAACTGTACCTTTAAGATTAATAAAATGCTTTGCGGATTTTTATTTATTTATTTGTATTTATTTATTTATTATTATTATTTTTAATCATATTATAAACATGAGATGTCAGCGCAAATATAGTAAAACTAAGATGAATCATAATCTTTGGGGGAAACATTGATGATGTACCCTTGGTAGTGGAAATGCAAGCCTGATAAAGGTGACTTATACTGACCCAAACCGTACCGTACTGTAGCAGTCAGTGGAAACGAGCCATTAGTGTGGTGGACATGTTATGGGCAGATGCAGCTTTACAGAAAATAATATGACACGGGTATAAAAATTGGTAAGAAAAATAACAAATAATGCAATTTGGAAAGATTTGAGTGCATATTTGGTGCATAAGTACACACCTATAAATCCACTATTTCTTTACTAAGAGGAAAGAAGCCTATGAACTGCTCTTTATTGCAAGTATATTTCAAAAAGTTATATTATAAACTTTTTAAACATCTGCAATCGGTTCATGAGATCGGCCAGATTGATAAGTAACGATCGAGTCATTAAATGTGATTATCGTTCGATACCGGTATTTGGCCGATCAATTGGAGCTTCCCTAGTTGTTACCAATTCAGGGTTTTAATTATTACAGAAACTGAAAAATGTTACCATGTCATCTTAATTAATGTGCATGTTGTAGTTTTATCTATATTTAGTCTCTTTTCTAATCTTTTTATTACTTTATTTTTGTTTACATAAATATTTTAAAACTGTAAATAACTTATTTTAAGTATATAAAATTATTATTATTATAAATATGCTTCGTTTGTATATCTTGGTCTTTAACAAATTAAGTCTGAATGAATGTATTTGGTGCAACTTAATAATCAAAAATTATATTAGCCAACAATATTGCAAATAATAATAACAATAATGACTGCATAAAAAAGTGTGATTTATTATTGATGTTATTAATGATAATAATGATAAAACAAATATGTTATTATTTGTCCGAACTAAAAATAAAATGTAAGAGAAACTGAATTTTGAAAATCTATGTTACTTATTGATAATGTTATTGACACTGCACTTGAATATATATTCAGCCTTTATTTTCCAAAGCAAATTAGTAGCCTAACTAATATTAACTAATATTGGCATTTCGTTTTTCGTTGATGTTGTAATCAAATTGCCACCCAAAAATGTTCATAAATCCATTTCTATTCTCTTTCACAGATAACCCTCCTACTAAATTGTCAAGAGAACCACGATGTATGAGAACGTACCAACAGGTATTGTTAAATGAAGTGATTTTCTTTTTAACTAATGTGACGTGTTTGATGGGTTTTTGCATGGCTCATGTGTTGCTGTTGGTGTGTGTGTTGTCAGTGTCTGCTTCGGAGCGGCAGCAGGTGCTCCAGGCTCTGGAAAGGCTGCAGTCGAAGCTGGTTCAGAGGGAAGAGTGGACTCACAGCGACAGACTCGGCACACTGAAAGAAGCCCTGCAGAGCCCTCTGTTCAGCCACATCCTCACCCTGCAGCACTCTGTCAAGCAGCTCAAAGACCAGGTGATGCTTACACTACATCTTACAGACTGGTGTTGTCAAAAGTATCGAGCTCTGAACTAATCGTTATTGAAACTTAAAAAACACCCGTTTCCCACTAACATTTGAGCGCAGTTGAGTGGGTACTTAAACCTGCTGATTGGGCATTGTGTTCAACAGAAATAACTCTGATTAGTGGGAAGTGGATGTTTTTAACATTTCAGTACAAATTGGTATCAAAATTTCAGTATCATTACCAGTGTGTTGGGTAGCGCATTAATAATGATACTTCTCTAAGTAATGAGTAAAGTAAAAAAAATCATTTTAAAAATAATAATAATTTTTTATTACTTTGTTTAATTAATTAGCTTTTAAAAAATAAATTGCTGAATTAAAATTAAAGTACTCACAATGAATCACAGTCAATCAGAGAATGTGTTCATTATATCGAACGCATCATAGAAAAGGAAAAGGGGATTGTCTCAATGGGCAGTGATTTTACTTAAGGCAAATAGTACAAAAGTAGCAAACACATTGTTTTAAACTTTAAATAATCTCCATATATGGCATGTAGAGCTCTGGGGTCAGGAATTTCTCAGATAACATTATCTTAAAAGATTATTTTTTGATGGGTTTTTAAATAAATGAAGGTTGTACATTGTGCTAATTGCAGCACCATTATATTAAAAAAAGAAAGAGAAAAAAAAGCCTCAGCCAGGTAATAAAATGTGCCGTAACGCATTACTTACTATAAAAAGTAACTAAGTAATCACAAGAAGTAAATTTTTTGGGAGTAACTCAATATTGTAATATATTACTTCCTAAAGTAACTTTCCCTAACATTGGTTGTTACAACACTTTAACAGACTTGTTACAGCTATTTAAATTTTTACGAGAGCACTTGAAAATGATCACTTTCTCTAGAAAGTAAAACTATTTTTCTTTGTTTTAATTCTGTTAAGTAGTTTTGTCGTGATTCAGGAATTTCCGACTTTGATACAATAGCTTAAAAATATTGATATTCGAAACCATTTTCAACACAGTGAGGAAAACATTACACAACATTAAGAGTAAAGACTAAAATTAACACTCGCCAATGCCGAATGTGAGTAAAACTAAGTGTTGCAAGTATTTATAGCAGTGTCAGTCGCTGTATGTATATATATTTTTTTAATTGCAAAACTACATATTGCGATGTCATTTAGCGCATAAAATGACAATTTGTCAAAATGACAAAAGAAAATACTATGTTTTCCGACATGTTATATTTCCTTTTACATTACTAATGTTTTAACTTTATTTTAAATCGATATTGAAAATGAATGAAAACATTTGCTTTTCTAATGTCAATATTTTTATATATAAAATTTGTAAATATATTAACAAATTTTAACAATTTGCTCAAACAGACCTGTTTAAAAGGAATTGTTCATAGGTTTCCATTATTTACTCACTCCCGTCATATTCTTGGTTTATCTTTATTTATTTTTTTTTCCAGATGAACACAATCTGGGTTATCTTAAAAAGTTATCCCTGCTTTGTAATAGTAGTGAGTTGTATCTATAACAAGAATGATTATTATAAAACTCATTTATTCATTTTCCTAAAATATGGACCAATCGCTTGCTTTAAAAAAAAAAAGTCTAATCATCTTGTTTAATCCTGTCCCTTTTCGCAGCGCCGTACAACACAATTTTGCATGCTCATTCTAGTGTGACCATGGTAATACACTACGACCAATTTAGTTTATTCAGTTCACCTATAGTACATTTCTTTGGACTGCAGGCGAAACTGGAGCATTTGGAGGAAACTCACGCAGACATGTGAAGAACATGTAAACTCCACACAGAAATGCCAACTGACCCAGCTTTGACTTGAACCAGCGACCTTTTTGCTGTGAGGCGACAGTGCTAACCACTAAATCACCATGTCGCCGTATTTTTTTAAATTTTATTTGTTGAAAAATCTTTTAATGCTTTAAAATCAATCAATAATTTATTTCTGTAGCACATTTAAAAACAACACTGAATTGTTTAACAATTTAACAAGTGATTTACCGTCCCAAAATTAAGAACAAACGCACCACAAAACATTTAACAACCCCATAACACCAAGAGCATTTCAAGTCTTCTAAATTTCCAAATTAATTAATTGTTTAATGTATATTAAAATAGCTGTATATTTTATTTCATATTTTTAATGAACAACTGAACAAAGACATTAATCTTTAAATATTTTATGACAGCCTAATCATTAAAACATAGGGGTGTAACGATTTATCGTTGTACGATTTATTGCGATACAAAAATGTCACAATATGCATCGTGGCGTTGACAATGACCTTTTGATTACGATATGACGTCCGTTTTCTCTTATTAGTTGAGCTGTTTGCACGCGAGCTAAGTTCTACCTGCTGTCGCACGTGAGTTCAGATTGCAGCAGCAGTAATTGATGCAGACCAAGATGAGTGGAGTTGAAATAGAGGATGGCCCATCCTCTCAAAATCAGACAACTGGCAACATTTCGGTTGTACAGTCATTGCTTTAGACTTGTCCGCTTTTTAACACGCATACTGGGTCAAACATTTTTAAAGTTTTAAAGTCTTCACAGTGATTTACATACTTTGCACAGCGACATCGATACCTCCTAATGGTGTTGAAAGAGTCAATTATTATTATTATTATTATTATCATCATCATAATCATTATTATTATTAGCATTATTATTATTAGCATTATTATCATCATCATTATTATTATTATCATTATTATTATTATTATCATTATTATTATTATTATTATTATCATCATCATCATTATTATTATTATTATTATCAATATTATTATTATTATTATTTTTACAGCAGTGATAAAGAATCTTAAAGGTCACATAAAAACACTATATTTTAATGTGTGTTCATATCGCCAAATCAGAACAGAAATCAGGTTGCATATTTATGCTTATTCATGCACTTAATTTTGCGGTGACCATGCATTTCCTAGCCACATTCTTCAGACGCTTAAAGTCCCTCGGTCCTATTTGTATTCCGTCTGAGTTTTTTATTGACACAAGAAACCTCTTTACAATAAACAATCCACACACCAAATTAAGATAATGGCAATAACGGAAGCTCGCCTTCATATTGTAAGTGCTGGGAAGGTCAGACGTGCGCCTATGAATGCGTCAGGTGAAAAACCTATCAAGTATGTCGAGCCGGAGTTTCTATCAAGCCTTAATATCTACTGTCTCGCTTTGAGTAAGTGCCTTGTCGGAGATGTATCGATGAAATAGGCTGGAAGCTGCTCTGTCAGCCCGGGCTAAATAAGCACAAGACTGATAAGTTCCTACAGTAAGAGTCTAAAGGTCATTAATACATTACCTGTTGGGGACTAGCGAACGCTGCAGAGGAATGTATTGATTTTTTTTTTTCTTCTCTCTGCCTGTAGGACGTGGTTGTTCCTCTGCGGGATCTTTCATCTCTGAGATGAACAGTACACGCTTTATCCTAAACCGTTCGTACAGGCTGTGTGAATCAGAAAGATTGAAATAAAGAACATTTTTGTTTTATTTTACTAAATAGTAAATGAGCAAGTTCTATTGATCTCATAATGATAATAATAATAATAATAATTGTTATTATTATTATTGTTGTTATTATTATTATTATTATTTTTATTATTATTATTATTAGAGATAATTTATGTCAGATTGGGAGTTTTTTTTTTAACTGTTTTATACTTATTTGTTTTTATACTTATTTTTACATGCTTGTATCCATATTTTTACATATGTTCTTTCTTGCTCTCTTAGCTACTTGTGTGAGAGATAGATAGATAGATAGATAGATAGATAGATAGATAGATAGATAGATAGATAGATAGATAGATAGATAGATAGATAGATAGATAGATATTCATCCATCCATTCTTCCATCTAACTCCTCCATGCATACATCAATTCTTATATCTAACCCATTCATACATCAATCCATCCATCCGTACATACATCCAGGGCTTAAAATTAACACCCGCCAAATGTGGGTAGATTTCAGCTTTGGCGGATTAGACACACCTCCACTAGCCACTTTGGCTGGTTGAAAATAATTTTTAAATTGTGGTTTTCTTAAAGCAGTCAAATATAATTTACTGTCATCGTGGCAAAGATTTTAGAAATGAGTTTTTAAAACTATTATGTTTAGAAATGTGTTGCAAAAAATCTTCTCTCTATTAAACAGAAATTGGGGAAAAAATAAACTGGTGCTAATAATTCTGACTTCAACTGTACATGCATACATGCATACATCCATCCATTCTTCCATATAACTCATCCATCCATTCTTCCATATAACTCATCCATCCATTCTTCCATATAACTCATCCATCCATTTTTCGACCTAACCCTTCCATACATCAATTCTTCCACCTAACCCATCCATACATCTGTCCATTCATACATGCATGCATACATACATTCATACATCCATTTTTCCATCCAACTCATCACTCCATATATGCATCCATTCTTCCATCTAACTCCATTCATCCATCCAACTCATCCAATCCATCCATTCATCTATACATTCCTCCAAATTATTCATTCTTAAATTTAACTCATCCATCTATTTTTCTAACTCATACATACATACATACATGCATCCATCCATCCATTCATTCTTGCATCTAACTCGTACATCATTCCAGCCATCCATTCTTCCATCTAACTCATCCATACATCAACCTATCTATCAGTCTATCTAACACACACAAACGACCACCTTCTGTTAAATATGTGTTTGTTTCATATAAACTTGTTACATACTTGTGTTTATACATATTTCTGGTACACCTCAACGCGGTTATGTACATTCTTGTTATACAGTCATTGCATACCTGTATACTTTTACATTTATACATGCATACTTTTTGCATCCTTATTACAAAATTATGCACTTGTTACAAGTGTATGCACATACTTATTACGTACAGTACATTTTTACATACTTGTATATTTGTTACATACAGTATACAGTTAGAACATGAATACTGGTGTATTCACATACGTGTGTGTGTGTGTGTGTGTGTGTGTGTGTGTGTGTGTGTGTGTGTGTGTGTGTGTATATATATATATATATATATATATATATATATTACATGCATATTTGTTTATGTGCATACTTATGTACTTGTTGCGTACATGTTACATGTGCACTTGTTGTACTTATTCAGAAAAAAAAGCACAATTAGGCCATTATTAATAAAATTAGTTGTAGTATTAATTGAAGTAGTGTTGTAATTTTGTCTTTTTGTTTTATATATTTAAAACCAATTTGTGATTTGTGTTGGTTTGGGTTTTTTTTATTTTTTTTTTAGTTGAAGCTGTTTGTTTTGTAGCTTGTCTTTTTTATTATTTATTTAACCATTTTTATTATTTTCCATTATTATTATTTGTTCTTTTTAATGTTAGAATTTATTTAAATCCATATTTATTGCAAGTAATATAAAGAGCTCCAGGTTTAAGTTTTGCTTGTAGTCATCGATGGATTTTTCTACATGTCTTTTAAAAATGTCTTTGTCTTCTTCTATCTGCAGTTGAACAGTTTGCCTCCGGACACATGCAGCGAGTTCAGTTTCTCCAGGAAGGGTCAGCTGATCGTCAGTGCCAGTCGGCCGTCCAGTAGTCTGGGATCAGTTCTGTCCAATGGCACGGCTTTAACTAACGCCTCTTCTGAGCAGCTTCAGAGGTGGATACAGGCAGCTGCAAAGGTGAGGAGTTATTTCATGTCAGCTTTTATTTCACAAATGCAGTTTCTACCATGCTTTGGCCTAGTTTGCATTAGTTAAGTCATTCTACAGGAATTACTTCCTTCGATAAAATACCTAAAAAATGTCTTTGCAAAAACCTTAAAGTCTTTGCAGCCATTAACCACTTTTAGCTACCTTTAGTCACACTTAACTGCACCACTCTTATTGCTGGTCTTGACTTGTGGTGCTCTTCAAGTTATGCTTGCGTCTCCATATTATACCGGCAATGTCCTTTCCTTCTGATATTGTTGAACCATGTATAATTTCCCTTCGTTGCCTTGGACAACAGAACACTTGACTGAGTTCATTGGTTAAATTGTCCTGGTTCTTCTTTCATACTTGTATTGAGCCTTGTTCTTACTGTAGCTCCCTTCAGCAACAAACGAGCAAGAGTCTTTTTTTTTTTTTTTACTGACTGGTTTATTTTGATATAAATTCTTCAGTTCTCAACATAGAGGGCCGATCAGAAGACATCAGACGTTTACCAGACGTAAAAACTAAAAAACAAACAACAATAAATAACAACAGTGCATTTTCATATCAAATTAATACAAATCGCCAGATTAAGTTAACAAAAAATATAATGATCACATAATCTTAACTATTACAATTTAACTACTTAAATCACACAGCTCATAAACAAATAGTTAAATACACACACCAAACAAACACAGCAACAACAACAACATTACATTTCAAATCAAACAAAACCAGCAAATAAAAAAACCCAAACATACCTCATTAGCTGGTTACGGAAGGGAGAAACTCAGGAAAAGCATAAGCATCCCTTAGCTTGTTGAATGTTAGCGGCTACAAAAGACATTTTTATGCATCTCTTAAAAGTTAAAACTCAAAGGCCTCCAACATTTAAACTGTTTTTACAACTTTTGAATGAAACAATGCTATTGGAACAATATACATACTCCAGAAACAAGGGGAATGTTTTTCAAAAAATATGGATGCCTCTAATAAACCTCTGACTCTCTCACTACCTTGATGTGTTTTTATAATAAGTGTGACTTAACTCAGTCACAGCAGGACTTTGCTGATACCGATGACTCTGATTTTTGCATTTTCTGCTTTTGCTGCCATACTTTTTTACTGGTATCCTTGTTTTTTCCCATTTTTTTTGTATGTTAATTTTGTTTTATTTTTTTTCTAATTAGTTTTAATGAACATAAAATAAAAAAAAATTAAACTCAAGCCTAGCTTAAGCCTGGTTTATACTCTGTGCATTCACTTGAGTGCTCGCGGCGAATGTGACGTCATCGATGTGTTTACGGAGGTTCACTTTGGGTGCACGTGACATGATTTCTGCTAATGAAGCGCACAAGATATTTTAAAACTCAAGCAAATGATTTGTGGGGCACCGAATTTTATTTAAGTTGAATAAGAATCACTTTGAAGACATTTGGCTCTATTTTAACGATCTAGGCGCAAAGTTCAGGGTGCAAAAGCTTTAAAGGGCCATGAAACCCCCTCGTTTCAGCAGTGTGTTTTCACACCTCTACTTTGGAAAAAGACAGAAAAGTGGGCGTATCCAGCTCTGTTTAGGGGGGAGTGTCGGAGGAAGAAAAGTGGGATGGTGTGGGAGTGTCTATTTGGGCACGCGGGAGTTTCAGAGTCAAAATACACACACACACACACACATGAGAAAGTGATGCTGTTTAACCTACATGGACATCTGTAGTCGAATTATTTGCCAAATTATTAAATGGTGGACTTTAACTGCAGTTTGGCTCTTTCATTCAGAGAATTCATTCATGCCCCTCGCGACACACGAGATATTTGATTCGAGGAGCTGCTCTAAGCGTGTATTTTTCATGCAATGTTTCATACCGCACGGCGAATGAGAGAAAAAAAACCTCTGCATTTCCCAGAAACTTAGATGCACACGACAGGTAGTGTCAGAAAGCCGCGCGTGTTATTCCGGTCACTAAATGCGGTAAAAACCCTACACGAGGTTAAAGTTTGGTTGTGGTGCTAACGTGTTTACACTCTGTGCAATAGTTTGTTAGATACGAACAAACTGAATAAACAAAGAGCACTGCTCGCTCACTTACCAAATCTGTAGAGACAGGACAATCACCAGCAACTAGAGCCGCGTCTTTATGGAGAGAATACTACAAGCGATTCCAGATCTCAGCGTTTGCCGATGAGAACAGCTCTCAGGTAAACAATGTTCCTCCTTAGACACGTAAGTTATTGTTGTCGTGCGTCGCGTACACTGTAATCCACACGTGAGTCTGAGCTCTCACAGAGAGAAAATGAAAACGAAACTTAACTGCAGCAAACCATAAAAGCAACACTTCACGCTTGTTTTGCCAACACAACGTGGCGTCTCTGTCCTGAAAACACGGTGATAGTAATGAATATTAATGAAGTTGCACAATAGAGCGCGCTGATTGGTTTGAACCAAGCCTTACTCATGCATTAATGCATCACACTGTAAGACGTAATAAGACTCACTCTGGTACAGACGCCCAGTCTGCACGCTGGAATACAGGCTATTATGTCATGACCGTAACGCAGCTTCAAAAATTCGTTTCAAACCGGAAGTTTGAAAACCACGGCGCCACGGCGCATGGTCTAACAGGGTTGAGCCTATTCTCTTAATGAGTTATGGGTGTGTTTTGAGAGTAAACCAATCAGAGTCCCATCTCTTATCCCCTTTAAGAGTCAGTTGCATCACGCCATAGCGTATTTGTTATTTACATGACAGACTTTAAGTGGAAAAACTGAGTGCTTCATTAGCAAGAAGTGTTAAACAGACCATCTGCAGCGCGAGACTGAGCCTCCTCATTCTTCACTTTCACTCTCTTTCCTGGATAAGGAAACGTGTTTTACGCACAGATATCCATTAGCCTACATCATTTATTTCAATCGTTCTTCTTCGGTGCTTCTGACATCCAGTTCTAATTTCCAGTTTTTTCAGTTCTGGACATTAGACCTGCTCTCATTTTAGTTCCTCAAAATAGCAACACGCCAACAATACACCTTAACACACCTCTTATCTAGACTGAAACACCCATGAGTCCACAAAGTGGCCCAAATGGATTTGCTATTTAAACAACGTGGAGGAAAAAAGGGGAAAATCAGTTTTGCGCTACTCTAAAAATAGCAACACTTCATAGAATAACCTTGTTTCGCCGGGTGTATAATAGGGCCCATTTTGTTTGCAACGGGTAAACTGTACACACATCTTTGATATGTCAATGCGTAATCATAGGGATGACATGATGACCAATATTTCTTGGCTAGAAATACCAACAGCAGTGGGAAAGGAATACAGTTTTTGTAGAATAGTTTGGGAAAAACTTGAGGGATAAGTTTGTTAAAACCAAAAAGAGGCGCCATGGCAAAAGTGGAGACCCAGGTGTTTTAAAAATACAATTAAAGAACATGTTTTTCTGTCATTAATAGGTGTTATACTGATGTGAATGTATATTCCAATTTTTAATTCAAAACAAGTTAATAGTTACAAAACTAAAATTAAGTAAAACAATTATTTCTTTGATAACTGGAAAAAAGTATTTGAATTAATTTACAATATACTGATGCCTTTTTATGTATTATTTGTGATAATGGTCCGGAATGTTGGACCGTTATTGCCTTTTTAGCATATAAGATAAAAATAATAAAAAATATATTTGTAGAGCAACCCATGTTCTGTTGTCATTGATATTTAACTTTAATATATATAATGAAACTTAACTATGAACTTTAATATATATATAATGAAAAAATATTTGTTCTTTGTTTTGATCTGTGATATTTTGATAAAACATACGCAACATTTAAGGCTAAATTCTTGCTTTTAATAAACTTTTAACTAAGAGTATTTATATAACATCATATATTTCAGTCAGTTGTCACTTTAGGAAATTTCTTTCTCAACTGTTTACTTGAGATGAAACCGACTTGTGTTTAAAGTCATATAATGTCTTTAAAAGATGGTTGTGGAATAGCAATTTTGAATTGTTGATTGATTTCAGTATCGCTATGTATCAGAATCTAAATATTTGACTACACTAGTTTGAATAGATGTTGTATTCTTATGAGTATGATATTGTCTGTGTTTTGTTTCTGACAGGGCCGCAAGACGGAGCTCATCAGCCTGCAGAAGCCGCTGTCTGGAGGCCTGGGCTTCAGTGTGGTGGGTCTGAGACCAGAGGGGGTTGGAGGTCATGGTGTCTTTGTCCGACAGGTGCAACCAGGGAGCGTCGCAGACAGGTTAGAAATCACTGCTTTGTTTACACGACTGTCCTGTGTGCTAGACATAATATTTAGTATTTTAGTTGTATATTCTAATGATAAGCAGTTAAGAGTCTGGACATAATTACTTCAAAACTTTAGGTGTTATAGATGAAATGAGTAGAATATAGGGGATTATAAAAGGATCTTTTACCTAATTTGATTTTGTACTAAATAATCAAACTTGTAATGATAATTTGAAGATAATCATTTATTTGATTACTTATAAGTGGAGTGTTGATGTATTTTATTGGTATAATTGAATAGGTTTTTTTAGACAAGAAAGTAAATGAATCGCATAATCAAAATAAGAATAATACAGTAGATGGAGATTTCATTGTTTGATTAAGTTAAATAATAAAGAACATCATTTTTCTAAAGAAATTTAATGCTAAAAATAATAATAATAATAATAATGTTGATGTACTTATAAATCTTTTAAATTCAATTTGTATTTATAAAATCCTAGTAGGGCTGCACAATATATAATTTCAGCATCGATATCACAAGGTCACTATAGTCACATCGCAAGATAGGCAATGTTTGGTCTTGATTATAATTGATCATTTGTGTTTTTGAGGCTCTATGAGGATTTAAAAAGCATTCAGGCCTAATAAATTTCACAATAAAATACAATAAAAAACCTGTGTCTTTCTTTCTTGTATTTATCTATGCTCGTAGATTGTTTATTATATTTTATGCTGTTGCACTCCCTTATTGACGTTATTCTGCAATGCAGAAGTGTGCTTGTTTGAGTACTTCCGATTCAGCTGCCTATAAGAGAAATGACTACGCTGAAAAAAATTATTCAAAGATGATTCCTTGGATTTACTAAATGTTTTAAGTTAAATGGTTGTAAACACTTTTTGGGCTGAATTAACACAAACAATTTAGGTTGAACATTTCTAAATTTGATTTGTTTCTTTAAATTCAACACACCTAAATTGTGTGCAACAAATTTTGCAGACATCATTTTTTTTAGTGTAGAAAAAATAAAAGGCTGAAAACAGTCAAACTTCTTTTTTACAACATTAAGCTACACAACGAGCCATTTTTAATGTACAATAATCAGTGGAAGGGAATGCGACCGAAAGTCTTGAGCCAAAAAGATTCTAATCGCTGCGCCTGCTCATACTTGAGGAATAAGGTCAATAGAGTCATCCCAATCCATCTGAAATGATAATTTGTTTTTACAAATAGACATATTTAAGTCATCTGATGACTGATGAAGTCATCTAATGATTGTATTAATATTGCTATATATAACGCAGAATAACAAAATATCGTGCAGCCCTAAATCATAGAAATTAATAATAATGGATAATATAGATGATCATGATGATGATGATGATGTAGTAATGTTAATATTTAGTAAATAAATATTACATGAAAAATACAATTTAGAAAAATTATAATGAATAAAACGGCAGCAATAATCATATTTAATTTGTGGATAATTAAAAATTAATTTATTAGATTGTAAAGTGTCTTCAACTGTTGGGTTAAACTGTGATCATCCCTCATATCTGCAGGGATGGGAGGCTGCTGGAGAATGATCAAATTCTGGCGATTAACGGGATTCCTCTGGATCAGAGCGTGACGCAGCAGCAGGCTATTGCTCTCCTGCAGCAGCAGAAAGACAGAGTGGAGCTGGTGGTGGCCAGAGACACCGCGCTCAAACCACGACTCTCTGCATCTGCACCAATTACGACGGTATGCCTCTCTTAAGCCCGTTTTAACAGTATATAAGTAGGGCTTTAGCATCCCTGAAAGCTTTCCAACGATTGTGGAAGTTAATTTGAAAAGAAAGCTTGTACAATTTTTTTTTTGTTGAATATGGTTTTTGCACTTGTTTGATGTCAGTCAAAAGTTTATTGTGTAAGCATCATTCCATCAAGTTGTCAAAGTTTTTCACGTCAATTGCTACCGACACATTAAGAGTATCTTCTGTGGTTTTATTAAGCAAAAGGATTGAATGTGAGCATTGTTTTTTACTTGTAGTATTGTCAGTAAATTAAATAATCTTTTATTTATATAAAATATTTAAATGCAATCGTCTTTGACCAAAGAGTTAGTAATAGTAATTCAATTTAGTTTTATTTATGTTTTCACGTTCACCTGCCGTTTCATTCTTAACTTTTTATGTTCAGTTATGTTCAAATCTGTGTGATTTGACTGGAGCTTTAAGATGACTATAGTGTGCATGTGTGCGTGTGTGCGTGCGTGCGTGCGTGCGTGCGTGCGTGTGTGTGTGCGCGTGCATGCGTTCTGCTCATCTCTGAGGCTCAGCACATAAACGCACACACAACAACATGCGTTCTCTTTTGCAATTTTAAAATGCCCAAACAGGCATAACCAAGACCAAAGTTTCAGCGAAAAACCTCTTGAGTAAATTATCAGCAAATCTTTGTTGTTGGTGAACTGTGCCTTTAAGTTAGTAGCATCACTACTTTTACTTGAGAACTTTCTTATTGCATTAGCAGTCATTCTAGTTGAATTTCTTTTGGTTATATTTCAGGTGCTTTTTGTAAGCATTAATGAGCTGCATATGCCATTTTTGGCTTCGATCAGCATTTGGAGTTTAGTCTTACCTATTTAATAAGGCCAATATTTCCTAAGGCCGAGCTCAGTTTATATTGCTTTAGTTTTAATTTTGACTAACGTACACAGATTATCAAATCCACTGACAGCACTTGTAACCAATTGCATAAGTGCCTTGATTTAACCTATAAACAGTGATTCAGAGCGTATTTATTTGCCTTGTTCCTATTATTATTATACTGCGATCCTCAAGAAAATGAAGCCCTTAAAACATCCTGTTATAACTCAAGAGTCTCTAAACCAAAGAACGAAGTGCATAAATATTCTCAGGTCCATCCTTGAGAGAAATAAAGGAGAAAATGAGGCTGGAACAGCCAGTAGATGAACTGTATTAACCTAAGCCTTCCACAATAAACACAACGCTTCCTCCTGGTCCACTTCAATTAAGTACCAAACTGCAAATGCACACACGTCTGGTTCATTTTGCTGGAAAAAAAACCACTCTGATTTGATTGTGTTGTAAGCCAGGTTGTGTATTTCTGCTTCGCCGGTGCTTATTTTTTCGATTTGAAATGTTTAATATCCTTAATTGGAGGCCTTGTCCTGCATATTAAAAGCAGACTTTGGTTTTCTTCATTGTGTGTAATGCAGCAAGCGTGTGGTTTTCATTGGACTGCCTGTTACTTCGCCAAACTCTGTCACCAGATGTCAACAAAGTCGTCAGTGGCGCTGAACTTGTTTACAAGTCGGATTAAGCGTCTGTTTGTTGCGCTCCATAAAATAAAATCAATTTTATCACAAACACGACTTGACACAGTATAGGCAGAAGGCAGTGGAGGGTACAGAGAGCTTTGCCATTTGCGATTGTTATTGTTACTTTTTTTCCACCTTTTTGCTGAATCTCAAAAACATGTTCAGGTCATATTGCAAATGAACCAAAGCATGTTTTTTGTGTAAAATTATTATGAAAGTAATTGAAATGTTTAAATTGTTAATTCTTGTTTTAATATTAAATTGATTTGGCATTTAGAGTTGTGAATTTATTTATTTGTTTATTTATTTAACTCATTGTTTATATTTCTTTATTCAGTTGTCGTTCTGTATATCATTCTATCTTTCTATCTGTCCTTCCATCTATTGCTCTTTCTGTTGTTCTTTCCATCCATCCATCCATCCATCCATCCATCATTTTATCTGTTGTTCTATCATTTTTATCTATCTTTCTAAGATCTGTCGTTCTGTCTATCGTTTTTTTCTATCTATCGTTCTATCTAACATTCTATCTTTTTAAATGCATTAAAAGGCAAGCGCATATCTTAGCCTTACCTTGAGTTTGTTCACACTCTGCCTGTATTAACATACATGCTGTATTTTAATATAGCTAATTTTGATATATTAGCTCTAACTGACAGCTTTTTCTTCTTTTTTCGCGGTTATGCGGAAAATATTATATTTCACACGCATATGCAAGGTGACTGAAATTGAAATTAAAATATAAAACTTACTGAGTCATTAAGTAAAAAAAAACAAAACAAAACAACAGTTATACTTTAAAGGAGAACATTGACCTTTTGAAACCAAAAACTGAACTGAAACTAAATTATTAAAAATAAACCTACGAGACTTAATTTATGTCCTGCGGCAAAAATATTTTTATTATACTTTTAGTGATCTGCTTGAGGTAGGTCAATTTATTTTTATGCTTTTAACGAAGCAGCATTCAACTTAAGCTCTTTAGACCATGCGCCTGACCGTTTCTCAGTGTTTCGCTGCAATGTCTTTAAATAAATAATTTATTTAGGCCTATTTTCATTATTCATTTATTTTCATTATTCGTTTGTTATTATGTACAATAATTGAGACATAAAATGAGATAGTAAAATATAATCAACAACGAAAATGTAAATAAAAACATAAATGGAAAAAGTCTTGTCTTAGTCCTATCAAAATAGCTAACACTGAACATCTCTCTATATTTAGGCTAAAAGACTGCTTTATTTATTTATTTATTTGTACTGAATGTTTGTGCTTTTCATTTTAGTTGTCTTTTATTACTTCAATTCTATTTTCCAAAACGAGTCCTCTTTGCACTTAAAAAGTTTACAATAAAGCGTGTTAACAAATTTTAAATGATTAATGAAGGAATTATAAAGCTTTGACTTATTGTTGAATCTCATTTACAAGCACAGTAGCATATTTAAAGCTGCTTTACAGGCTTTTTCTGTCCGTTCGCATTTCGTCCCTTTGTGCCCCCTGGCGGCTCATTCACAAACTGCGGTCATACACTAAAAACAGAGCGGCAGCAATTTCAAACGGCGGCGGTATATGCCCCGGCGGTAATAGTCACATTGAACTCTCACCTACTGTATTATCTAACGTTAAAACTTTCGTTCCATATATTGATCTATTGTTCTATTTATCATTCTATCTATTGTTCTGTCTATTGTTCTATATGTCAATATATTGTTCTATCTATCCTTCTATCTACAGTATCTAATGTTCTATCGATCATTTTATCTTTCATTCTATCTATCGATCGATTGTTTTATATCATTCTATCTATCATCTAATGGTTGTATCTATCGGTATGTCTATTGTTCTATCTGTCAATCTATCATTCTATTTGTTCATCTCATTCTCTCTATCCATTTTTCTATATTGTTTATCTGTCTGTCTGTCTGTCTGCATGTCTACCTGTCCGTCCGTCTGTCATGTTATTGTTGTGTCTATCGTTTTATCTGTTGATCTATCTATCGTTATATCTATCCTTGTTTCTATTGTCCTATCATTCTATCTATCATCAAAATATTTAAGCATTTTACAAAAAAATATATTGTTAGTCCTGTTATTCATAATAATTTTATAAACATTTACAATTTCTTACAATATAGTTACTTAAATATGTCTCTTATGTATTTATTATAATAAAAATATTAATTGTTGTTGTTTATTATTATTATTATTACTATTATTATTATTATTATTATTATTACTATTACTATCATGGGGATAATTGTGACTTAATATGATTACTGAATTGTCCTGATTTTATAATTTGCGTTTTCTTTGGTGACCAGAACATGTTTTCATTAAATTCATCCTATTAGATCACAAAAAGTGGGAGCCTCAAGTCAAAACAAACTCCAAACGCATTGTTTCTCTCTTACATTTAAATACCTGTCAGTTGGAGACTTGGGAATTACTAATGTCAATCATCATATGTCAGCTTAAAAGCTTAGCAATGAAGACGTCACTTCTCAAGCATGTGTTATGTCCTCTTTCTAACCCCCTATTCAAACAGACCCCCGTCTTCCCTTCCATTTCAATCTATTCTCTTATCGTTTAAAGCTGAGAAAATATTTATCTATTTAAAATTGCTCTGCCCCCGAGGGATCGTTTCTCTGTTCCTCAAATGTAGCTGAGGTATATTTTTCCTCACTTTTCCTGCCCTCTCCTATCTCTCCATAGACCCGGACCTCCAAAAAACCTTGAAAATATCTTGAATCCTAATTATGTTCCTTTTGGAAAGTCTCATGTAGGCAAGAGCTGTGATGCACTGCTCTGGGATTCCCGTTCCTGGAGGAATAACATCCAAGCTTTTTCCCCAACGGAGATGTTTCCTGCCTCCCACAATGGCTTTCTCATTAGCCGTCTAATGCATAGATGTTTATGTAAGCTGCGGCCTGAAGGAAATATGGCTGTTTGTGGAAAGAAATGTTGCTGTATGTCTTGCTTTTTGATTTGCAGTGGGAAACCTATTTAAAAATAAATAGATAGTTTTTTTTTATTATTATTATTAAATTGAGGAACAGATTTATTATATCGTAGTGAAAACTGAAATATCCTTAGTTTTTGTAAAAAGTGTAATTTTATGATGCTTATTTCAATTTTTTTTCATTGTTTTTTATTATTATTATTATTCTTTTTTTATTATTTGCAATTTATTTATTTTTATTTGAAATCTTTTTTTTTTTTTGCTTTCATTTTTTTTCTTTGAATTTTTTAATTATTTAATTTATTTATTTAGTTTTTGGGTTTTGTGTTGTGCTTTTTTATTTATTATATTTTTTTTCCACTTGTTTTTTTTTTTAGTTTGGCTTTTATTGAGATTTTTTAAAATAAAAAATACGTATTGTTCTTTTTCTTTTTTTGTTGTTTTTGTTTTGTTACTTAATTTATTTAATTAAACAAATAAATAAATTATATTATATTATATTATATATATATATATATATATATATATATATATATATATATATATATATATATATGTATGTATTTATGTATATGTATGTATGTATATGTATGTATGTATATGTATGTATGTATATGTATGTATGTATATGTATATATATATGTATATGTATGTATGTATATGTATGTATGTATATGTATATATATATATATATGTATGTATATATATGTATGTGTATATATATATATATATATATATATATATATATATATATATATATATATATATATATATATATATATATATATGTGTATATGTGTGTGTGTGTGTGTATATATATTATTTAAAATCATATAAAGTGCTTCATAATATCTGATATTAATGAATGATACTTTTTTGTTTCCCCTTACTAATGTGCATCATTGACAATAAGACCAGAAATGTTTAAGCAAATAGGATTAGTTTTGTTTTCTTTCTTCTTACCTCAAAATTACTCCTTACTGAACTAAATAGAGTAGAATTTGGACCCAAGTATAAGCCTTGTTAAAAAAAGAAATAAAAAAAAGAATCAAGCGTTTCTTTGCACTCTCAGAAAGGGACTTCTTATCTCCGAAATGGTTCTTTTCTCCTCACAGCGGGATGAGCACTAGTGTAAAGCTTTGTTTCGAAAGAGCGACAAGGCGAACGACAGAGGAGGGGTTTCATTAGATAGTGAGAAAATTGCAGAGGTAGTCACCCGGCAGATAACGGCCAGGTAATAAGAGAACAGAAATGTACTGATTGTGGGTCATTTATATGAGCCCAAGGAGACTTGGGCGATTAGAAAGTGTGGCTGACGTGAGATCACAAAGACTCTCGTGGGCTTTCCTGACCCGGACATTGATCAGCCGCTGCAGGATCACACCGTTAACTTGTTCATTAGCATTCCCTGGCCTATTACCACTCCGTAGTCACAGGTCTTGGGTCGTCAATCGCTCCCTATTTGGACAATCAAAGGTGATTGAATGGATCTTTATTCTTTAAGTAGACAGTTTTGTGGCTCAAAGTAAAATATAGCTGACACTCGCTGACCTCTAAATGTACAAGACAAGTCAAGGGATTGAAAGCGGTCCCCGGTGTGTGTCTTTTGCAGGATCAGTGGGGACACGTGGAGGAGATCGAGCTGGTGAATGATGGATCCGGTCTGGGATTTGGGATTGTCGGTGGAAAGACGACAGGGATGGTGGTCAGAACCGTGGTGCCAGGCAGCGTTGCAGATAAGGTTTGTGTTTGCATAATTTTACTGAACTATTAATGATGTTAATTTTAGAACCAAATTTCAGATGTTGAAAAAATACTTTTGAAGGTGTTCTCCCTAGGAAATTTTGCATTTCTTGCAATAATATTGAATTCCTTTGCAAAATATTCACAAATGTGTGTGCATTTTGCCATTTTAAAGCCGGTTTTGTAATTACTAGTAAATTTCCATACTTGTGAATGGGGTAGCGTTTACTACGTTGTACACTGATAAGCTATGCAAAATTGCATGTATAATCAAGCTATTGTGAGACCAAAGATAAGCATTCTGTGATTTAATGACAGCTGTGAAAGCAGTTAAATCTTCTCTTTATTAAGCGACTGCTATATGGATTTCCTGAGTTTCAGCAATACTGTTTTTATTGTTGCATGAGATTCCCGCTTTTTAAAAAAAATTTTTTTTAAAGATGCATTCCGTTAAAGCACATCAGTAACTCGCCAGTAACTTTTTTCAGTGTATGTTCCTGTAAGAAAACATTGCAAATAATTGGAAATCTGGCCACCGCAATAATCAAAATCTTGGGAACAAATGTGGTTGGAATCAAAGTTCGCAGTGACCGTGTTCTCTGAACTCCTCTCAAGCGATGGACTTCTACACTCTGATTGCTTGCCACTGAAATGCATCATAGCTATCCACTACGGCCACACCGGCGAAGACGTGCCGTACTGCTCCTCGACGCTTGTCGCCACCAGCTCCCATTGAAAATGAATAACTTGCAGCTACTTCCTCTGAGCCAAATAATGAGAGAACCAAATTTCCTACCACAGCTATGCTGATGACACTCAGATCTACTTAGCCTTACTGCCTAATGACTACAGCCCCATTGACACCCTGTGCCAATGCATTGATGAAATTAACAATTGGATGTGCCAAAACATTTTTCAGTTAAAAAAATGGAAAACCATAGTCATTGCGTTTGGGAACAGGTATAAGGTTCTCAAGGTGAATGCGTACCTTGGCTCAACAACAAAAAATAAGGTCAAGAATCTTGGTGCAACTCTGGAGTCAGATCTGAGTTTCAATAGTCATGTCAAAGCAGTCAGTAAATCAGCATACTATTATCTCAAAAACATTGCAAGAATTAGATGCTTTGTTTCCAGTGAAGACTTAGAGAAACTTGTTCATGCTTTTATCAGCAGCAGGGTGGATTACTGTAACGGCCTTCTCACTGGCCTTCCCAAAAAGACAGTCAGACAGATACAGCTCATCCAGAATGCTGCGGCCAGGATTCTGACCAGAACCAGAAAATCAGAGCACATCACACCTGTCCTCAGGTCTTTACACTGGCTGCCAGTTACATTCAGAGCAGATTTTAAAGTGTTATTACTGGTCTATAAATCGCTAAATGCCCAAGAAGCTCAATACATTACAGATATGCTCACTGAATACAAGGCCAACAGATCACTTAGATCTTTAGGATCATATAAACTAGAAATTCCAAGAGTTCAGTCAAAGCAGGGTGAATCAGCTTTCAGCCACTACGCCCCTCACTGCTGGAATCAGCTTCCAGAAATGATCAGATGTGCTCCAACATGGGGCACATTCAAATCAAGACTGAAAGCACATCTGTTTAGCTGTGCCTTTACTGAATGAGCACTGTGTTACATCCGACAGATTGCACTATTATGTCTTTCTTTTCTTTATTCTTTTATAACCTGTTTTAGCACATTTTAATGTTTTTATCTGTTTTTAATAATTTATTGTTTGTTTTTATTTTCTTATACTTATCTTTTTTTATTCTTGTTTATGGAAAGCACTTTGAATTTCCACTGTGTATGAAATGTGCTATATAAATAAACTTGCCTTGCCTTATTTTGATGCTCTTGCCACTTTCGGTGTGACAGACATCAAGTTGTTTAGAATTAAATGTTTAAAGATGGTTCGTCATATGCTGATTCGGTCCAGTTACTCCTGGTTTCTGTACCCAACCCTACTAATTATGCAAAGGAACTTTGCAATTTTAAAAGAGAAGTGTTTATACAGGTGGTTTGTCAAGCCCACTCACCGGTGTGAAGCACACTTCATAATTCCACAATGTTTTTTCTGTTTTGTTTTGTTTGTAAGAATGTGTCTGCTGCAAATGTGAATCTTGAAGATCGGATTGTTCTCCACTCACCTAAATATATCAGCTTTATTCTGTTCCATGCTTTGCTAGGAGAGACGGAGACTGGAAAACAACCTGTCCTGGTTTAGACCCCTGACACACACACACACAGACACACACACACACACACACACACACACACACGCACGCACACATACACACACACACATGCACTCCTCCTCTTCGCTCCCACCCAGTGTCCAGAGCTCAGGCAACAAACCCCTTCTTGTTCAAAAGGCACATTGCTTGCATTTCACACATCAGTGGATCTTATGCTCCAAAAAAGCTGTCAAAATCAGGGCTTTGTTATCCCTGGCGTTTCCCATTTCAACCTTTAATGGCTGCGGCGGGCTTCAATGCACCCCCGCTGTCCCCGGCACAGTGGCAGGAACAAGCTGCCGAGATTTTCCCCCTGCGCAACTTGATGTATCAAACGCCTTTCATGTCTCGCGCTCCACAAAGACGCCTGTTCTCCTCTTCGCGCTTTGTGTAATCGCTCTTTTAGTCCTCCTCTTTCCTCTGGCCGTCCGTTTGGCCTGTCTGCCAGAGTCCTAGAAAGAATCCGTCTCTCAGCTCAAGCCGACCGGAAAAGGGCTGTCCATGAGGAAAGGCCACGCAGGAGTGACACGGTTATTGTGGATGCTAGACTCCTGGCTTCTGCACCTGTGGATGATAGGGACAAATTAGGTTGTAAACGGGAGATTTGGCTTTAGTTTGAGGCTGGGAGGTAAACTGGGCTTTAGGGGATGGTGGAAATGAGTTCTAATGCGCTCGCGATTGTTAACGTGTTCACTGCCGTGGTGGTAGTCTAGATATTGTATGTATTGTAAAAGGTTAATGAGTCATGTATTGGATAGTGGGGTTTTTCTTCATTTGTTTGTTTTAATTATAAAACTATAAACTAAATGGTTAACAATTCAATAATTGTAAATGTTATTTATATTTCAGTTTACATTTTTTTTTAATTTTTAGATAAAATTTAATCCTGTTTTTAGCCCAGTTGATTTACTCAAATGTATTTATAAAAATGATATTAATAATAGAGAAATAATAGTAAGCACAAATAATAAATATAAAAATTATTATGATATAAAAATTAAATATATAAAATAAATAGCATTAAAGTATAATAATAATTAACTTTTAGAACATTTAAATGTGCTGTGTGGTGGCACAGTGGGTTGCACTCACATCGCCTCACAGCAATAAGGTTGCTGGTTCGAGCCTCTGTTGGGTCACTTGGCACTTCTGTGTGGTGAGCCCAGATCAATAAAAGGACTAAGCTGAAAAGAAAATGAATAAAATGATATAAAGTAAGTTAGTTATTATTATTATTATTATTGTTGTTGTTGTTATTATTTGCCACGTAGCGTTCTGTTATAGCTTAATGAAAATGGTTGTAAAAACAATTAAATAATTGTAAATGTTGTTCATGTTTCAGTTTACAATTTATAAATCTTTTTAATAAAAATATTTAACCATGTTTTAGCAAAGTTTTTTTTACTCAAATGAATTATTAAATTATATTAATAATAGTAAACTAACACAAAATAAAAAAGTATTTAAATGTTGAAAATATTTAAATTGAAATGTAAAATAATTAGCTTTAAAGTATAATAATAATTGACATTTAAAACATTTAATTGTGCAAATTTGCATGGTATTTGTTTAAGTATCTTTTTTGGTTAAAATAATAGTACAAAAATGTTGCATCACTATGGAAAATGTTTTATTAATAACAAAACAGAAACTATGTTAATTAAATCAAATGTATAAGAATATACATTATTGAATGTATTATTAGTAGTATTTATTAAATGATTACAGTGTGAAATTTTAAATGTGAAAAGAGTAGCATTTTATTTTATTGAGATTATGTAATGTGAAGGGCGACGCTGACAAGGAAGTGTGGATCCAAACGCAGGTTTATTAAACAGAATGATCAGGCAAGCAACAGTTAATAAAGGAGCAAACAGATGTATACAAGCAGTCTAGGGTCGTGGTCATGAAACAGGTGGATGGTCAAGCAGGCAAATTTCTATTTTATCTTACATTGTAATAAATTTATAATAAATACAAATATGCAATTGTTTATGGATATTTGTATTAGTATCAAAATAAACATTATTGCTGGATGTTTTTTATTTTTTTAGCACAATTAAACTTGTCATGCAAAAACTTGTTTGATACTATAGATTAGTTGATATGTAGATAGAAAGACAGACCGATATACGTCAAAATGGGAATGAATGAGTGAATGAATAAATGAATGAATGATTCTCACACTCACACAAAGACACACACAAACACACTGACCTCAGTTTCTCTCTGGTTTGTGTCATTGACCTGCAGGACGGGCGTCTGAGGACAGGTGACCACATCCTGCGCATCGGGGACACCATGACTCGAGGTCTGGCAAGTGATCAGGTGGTGCAGGTGCTGCAGGCCTGCGGTGCTCATGTGCGGATGCTGATCGCTCGAGAACCACTGGGGGCCAAACAGCCTGCACCTCCACCGGCCCCTGCCATGGGCCCTGTCAGCTCCCTGCCTCCTCCACCACCTGTGCCAGCCCGCAGAGCCAGCAGAACGGTACGCTTACACGACCCATAAATACAACAAACAAACTTTTCATTAGATTGAGGATATTTAAAAACGTATCCCAAAAAAAAAACTCTATGTATTGATTTTCCATGCATTGGTTAAAATAATTCTAATAATTTTTCTTAAATATTTATTTTAGTTTTGCATCTACATAATTTTCAATAGGTTTAAGCACATTTAACTTTTTGCACATTTAATTATATAAATTATAGCATTGTAAATCACTATTGCAGGTTATGGAAATACATGTAACATTCAAGAAAATAATTATGAAAATAATATTATATAAAAAATAATATATAATATAAAATAATAATAATAATAATAATAATAATAAAAACAAATGAAATTATATAATAATTTAAATATACAATATTTTGGTATTTTATTTTACCTGCTTTAATTTTTATTAAAATCGATTAATAAAATGTATTGACATACACTGTAGTCAAGTGTAACATTGCTTATATTTAATTGAGTTTTAGGGTGAAAATAAAACTGATGTGATGTGTATACACACACACATGCACGTATGTATGTATGTATGTATGTATGTATGTATGTATGTATGTATGTATGTATGTATGTATGTATGTATGTATATACATACATACATACATACGTGTGTGTGTGTGTGTGTATACACACACACACACACACACACACACTACACACAGTTGATTTGAAAATTCTGACTTCAACTATATATAAAATAAACTTGACATTTTACAAATATTGTAACATTTAAAAATATTATTTCATTATAAAGCATATCAAATAACGGTGGAATTTGCTCATGAAATTGCATGTTGAATTCAAATAGGCCCAAAACACAAGTATGTGATATATATTATATATATAAAGTATTTTATATTATATTTATATACAAGTATAAATTTACAGTACTTGCATGTAAATTTATTGGAATGTTGTATGTTTAGAAACATTAAAACCTCATCTTCTCTTTCAAATTCACGCAGCCAAATTTGGAGGGCTTCGAAATCCATGAAGTGGCCTTGAAGAAGGAAGGCCAGAGTCTGGGCATCTCCATAATCGGCCACAACGCTTTGACCAGTGAGGGTGAGAGTCTGGTAGTGCGGTGTTTTCCTCCATCAGTGCAGTGTTATTGATTATTTACTGGTTTCTCTGCTCTCTGTTGTGTGTCAGACGCGGTCGGGGTCTATGTGAAGAACGTGATTCCAGGCAGCATCGCAGAACAAACCGGCAAAATCCAAATCCACGATAGGATCATAAGTGTGAGTTCTTAATCACTTTATAGCGAAGCTCTACCTTCTATAACCCCATCACTCTTCCATTTCATCCTTTAATAAGAGTCGCTAAGAGTTGGACAATATTAGTAATTTGCTCTATTTTTGTGCTGTTTATGTTAAAAACATATTTAAAGGTCCAATGCAGTGCTTTGAAATGTGCATTTTTTTGTTTTTAATTCAATGTTTGACGTAACCTCAACTGAGAGAGAGGGCGGGACATTAAGTAGCCCCTCCCCTTTAAAAAAACCAATAGCGTTATGTTTTTAATCACTCCTTTGACATTAAATGGTTGAGCTCAAGTGCATCAAATTTAAAGTGTTTTGAAGGGGGCAGAGCATTACAGACACTAAAGAGCATTTGATTGGTCAAGATTTATCAAAAAATTGAAGTATGAGGTGAAAGAAAACATTGATCCATTTAGTTGGAAGTGACAAACTGCAAGCTTGATGGTGCATTCACACCAGATGGACATGTCAAGCACAAGTGATTTACATGTTAAGTCAAATAGATGCGAATAGACATCCTGTAACGTGATTCGCTCAAATAAGGCAGCCCAAATGACGCGATTCGCTCGAGTTGGAAAATCTGAACTTTAGCGTCGCATTCACCAATCAGGAGCTTTAGTAAGGGCATGATTATGACGTAGCTCCTTCAGTTCCCGAGGGGAAATCCTGTTACCGACACCAACCAACAGCCCATCAAACTAGGTTGGATTAAGCCTGAAGCACCACTGAAAGCTTGCATCCAGGTATAGTTTCTGGGGGAGTTTTTGAGCTCACAGAGCTGCTCTGAATGGATCTAATGGACTCCGACACAGTGCCGAACAAATCTACGCTAATTTTCAGACTACCTAAAGCACATAAAGCACAGCCACTCTCTCAAAGTCCATGTTAGCCATTTAGCAATGAAGCTAGAGTCACCGGGCAGACAGAAGCCACTACCATGATGCTAATCCGCATCTATTTTGAAGTGAATTTGATGTGCGAATGAAGCCAGTAAACTCAAAATGTTCACGTGTCTATTTATGCGCACGTTGCATGATTTATTCACTCAAGACACGTCTGGTGGCACCATATTAGAGGTTTATATCAGTTTTATATCTTCTAAATGCAAATTTTGTCACTGTTTAGGAGCACACTAGGTTACAGACATCCTTAAAACTAACATGCTAATACTAACATCTTACCTTTTAATTTCATTTTACTGGGCCTTTAATACAGTTTAATAATTTGTCAGATTTAATGATTTTCAGAATTAATGAAGTTTGAAATGATATTTATTCCTGTGATTTAAAGCAAAGTTTTTAGCATCATTCCTCTAGTTTTCAGAGTCCCCTTTTGATTGCTGTGTGTGCTTGTATGTGTGTCTGTAGTTGGATGGTGTAAATCTCCAGGGATACAACAATCAGGAAGTGCTGGAGGTGATGAAGCAGTCAGGTGATGTCGTTCACCTCACTCTTGTTAGGAAGATCATCTCGCCCAAGAGGACGACCATGGAGAAGTCACTTGATAAAGGTAAAGTCACATGATTTGAGTTAGGTTTTATAAAATATTCATATATAATTTAATTTTAATAATAAAATCTTAATTCTAATTTTAACGCTGTTGTTGTTGTTGTTTTTCTTATTCTTGTTAGAAATAATGCATGATTTCATAGTTTTGATATATTTTCATTTATTTTATTTTGACAAAAGGCTTTAAATAAGAATTTAAAGAACAAGTATTTTATGGAAAAAAATAAATAAAGAACTTGTATTATATGGAATATATAAAATTCGACAACAGTTTTGTCTGGATCTCGAATCTTATTGGCTGATAGCCATGAGATATTAAAGTAATATCAGCACTCAGACAGCCTCTTCACGCTTCTGTATTACAAGTCGGTCTCTTTCTTTTGTATTTTATATTGCTGTATTTATGCCATATAATCTAGTAGTGATTGCTTTGTTTTGGCGTTTTTGGGGTTACATTTTTCAGAGAAATACTGGGAAATCTCTGTAGACTAATGTCATTTCATGCAGTTTACCCAGTTCTTAAAAAGGGAGCAATGTCATCTGTTTTGTCATCACATAGAAAATACTCTACATCAGGGCAATTCAATTGGTTGCCTGCGGGCCGAACCTGGCCTCCAAGGCAATTTGTTCCGGACCTACAAATAGTATGACCGAGACATCATAAATAAATTTAGTTCAGTCGAAAAACAGTCACTATAGTTATGAAGTAGCGTGCGTCTATTTAATACAGCACAAGCTGCAGTTAAAGGCTGCTCAGAGAGTGAGTCACCTGATTAAGCGAGTAGCGTGAGCAGCCGAAAACATTTGGATATGTTTGTAGAAAAGGCCTTTTGTACAATGCACTGATATTGTTAATAGAGATGCAATGATTAGCCGATTTCACTATTAACTCCGGTTTTATTCATTAAAGGCTTCTCAATGCCGCATTTCTGTTGCACTGGGAAAAAAAGCTGCCACAACTAAACAAAGTTATGCCAATACGTACGCACATTGGATTAACTATAGTAGCAAGCTGTTGACATATTGCGTCTTTTCCTCACGCAAGTACATTATTTCCAGTGAAGATGTGCGCATATCGGGAGCAGTGTGCACACGGCTGACAAGTGGACTGACGCACTAGCGCCCTGCATGTGCACATAGTAGAAATTATCTCACACTGTTGTGATGGGAGTTGTGCATGGCTTTCAGTGCAATGTAAACAAAAGATATGTTAGACGAATAATTACAAATTATTATAATGATTGTGTATGTATGAACGCAGATAATAACAACAGTTCATTTAAATTCCTAGCTAATATATAGCTTAAATTAACATTTAGACAAATATGATTTTTTATTTATTCTTATTTTTATTTATTTACTTATTGTTCTATCATTTATTTTTATTGTAAAATTATCACTCATTTAAATAAAAATCTTTTAAATTTATTTTAAAGTCCAAAGACAAAAACGGACTATTGTTTGTTTTTTATTAATATTTTGTGCTGTATTTAGTTACTGAGCAGCAATGAACAACACTTTAAAATACAAGCAGTTTTCTTGTGATCTTCTAAACTAGTAGTGTTTTAAATTTATTAAATGCATAATAATGGTGATAACTGTGAAACCATGATTATTCTTCAGATTATAATCATACAATCAAAATCTATAATCGTTGCATCTCTAATAGTTACGCAGTTTAAAACATAACATATGAATGTGTATGAATGTAGAAGAAGTCTACTTAAGCAATACACTGATTTTGTGCATACATTTGCATATGCTTGTTAAAAATAAAGCCACATTGTACAATGCATTGATGTTATGTAGTTTCAAAAACAACATATTAATGTTTTAATGTAGACAAATTCAATGTGGGTGTCTTTATAAGCACAAATATATGCTTTTATATGCTGTTGCGTCATCACTTAAATTGCAAGTCATATCTCTCCGGCCCCTCATTTGGAATGCTTTTCATGAACTGCTCTACATAATGCAGGTAAATCATTCAAATGCTAGTTCTAAAGTGACGTTTGTGAACTGGCGACGGTTTCTGGTGTTCTGATGTCAGCTGTAGATCTGAATGAATGTTGGAAAAAAGTAGTTCCTCATACAAAAAGGTTTTTAAGACTTTCCATGTTTGATTTTATTTTTTTATACACCCAGTTGTGCCGTCAAACTCTTGTATAAACACAATTTCATGCTTGTAGCAGTGCGATATAGCTTTATATCGGCACTGGTTGGGGGCACTAAGGCACTGGGCCTGTGGCCTCGAGCCAACGCATATCTCCCACCAATGCTGATATACAGCCACATCGCGCTGCTACAAGTATGATATTGCTCATGTATGATACATTTGAAGTAACCCGACACTTATTACATTTTAGTACAATTCAAACCTATTTTTTATTTATTTATTTTTAATTATTACTATTTTAGTTTAATTTATTATTTTATTTAATTATATTTTATTAATATTAATTTATTTATTTTTATTTTATTTATTTTCATAAAATAGCTGCTCAGAATAACAAATTATTTGTTGTGATTTTTGAAAATCAGGGTTGTTGTAGCGTTTATTGATTTTTAACTCTGAAGTTATCGCTGAAATTTTTTCTGAAGTTAAAGTGCCATTGTGTTGTCTAAAAATGAATATAAACATGAATTAAAAGTAAGTATAGTTATGTGTTTGAACACATTCACATTTATTCATTTAGCAGATGCTACAACCCAGAGTGGATAAAATAAGCACTTCAAATTAGTGCACAACATCATGTTTTAAGGACATGTCTTCCAAATTTCCCAAAATATGTTTGTATTCGTTTTAGATGACACAACACAATTGTTTAAATTTTGCTTAGTTATTTGGTTTAATGAAGAGTGTGTGTGTGTGTGTGTGTGTGTCTGTGTGTTGTGTGTGTTTGTGTTGTGTGTGTTTGTGTTGTGTGTGTGTGTTGTGTGTGTGTGTGTTGTGTGTGTGTGTGTGTGTGTGTTCAGTCCAGAGAGAGTCGTCGCGTGTGTCTCTGAAGAGATCGTCTGAGATGAAGGCTCGAGCGGATCAGAGGGGATCTGTGGTGGAGTCTATAGACCCTGCTCTGAGTGGGATCAAACAGCAGCTGCAGGCCAACAGTGAGTTCATACACCATGCAAACCCATCTGTTCACGCACATACAGGTGCTCGACAACAGGGGGCGGAATCACAGACATCAAATGATATGAGACTCACAGCGGTCGCTTCACTTCCGTAAGACGCTTTCTTTTTTATTGGCTCTGATGTTGAGCCTCAGTGCCCATGTGAGAAATGACACTTTGATTCCGTTTCATTGCTGGTTTGATTAAAGATTTATACCAAGGGCGATTAGCTATAGCAATTCATAAAAATATGCTTTGCAGTTGTTTTACATCGTAGCTTAAAAGGAACAGTATGTCATTTCACCACAAGAGGGCGCATATTCACAACAAACAAAGGCATATTTTGATGATGCAGTATTAGTGTGGCATCATGGAAGTTGTGGTTTTCATTGCATTCTATAGGACGCTTACCATCGTAGTATGATGCAGAGTAAGACTAAAAGTCATTGTAAAAGTAAAATGAGAGCGCTGAAGCAATGACAGACACAAAAACAACATAATAAAGTACAAAAATTAAATTGTTTCTATTAAACCAATCCATAAATCACAGGTGGGTCATGTACGGTCTTTGACACTAATTAAAACAGCTTATTTCTCTGGATTTAAACTCTCTTTAAAACATATGTCAGCAAAATATATCTAACTTTTCTAATAGTTTTTGGATATTTGGATGGAAAAAAAATTTAACAATGTGCCTTTTTTATATCTTTTATTGCATTTTAACTTTACACTTCAGATAATACAGAAGTAAAAACAACATTTAAAACAAACATAAGAAAGAGAGAAAGAAAGAAAGAAAGAAAGAAAGAAAGAAAGAAAAAGAAAACAAAACTTCTCAGTATTTTACATCAATAGAGTATCTGTGACCTCTCTCTATTAACAAATCTCTTAATATATAGGGTGTATTTTCCATTGTCATGTTTGTAACCATGTCTTTCAGCAAACATCCTATAGTTGGTGCATACACATTTTTCCAGTTTAACCTCTTAAAGCCCAGTCTGTTTTTTACATGTTTTTTTTATTTCTCTTTGGTACTTGGGCTTATTGGAACCTAATTAGAATAAAACCTAAGTATCATCTTTTGATATGATCTACTTTTAGAGAAAAATGATGTGCATGTATGTGAAGTTGTGGTCCGAATTTATATGAAATACTTTTTTCCTGACTGTCTTTTAATGGATAAATTTCATGTATATTTTTTGAACATGTATCAGAGAATAAAAACAACATTTTCCCCCCATTTTGGACTGTTAAAAATAGTGTTTGGGACATTTCATATGCTGCAAAACAGTTGCAGGAAGACACTTCAGGTCTATAACAAAATATAAAACATTCAAAGTATTTTAAATGGCCACTTAAGAGCTAAAATGTGCTGTCCATGTATGTTGCCACTAAGCCCTAGGAGGTTAAAGAAATACTTTGTTTAGCTGACAATGTGCCCTTAAAAGTTAACATATAGCATGGAGGAACGATATCACGATTAATTATTTTGATCAATCAAAATTCATACTGTTTAAAAAGCTCAAGCATTTAATAAAGAAATGACAAAATGGCAGGATGATTATAGAAATTAGAAACGATACCTTAGAACAGGGGTTCCCAAACTTTTCAGCCATAACATATTAACAATACCAGTGACTCGCGACCCCTGAATTTCCTTTGAGGTGGTTATAAAGAAAGAAATGTTGCACACACAACAATAGGCCTATATAAACACGAGCATATTGACAACACAAAAAAGTGCAACAGTCTAACAAATGTATCATTTTTTTTTGTCATTAATTAGTTTAATTTAAATTTAACCTCGGCTAAAGAGACTGCTGGACACAATGTTTTCAGCACAAGTCTATTCTTGGTTTAATTTTGGAGACCGCCACTCAATATTCAGTTGTGACCTGTATTTAATTGCTGTAAAGGTGTCAAAGTATAACCTGGTGCTATAAAATCAATCTGCTGCAGCTGACGCTATGGCTGTTTTGTTAGTCTAACATAAACACACCGATCCTATGAAAAAATTTTAGTTAAAATATGGTAATATTTTCGGCATGAGAGTCACGCAATTGACAGTATTCTCATGCTCATCCCCTAAATCATCCCCACGAAAATTTTTTTCCGTTTTAATAAAGACGATTTTTAAAAACATTGTTCATTATATAAAGACATTATTCTCTATGTGCAACTAAACTACATTGCTTTCACCAGCGTTGGTTTAATCAAAAACAAACTGATGCATGCACGCAGAAAACACACCCGCATACCTCTCGCACCGTTCCTACTTACTGCTGATGCACTACTCACCTTGTAGCTCCTGGTAAGAATCCTGGTTGTGAACATGCATGCAAAAAAAAAATGTAATGGGTTGGGGCATTCACACTTCAAGCTAAAACCAAACGTTGGCAATCCTGTATAGACAATACAGACAGCATCAAAGTAAATAAAAAAGACAGAACATGACTTGATTTTATTAAGTGATATTTAATTTCATGTTTGGCTCTTGTCTTATTTGTTTACAATCAAAAGAGCGGGGTTTATAACATACTGCGGCCAGCCACCAGGGGCCGATCAACATTTTTGGCTTCACTTTTAAGCACACGTGTTGCACACCTAGAATAGATGTCCACATGGTTGCAACGCTTGCTCTGGTCAAACTAATTAAAACAGAAAACTTGTTAGGCACGTGTAGAAGCTTACAAAGAGTATGCCCAGTTATAAAAATCATGATACCTTGACAGTGGAGCTCGGTCAGCTTATGCAAAAAAACAAAAGTATACTTTGAGCCGAAAACTGAGGAATCCGATTCACCCCTCTGGATGGAGGTCAGAGTCAGGCCAACTTCTACACCAGCTTAGCAGGCTTTGTTTCAGTCATGTTAGCCGGCAGATATAAATATGCAGATAGGCGAACTGGAAGCGGAAGAGCAGGCCTTGGCTGAAGCCGAAGCAGCCCGGAGCTCTGGTTACATTCTGCCCTAATTAATCCGGACAAGACCCGGTACCTGCCAAACTCCGAAATAAAGCGTTCTGTTGCGCTGGGCCAATACATGCCCGGGATAACAATGATTGGTTGTCAGGGACTCATTTCCCAAAGCTGGAATAGCAGCACGTGTAAAATGATAGCCGCCCTCAAGTCAAAACACACAGCGCTTTAATCATGCTTTCACCTCCCGACTCCTTTTTCCCTGCGGTCTTAAGAAATTACATTGCCATGTGAGCGTGTAGATGTTGAAATCTTTTTCTTCATGGATAATGCTCGGCTGTTTTGGTACATTGACGTGACATTCGATAAGCGCAAACTTGAGTGGTTTTGCTAAATTTCACCCGTCAATTTTATAGATAACAACCCTGGAAGTGCCATTAAAATTTATTTTGTGTCACGTAAAAGTTGACAAGCCCTGAAAACAGATGTGTTTCAGCCCATTATTATAAGAACGTGGATCAAAGTTGCATTTTTTCTTTCCCCAAGTTCTGTCATTGGACAGTAAATAAGTCAAGTTTGGTGAAAGAAAATCATGGTTAGGGGTTACAATTAGTAGCTCATTGGAAACATACACAATAGTGATTAATTTTCCACTGCACTATGCCTTTATATTCTATACTGTAGACCATTTTTGTTAAGAGACAAGACTTTTGTCTAAGCAAAGTCAGACATTACTGTCCTAATAAAATAATTAAAAATCAGGGCATCATCATATTTATTTATTTTTTGTAAATAAGCATAATCTAGAGGCTTTTTATCTTTTATAAGCCACATCTGTTTTCAAATGATCAACCAGAAGTCAAGTTTTTATTTTTTGTTCCTAAAACTTGGATAGGTGACAAGACTTTTGTCATGATTTCTTTTGTGACACAAATTTAAGTGTCTAGAAACAGTGCGTTTTTAAAAAAAATTATAGTTGAATGCACAGACTAGTTGCTGCTGGATTTTCTGCATGTTTTCCAAGATCTGTCACACCAACAGTTTTCAGCCCATTAAAATCAATGCAAAATCTGACATCGAGAGCGCTCAATCAGAGACTCGGTGACAGTTAGTCCACGTTGGTATAATTGTAGTCAACCATTGCTCCAGAAATGCCCAAAGCCGTTAAAAACCACAGGAAGTACTATGTAAAGCGTCAGTCACTCAACTTTTGTGGGTCTGTAGTAACTTTTCCCATGTGATGCCCTCCATTAAATGTTGAGTGACATTTGGATAGGGGGTGGACATTTGTTCTCGGTGTCAGCAGAGTTTTTCCTGATACATAAACATAACAAGCCATTGCCGTGATCAACATTTCCCCTGTTCTCCATATTTTCCATTGTGCCGCACCTGGACTGCAGATGTTGGCTGGGGGTTGACGTCCCACGTGTTGAGGCGATGCATTGCTGTATTAATGTAGGCAAACGTTTGTGATGAATGGTGTTGCGAGTGAGGCGTTGGAAATGCTAATTTAATCAGGTCTACATCCCTCGCTCTCACTCACTATTTGACTTTACTTTTTACCATAACGTGCTTTAGCATAGAAGTCCACAAAAGGGTTTAAAATGCTTAAAAATGTTCAGTTATTTTCTGCCTGGTGTGGAAGCGGTCAGTAAAAAGGCATTTCGTTTTTGGTGACATTAGTGTTTTTTTTTTTTGTTTTTTGTTTTTTTAGATTATTATATGCAGGGTTTTTTTCATTGTGTTTTTGATCAAATAAGCAGCGAGCATAAATTGTTTTCAAAACATTATAAAATCTTTAAACAATATTGAATAAAATATTTTTAAACTTTGGAACACTGTAAAAGTAAACCATTGGATCAACTTAAAATAAAACACTTCAACTTGTAACACTAAAACAGTTATTTAAACAATTTATTAGTTGCCAGTTATAAGTTTAAACATATATTTTAGGTGTAGCAAGTAATTAAACTATAGGTGTAAGTTAAGTCACATTCCAGTTGATCATTTAGTATCAGAAGTGGCTTATATGAAAGACAAGGGCCTCTACATTACACTTATTTTTACCAAATTGAAATATGATAATGCCTTGATTTAAATATTTAAATAGGACAGTAAGGTCTGACTTTGCTTAGACTAAAGTGATGAGCTTGGAGGACTACATCCATACATATCTGCAATAAAGCCATCTGGAATGGCAAATAAAGTGTTCTTGCAGGACTCTCTGAGTTCATCAGGATTCTTTGGTTTCATCTTCAATGCCTCATCCTTTATCTTTCTCCTTAGATTCTCAATAATGTTCTCTGGTGACTGGGCTGGCCAATCCTTGAGCACCTTGACCTTCCTTGCTTTCAGGAACTTTAATGTGGAGGCTGAAGTATGAAAAGGAGCGCTATCCTGCTGAGAATTTGCCCTGTCCTGTGGTTTATGTAATTGGCAGCCAATTGTCTTGATACCTCTCGGGCTGTTGATGTTGCCATCCACTCTGCAAGCCCCCATTCTGAATGTGACCCCAAACCATAATTTTTCCTTCACCAAACTTGACTGATTTCTGTAAGAATTTGGGTCCATGTGTGTCCCAATTGGTCTTCTGCAGTATTTGTGATTATTGGGATGCAGTTTAACAGATGATTCATTTAAAAAAATCTACCCTCTGCCACTTTTCCAACTGATCAACTAGAAGTCAAGTTATTTTTTGCTCTTACAACTAGGATCGACGACAAGACTTTTGGCAGGTGGTGCCAGGTTTATTTTATACATTGAATAGCTCTTTGTCTTGGGGCCAGTGCGTTATTTTGAAGAGGTTTCATGTATTAGTATAACCAATAATATGCTTGATTTATTATTATTTTATAATATTTTGATTGCTGTAATATGTTTGATTATAGATTTAGGTTTATTGTCTTTTTTTTAGATCAATGTTTTATCTTGAGAAATAGAATATCAGCCAAAAAAAAAAAAAAAAAAAGATCAACAGGTTCAAGTCAACCATTTAAGGATTTTTGCTGACATTCGATGTCCAAATATGTAATGGGTCTCACTGTCTCACCAAAAACCCCACCATATTCTGTTAAGTTATAGCTTAGGTTACAGAAAAAAACTTCTTTTACTATCCAGATCCCATTTTGTCTAAAACCCCCTCTATACTCACTCCATATCATAGTTAAGGGTCAAAAGTGCCCATAAAAGCTGTTCCACCCATTTATTTGCCTCCATTGCCCTTTGGGCTTCCAGCCGATACTGTTCCCAGGCGTCCCGTTGTCGTTTTCTGCAGGATCACTACTGACTCCTCTCTCAACTCTTGCCCTCAGCTCACTCTCAGCCCTCTGATTATATTCATCCGTCAGCTTGACATCAATCCCATGCTAGTATGCGGCACCTGACATTAATGTCATACGTTTCCACTCACTCTGTCATGGACAGTGGGCACCCAAATGGCGGTAATTGACTTTAAACGCTGCTCTCATTATTGTGTGTGTGTTGTAGTGCAAGAGCCGGCCTCGCTGACGGAGATGGAGCTTCGCGCTAAATGGGAGCAGGCTCTTGGTCCACATTACGATGTTATGGTAAGCAAAAACGAAGAGGAAGTAATGTTAACAGATGCTAAGTGCGGCTCTCAATTAAACATGAAGCAAACTGCACATCAGCAAGAACAGCCAGCACTTACGCATACTGTGATAAGAGATGTTCGATCGACCAGCTAAATCTGGCTGTAGATTGCCTCAGTTGACTCCTGTTGAATTTGGGTTCATGTGCTGACACTTTGTTGTTTGGGTTTATTTACCATAATAGGAGTGTAATGACCCCGTTCAGGTCACAACTGTGATTGAGATAAATATAAATAAATTATATAGTAAATAAAACAATTAAGATACTTTTTTTTTTTGTTTTTTTTGTTTTGTAGATTGTACAGCTTGACCCGGTCATAGAAGATGATATTGAGCTGCAGAAGTACTCCAAGGTAACATGGAAACAGCTGTCACAATTCATGATTCATTCATTCGTTCATTCATCTCCGTAGTAGGGCTGGGTAATCCATCAAATATTGATAGTATGTAGAGGTGATCTGGTCGCATGCAGTCCTGCTTCATCTCACAACTTGCAAGTATAATAGCATTAAGATGCTCCCCACAAGTTGATAAGTTCAGTTAACTTTTGTGAATCACTTTGTTGCAGTTAATCAGTTCATAACCTTGGACAGTTTGTATGCATGATGACAAAAAGATCTACTGGAGCTGCCATCTTGCTTTTAGTAATTTATATTAAGTAGGAAAAGGCTAATATTAAGTCTTGGCTATTTATATTATAAACATTGATTGATCTTTTAGAGAAAAAATTACAATTGTTTCTAATCGAAGTATGAAATAATGTCTACAGCTTCTCCCAATACACACAATGCGTTTGGGTGTGGAATTAGACTCCTTTGATGGACACCACTACATTTCCACGGTGGCTCCTGAGGGCCCGGTGGCAAAACATGGACTTCTTCGACCAGAGGATGAACTTCTGGAGGTAAAGTCATTTTAAAGAGCATTAACCAGCATCTATATTGCCCACATGAGTCCTCTCTACACCCTCTCTCTTTGGCATTATGGTTTTGGTGGGCTCCTAGGGTTTGGCCAGCCTGCAGTTTTGCTCTTGGCTTGCTTTGGTGAGCCTCTTCTCGGTGGCTTTAATAACACTGACCTTTGCATCCTGCCAGCACCAAGCCTCCAGGAAGGCTTGCTGCTGCTGCTGCTGCTGGCTCATAGATGTTCTGGCAGGAGGGCTCCTAAGTCTGACCGAGGCCATCTGCATGACTGTCCCCTGCCCTAACCTCCCCACTGGCCTTGCTTCCTGCCCCCTTCCTTCGAAACTTCCCCCTCCCACCTGGTCTGGTGGCCGAGGGCCGCTGTGCCTTCAGCCTGTTGCTGTTGGCAGGAGTGTGGGTGGGTAAAGCAGGAGAGATTTGCAGCGCTGCAGGGGTTGTGGATTATAGGGAGATGTGGTGTACCTCAAGGCTCGGTCCTGGGGCCAATTCATTTGTTAAAAAAAAACCTTTTAAGCTTTCCCACCTTTCAATATAACCAATATTCTTATGTACTCCTTTTGGCCTCATTTGATGCTTAAAAGCCTAATGATGCATGATGATGATGATGATGATGATGATGATGTGTGTGTGTGTGTATGGGAAAGGGTTATGTGATGACCATGGCTTCCCCTTGATTTGGGCAGATGGCACAGTGCCGCCCCCACTCACCATAGCAGCTCCAGGCTTGACCGCTCCTGGAAATGCCAATCAAAAATGGTCATTAGATGCCACAGAGACTATGGAATATAGTTACTTGCCTAATAAGCACTAAATGCGCATGTCCAAAATGTGCAAAAAAATAGGTGGATGGAAATGTAGCTATTGAGAAAATCCATATTCTGAGTTTTTGCATAATTTTCTATCAAACAATTCTGAATTTTAATTTTGCAGGTGAATGGTGTGCAGCTGTATGGGAAGTCTAGACGAGAGTCTGTAGCTTTCCTTAGAGAAGTTCCTACTCCATTTACTTTGGTTTGCTGCAGACGACTTGCTAAAGAGGACAACGAATATCACCCTGAATCTGAAGACTGGCACTCATCCAGCTTACAGGAGCAGGTAACCGAGGAGTAATGAGTAAAAGCTGGCTTCGGCAAGTATTGGCTGATACTTTAAAGAGTACTACAAAACAATACATTCTCATTTAGTAATTATTCCACAGATTGAGCATAACCTCTCCATGTTGGCCAGAGATACAAGTCTACGCGACAGCATTAGGGAAGAGTTTCAGGTTTGTTCATGTTTTCTAATATAAAATTACTATTATATTGACAGTTATAGTGTTTATGATGGTGTTGCTTCAGGTTTTAAGTCAAACATATTTTTATTTTTTACTTCAATATGTTCAATTAAATGAAATGTAACATGACATAGATTTGTCCTATATGTGTGTTCACTGTTGGTTAACAAGAAAGTCGTCACTTCCTGATTAACTGGTGGCAAATTTTGAGATATTAAGCTTCAAAGTTTTTGCATTTCATAGCAAACCGTATGTGTGTAACTTAGTTTTTTTCAATAAAAAGTCTTGAAATGTAAACAACTTAAAATGTAAATAACATCACATAGTGAAAATAGGTTGTCATTTAATAAGAATATGTCTAACTCAATTTTGACAAAAATGTCAGATAGAACCTTGTTATTCTAAGGTGACGAAATAACAACAGTAAGAACAGAATTTTCTGTGGTAGGAGAAGCTGCGTCAATCTTTTCCTTATTTAATAAACGGCTTGTGCCTTAGAAGTTGATGCCGACATGCAATAAATACCTGGTGGCATTTGAAGCCATAAGACGCAGAGCACAGATGCTGTTGACAATTCTGGAGGTATTTATTGATATAATATTTTATGCACATTTAAAAAAAATTTTAGTTTTTTATTTTTTCAATATTTTTTTATGTGCTTACCAAAAATGTGCATAAAAATAGGTTGATAGAAACGTAGCTAGTGAAATCAAAGTAATGTCTGTATTTCCACTTAAAGAAGCGACCACTTTCGACAGCAGCTATTTCAGCTCATGCTTATTAACTGACGTTTCAGTGGAAGACGTGATTTAAAAGAAGTATTTTTTTCCTTCTAAAAACTATCATTGTAATGTACAGTAAGTAACGCAATTACTTGACGCAATTAACTTGACTTAAGTGACTGTAATCGAATTACACAAATTTAAAATGTAATTCGTTACATTACTGCATTCCTCAGAAATGTAATTAGAATACAGTAATGGGTTACTGTGAAACGCCTTACTCCCAACTGTGTCTGATTGATTGATTAAGTGACCCCATCATAATAGACCCATTTTTGGGCCACAACCCACCAATTTAGAGCCACTCCTTGCTCACCATGATTTGTACATTTCTTTTCAGGCCCGTCAGGCTTCGGCAGTAGAGCGGGAGGTTGACGATGAAGGAGAGCCCCTAGAGCCAATCAGCCCTGAGAAAGAGCAGATGGACCAGGAGAATGATGATGACGACGAAGAGGAAGAGGAGGAGGATGAAGGAGAACTAGCTCTATGGTCTCCAAATGTGCAAGTGTTAGAACTAGAGAAAGCAGAGCGAGGTCTTGGCTTCAGTATACTAGACTATCAGGTAGGCAGTAATTTTTTTGCACTTTATATGCATCATTAAATTACTAAATGTATGCAGTAAAGCAATTTAGAAAAAGTCTTTAAGGAATACAGCTTTATTGCAAAAAAAAAAACTATAAATAGACAAAATAACAAACTTCAGAGCATAAACATAAGATTTGTTCTAAACGTCATCATTAAACTACGTTTACTGTAAAAAGTCAAGACAAGGAATCTGTTCACACATAATCTAGCTGAGGGGAAGGGGACCAGACTCAGTTAATCCCCATTGACTTTCCCAAAGTGCGATCACAGGAAATGCGCATTGATGTCCCAAGTTGTTGAACATCGAACAAAAGAATGCAATGAAACCTTTCCGACTAGGGCCGCCGCTGTTTATCTGGCTCGGTGCCAACCGTCAAACCCTTTGCTCTGCTCACTTAGTACAAAAAGCTGCTTTCCTCCTTCCTTCATTAGCCCTCTAATCAGGGTTAGTACATAACTGCACGTTGATCCTGAATCAGAAGTGATCATGTAATGAGGCCACTTAGAATGCAGAACGTCTCCCGCAGACCTGCGCTCCGCCGTTCCTGTGGGACGCCTCGTGTTTTATATTATCCAGCCACGGGTTCCAATTGATTTCATGCAGGGAAACGGTATTGGCAGGAGAAAAGCATGCTCATGCTTTCGCAACTTCATCAGGACTGTAATATATGGCCTCCGAATTAATGGCCAAACTGAACAGAGATCACGTTTTAATAGTAAAGTATGCTTCTTTCCTCATCAGAGGCTGCCATGAGTGATGGGGTCTGTGGCGACATGGACAGAATTACATTGCTGCTTAATGGCAGTAACCTGAGCAGTGATCCCTTAAATTCTTCCTTTCTCTTCATCTATCTGATAAATGAACGAATGAAGATGGAGGAGAGATGAGGGAACTTGGGACGGAGTCCATAGGCTCTGTGCTGAAAAAAGAAAGCCAGTTTTGCTGACTCAAAGTCCTTTGTTTTCTCTTTTAGAGCTGTTACGATATCATATTAATGTATGCAGGGCTTTTTTTGTTTGCTTTATTTTGCACCATAAACAAGTACAAACAAATTGCATCAATACTGCATCGATGGTCTGAATTCGAGATGATCATATCCCCACCAAGGCGAGAGGAGAAGAAACTCACAGTTCGGCAACTTGGATCATAGATCATTGTCGTGAAGAGGCTGAACTGCTAAAGCTTACTTTGCAGATCTTCTGGAGGAGTTGCTGGTGCACCCTGGGGTTTATTGGAAGCCATATTGACCTGTGCAGCTTCCCCTCGGTCGAACTCACCGTCTTTGCGCTCTGCACCAGCTGAGCCCCCTCCACCTAGCCCCGTCTGTTTGCTTATCTACACCGAAACCAACGCTTTTCAACCCGAGGGCTTGATGCATGATGGGTGGGAATTGATTCAGAAGAGGAGGAGGGTGAGGGGTGTAGGCATTTGCAGAGTTGTGAAAGCAGTTTTAAAATGTCCATAAATGTATGAGCTGTAAGGAATTGCCAGAAAGACGAAAGCGAGCAACTCCCACAATGCAATGATGAGTACGCTCTTCTACGGTCTTCTAATGGAGGAAGAATCTCTCAACCTTTCTTCTTGACTTCTTTTCTGTTTCCCGCGGCAGACGGGCCAGGGCCTCTCCAGTCTGGAAGGGGAAAATTGATTTTGCCGCTCCATCCAGTAAGAGGCCTTAGCTGATAAGGCCGAATAGGCAACCTCGAGACCCGCAGACATGCTCTAAGCCTTACAGAACCTTCAGTCTCCCCCTCTTTCCACCACCCTCCTTCTCTTCTTCTCGTTTCAACCCCCACCGCAAGAAGACTATGTAACCACATCTAGATTGATAGAAGCCCACGGTCACACTGACAGCTGGAAACCTGGGAGTTTTTCTTCCCTAAATGACACCCCGTACTGTGTGAGTGACGTGAAATGGCGACAGCGAAATCATTTGTAGTCACGGCTTGGTTTTTTTGCTCTGACAAGAAGGTGATCTTATAGTAAGAAGAGCTACATGGCAACATAAGAAGGATCCCTTTGGTAGTTCTTGCCATCCTGGTAATGGAGATTAATGAAGGTCGTCTTGGAGCCAAACAACTGATCTGAAGATTCGGGCTGTGACGTTTTTGTTTTAAGTGGGATTGCATTGACATGGCCATTTAAAAGTCATTACTAAGACTTCTCGCTAACAGTTGCGTATGAAGTCGGATTGCAGCCAGACTCGAGCGAAGTATGACTGAGCAGCTCTCCTGCAAAGGGTGTAGCACTGATGAAAGATGTCCATAGGGAACGTAGCTTAATGTGACCCTCTGTTTGGGTGGGATGTAGGCCCTACGTCAGCCTGGAAAAGAAAAATGTCTCTGTTCACAAAAATAATAAAGCTGTGGAACATAACGAATTTGAGCCCCAGCATGTTCTCAGAAAATTCTTGCCTCTACAAATGCCCTTTTGCTCAAAATCAATCACATTTGCGTGAAAGGCTTTTTGCAAGTTTTGGTCCATCAGTAGTGAATGTATGGCTACTATAATTCATGCTGTCCAAGGAGAAGAGATCTGAGAGAATGCATTTTTAAATCATTTCGATGGTTCAAAGCGCCTAACCTGCACATCAATACAGCATTTAGTCTCATCCAGTGAATGTTTTAAAGGAGAGTCATAAGTCATCCCTGCGTGTTATTATTTATTTATCGTTGTTTATTCCGTGGCCTGAAGCTGCAGAAACTGACCAAGGGCTATTTTATTACTGTCGCAAGAAAATAAGCTACCAAATCGACTGCAGGACACCAACCTGAATGTTAATACATTAAAAGCGGATATGCATTACGCTTTCAGCCATAAACAATTGCTATAACATTGTGTTGTCATTTAGATCCAGTCTGTAGCTGATATAAGGGAGAGGTGTTTGGATTTACTGCCGTTGTGATGTCTGCGCTGTCTGTGCCACCTGTTTTTATGTCAAACAGCTGCCCACAGCTTTACGTTTGAAATTAAACAATGCCTGCATTGTTCCTCCTACTTGTTCTTTCTGGCTCTTTCACATGACTTGCATCAATCTGCAATGCACCTCTGCATATTAGCATCAGAGTTAGGTGCAAGAAATAAGAATAATGCGGGGATCACACCAAACGCAAATCATTGCGTCACACATTACTCTGAGGAGGATTTTTCACCTCAACTTTTGTTTGCTGCTCGAGTTCAATCATTTATGTAGCTTGAATTAGGGCTGCATAATTAATCGAAAAAAGATTATGATCTCGATTCGACTCTACAAGCGATCTTAATTCAGCTTTTCTACGATTCAGACAATTTTTTTTAAGGTAAGGAGAGAAGTGTAAAGGCTGTTGCACAAGTATTCACAGCAACGTGGACACCTCCAAATGGTGTTAAAAGTGTCACATATTGTATTTATAATGTTTAATTTACCCAAAAATGTAATTTCGGTCTTAATGTAATCATGTATTTGCGACCGCAAAGTCACACAGGATCTGACAGCAAGCTATTTGTTTACTACCAAGAGGATGTGAGTGTGCCCACTAATGATGCCTTCTTTTGTAACAAGGCCTGCGTAGGCTGTAAATAACAGGTAATAAAGTTGTAAATAACGTTCAGTTTGTTGAACAGCGATATTTGGGAGCCGCACTGGAAGTATGATTTGCATGTAGGCCTATGTTTTTGTTTTGTTTTTTTCTCAAAGTGACTGCAGCCATGACATGAGCGCACTCGTCAGATGAAGTGAAACTGAAAGTGCGCACATAATTTAAATTATCATATCGCATTTTAAAGTTTTGACTGCGAACAGTTTATCACCAGTTCTTTCATAGCGAACACATAGTGTTGTGTATGAAAATAAATGTTTACTGGGTCAATAAAACTACTTTAACCTTATAATGTTAAATAAAATACAATAGGGAACCTGATAACGACAAATGACAAGCATATGCTCCAAACGTAATAATTCAACTTCAGAATTATGAAGAGTTGCATTCTGATGTCATCACTACAGTGAGTTAACAAACAGGACATTTTTGAAGTCTGTTCAAGTCCACCATTCCAAATCTATACAAAATTTAATTTTTAATCAATAGTAGACCTATACATAGGCCTAATATTAATATTATTATTGTTGTTTTACCATATATTTGAGAAATAACAATAATAATACTCTAATCATATTAACCTTATATTACATCTACAGAATTATGAAAAAATCGTGATCTTGATTTTAAGCAAAAAAAAAAAATTGCGATTTCTCATTTTAGCCAGAATTGTGCAGCCCTAGCTTGAATAGAAGATGCGATTGAAGCAAATCCTGCATGTTTGCAGCAAACGCACAGCTCACTTTGCATCGCCCTTCTAAATATTGTTTTCATTCATGCATCTGCATTGCCTAATATGTTATCAGCTCTGGTAAATAATTAATTTAGCTTTTTTATGTGTACAAAGCATAAAAAGCAGTAACAATTGTCAAAGCAAATGAAAGGAGTAACATTCTGCCATGCATTCATTTTTCTTCAAAATTGTATATGCAGTAGTCAACATTTGAATTAAATCAAAACCTTTTTTCAAAGTTGTCCTAAAACTATTAAACGACACCTAGGGTTGTGGGATACAGGAAAAAAACATATCACGATATAATATTTAATATCATTCGATATCGATAATAATTGAATATTTTTTTAACAATCTATTTAGATATATTAGGATTTTTATTCATTTGACCAATTTATTTAAATAGAGATATTATGTTATGTATGTAAGGCAAATAGTTTTATTAGTTAAAAAAAAAAAAACATCTCTTTTTATAAAATAAATGTGCTAAAGAGACTCAAACTTAAATAAAATGTCTCAAAGTGTGTGTAATGATAGTGCAAACGCTGAACAATCAAAGCAAACTTTAAGGTAGATCGACATCTGTAAGGTGTCTAATAATCACACAGTAAACCACAAACTCCGTCAACAAAACCAATTATGATAATCAAATCTTAGCTTTCAAGTAAAGGAACCAGCCATCATTATTCAAGTACATATTGCAACATTTCAAATTGTAAAGTTGAATGACTACATTACATTACATGGGGAGCTAGTGGCTGAGATGCACAAGAAAAGAAACCAAAAAGCCACTCAGGCAACCTGCTTACATCTTTTTTTATCTCCTCACTGCTGCTCGTCACTGTTTTCATTTTCATGTGTGTTGTTGAAAACTATGTGCACGTTACGTGCATGCCGCTTGTCGCCACCAAGCCTTGTGCCTTGATTGCAAATAACCCTAAACTTATTGACATTCCTTCCAATGTGCACGCTCCGCAGCCACATTTTAATAAAGCTGAAGCACTTCATACCGAAACTTCATAACATGCTTTTTATCGTTATTGTCAATGGTGTTCGTTTAGTTAACATCAATATCGTTTTATCTGCCCAGCCCTAACGACACCCGTTCTTGTCTTATTCTTGACAATTTTAAAAATCTTTTTTGATCCACTTGGAATGTTGACTTTTGTAATACATTTTAAATTATAACAGGTTGACCAAACTTGGAGCATCTCGTTACATTTGTGCAATCATGCTATTTGCTTCTGCATTCAATGCCTCTCAAGGCATCTAAGGTGAAAACAACCAAAAAGGGGATGAAAAAAAAGATGTCCTGGAGTTCCTGGTATTCTGTTCAGCAAGATTGAAGGTGAGTCAGAGCGCAGGAGCAAAACAGATGACTTGGCCTGCCGTTGATTCCTGCAAAACAGCAGATTTACTGTCCGCCTGACACCACGCTGAAAAATTTCAAACCCTTCGACAACCAGGGCCAGCCAAGGGAACGCTCTGCAAATGGAGACAGTAGCGAATCTGAGCCCAGCAAGAAATATGGGCAATCTATTCCGACCGCCAATCCTCATTCCCATCCGTTAGCTGGTCGACAATTTTGACCCCGAATAGGGTTATGTAGACCTCAGGAAAAACCTCATGACAGGGCTGCAAGCTGCCTTTGAGCTAAAGTGATTTAATCCAATTTTGACTGGATATTTTTAGGCTCTGTAATGTGCTCCACCAGCCAGAAGCTCCCGGGATTGTGGTTTTCTTTGGATCCTGAGATGTTCCTCACACCTGTAACATGGAAGACAGCTGCTCCCCCAATGAGCCATGTACTCTACGCCATCTAAATCATACAGGCACTTGGATGGAAACCTGAATAAGAAATGAAGCAACGTAACTCGCTTTATTTCCATCTCTCATGAGCATAACCATTTTTATTCTGTAGCAGGTGACGTATTGGCGTCTTAGGAGCCCCCTAATGCTGGCCAGTACCCCATGTTTTGTTTTGTTTTTTTATATAAAAGCTGCTCTGCTGACATCACTGGCCATGTGGGATGAGAGCAGGGCTTGGAAAGCAAAGCACGCTTGGCTGGAACCCGGCAGCCGGACAATGCAGCCTGTGTCCTCCTAAAGCGCCAGCTGGAGTGGAACTTCAAATCCTCTCTCCAACTTTTTCCTGTCTTTTTTCCCCCCTCTCTTTCTTTCCCTTCTAGCAGGCCTCAGTTCCTCTCGCTCTGAAATTGCTTTTCTCTCCTCGTCTGCTTACCGTGCAGCAGTGGATCACTGGGTAATCAGGGGGCAGTAATTGCTGGGCTTGCTGACCCAATTTTTATAGTCAGGCTTGGTGAAGTTTGCTGGTCCGCTGTCCGCAGTTTTGCACAGGACATCCAGTGAACTTCATTGTCTGTTGTGGCCCTGTCCAACAAAAAAAAAAGTGGCATATACATGTACAGTAATGGCTCAAAAACAACATGCTTTTAATTTCAACCTGACAGTAGAAGAGATTAATGTCTCAAAAAAAAAAAAAAAAAAGCAAGGATTGTCTGTTCGGCTGGTCTTTTGACACGGGTGGTCGTAAATGTTCATGGGCAGATAGATGAGATTACTAATGACTGCGCTCCCGCTTCGGTTTTTACTCTCAAATAACTACTTGTTAATCACTTTTATATTGTCACTCACCACATAAAAGCCGCCCATATGGGTCATGAAATATATTGTTGGAGACATCAAATCGGTTGAATTGCAGTTTTACGGCGGTGCTCCCCAGAGATGTGATTGATACCGTGGCACTTGGGATGCTGGAGTGGGAAGTTGGCCTCATTTAGCCTTCCAGCAACTTCTTTTGGAAGTAGGCTTTAATATGAGGGTCATTCCTGGTACTTCATATCCAGCTGTTTTTATGTTGTTTTTCCATTCTCTGCTTACACAGGTGCTGTTTTAATTAAATGTTTGTGTTAAGATTTAAACATAAATGAAACTTCTTTTAGATCTGAGTTCTGATAAAACTGTGATGTATAGGTTAAATCACGGTCACCATTTTTCATCTCTGCTCTTTTTTTAAATTTCTTTCACCCTGTTGTTCTGTTTGTGTGTTTGCTGTGGTCTGCATTGCCCTCTGCAGGACCCTATGGATGTTGCACGCTCTGTGATCGTCATCCGCTCTCTGGTGCCTGGAGGGGTGGCCGACAATCATGGTGGGATTTTCCCCGGTGACCAGCTGGTTTTTGTCAATGACACCCATCTAGAAACATGCTCTCTGGCCCAGGCTGTTGAGGTCCTCAAATCTGCTCCACCTGGAAAGGTCTACCTTGGCATCAGGAAGCCTCTGGCGGTAAGAGCCAATATGTTATTATGGCTCTGTTAGGTATATATTCAAGATTTCTTTACATCATTACAATGCTTTTTTATGCCATAATGTCAATTATATCTCTATTTACTATTATTTGTACATTTATTTCACACAAATCAACTGCCATGTAGTACAGGTGTTTACTGTGAATGCGGATCGGACTATAGTATCATAAGCAAGTAAAGGATTACTCTTAAATTTTAGGTAACAATTACAGTTACTTAAAGTATACTTGCCTTAAATCATAGGTCTCAAACTCAATTCCTGGAGGGCTGCAGCCCTGCACAGTTTTGCGCCAACCCTAATAAAACACAGCTGATCCAACTTATCAAGGTGTTCAAGACTACTAGAGACTATTAAGCAGGTGTGATCTGGAGATTGCTGGAGCTACAATTTGCTGTCCAGGAATTGAGTTTGAGACCACTGCCTTAAATACTGTGCGTAAATTCTACAGCTCTTTGAAAGTTAATTCAGATTAGCAGAATAATATATATTTTTGCAGAATAATTCTGTTTTACAACTAAAGAAGAACATTTATTATCTATTAAGACAATTGCATATGCATAAAAAAGAAAGAAATAACAGGAAAGTAAATGTATTTATTTAGTTCAGATCTTTCGCACAATAACTACATTTACCAATTTTTTTATTTGTCTTGTAAATGCTAAACAATCCATTAAATTCTTTAGAAATGTATGTTAATATATGATGTGAATGAAATATGGTGTCATTTGAAAGTTTTTTGTGTTTTTGATAAAATATATTGCTTAAAGATTGAGTTTTAATTGTTTAAAAAACAAAACTAAAATATCCTGTTTGTCTAAAATTTAAACCTGTGACCTGTCTTCTCCTGAAAATTGTGATGTTTGTGTACGGTCGGGGGTTCAATTTTAACAGTTTAATAATGTCTACAAGTAACTTTTGGGGTTTTTAATATTTAGTCAAGTAATTAATTTAGAGCAAATAAGTTACCTTTTAGACAAAGTAATTAGAAAACTAATATGAATACAGTTGTAATGATGTAATTAGTAATCAATTACTTTTTTGAAGAAACTTAACCAACGCTGATCATAAGCATTGCAAATGCTTTTTTGTTGATGTTAAAAATAACTCTTCTTACCTTTTGAAAATATGCATATGTAATTTAAGTTTAGCCACCAAGCTAAATTTTAACTGCCTGCTCTACCAAATGGTTGACCATGTTTTACTGTTTTAAATAATGACTTTTAAAGTCATTTAAAGAATCACTGTTTTGAATAATAGTTTACACACACAGCATTGTTGGTTTACAAGAAAATCAAGCAAGCATAATTCTGTTGCACTAATACACTTGATTTTGGTTTTATTGTAAAAAAACAAAAAAAACAAACAAACAAAAAAAAAAACAAGAAAACATGTTAAATGAAAATCTGAAATATTTTATAGCATACTTAAAAAATATAAAGATGATTTAGTGTTCAAAAATGTTTTATTTAGATTTTTTTTTTTAATTAAATTAGTTTTACACTTCATATTTCCAGATTTTTCATAGTACATGAATTAATTCCAGTACTTTTACCATAAACCAACATATCAACCATTTTTTAGATCATGATATTTTAGAATTTTGGGATCTGTTGAAAAATGCATTGAGGGTGTTAACTAGCTACAATAAGAGTTAAGAAATGCAATCCAGATATTTTTTTTCTTGGTGGGGGAGTTAATATTTTATATTCTTTGGTTTCTATGAAATGCTTAGGCAGAAGACAGAGGTAGTGGACAGCAGTCCTTGTGGCCTGTAGAGAGCGTCGATGAGCAGCCAACAGCAAAGCAGGCCGTCAGCCACACTCTTCCACCGATGCCAGAGGTATTCTAAATACACTTTTTCTTCATTTGTTTTAAAAGAAAGAAGTATTTTGTTGAGCAAATATAAGTTAAATTTGATGAGAAATTACTGTAACAATTATTAATGTTACAGATTTCCTTATTATAATGTTGAACAGTTCTTCTTTCCTGATTCATCAAATCAGCATATGTGAACAATGGATTATTTAGACCCTTATATGACCTCAGTATAGGGCTGGGCGATTTGGCCTTAAATCAAAATTGATTAATTGAAAATTTTAACTCGATTACGATTATTAACGATTGTTTTCATTTATTTATTTATTTAGCCCTTATAGATTACTGGCAAGTTTTAAAAATAAAATACTTGCACTTTTGTAAACAAAAGAAATAATGTTCAATGTTTTTTAAATTATAAATAATGTTTCCTGAAACTTCTATAAACAAATGCTTTAATTTAAATAATAATTTTGATGGGAAATATGCCGACTTAAAGCATCTCTCTTAAAGCTTTCAATCATTGAGCAGGGAAAAAATTATCTGGAAAAATTAGATTGATTTATTGGTTCTGAATGTCGATTTTGATTACTTTGATTAATCGCCCAGCCCTGCCTAGTGGCAGAAGTCATCATAGTGGTGTAAACCTAAAGCACAGCAAGTTTATTTATTTTTTTATTTTTTTATTTTTTTGTACAGGAGTACAACAAATTAATTTTTACAATTTTGGCTGAAATACTACTAATAATAATTGTTATCAAGTCTTTTAGAAAAAGGAAAAAAAGCAGTTTGACACTGATAACGATAGAAAACAAATTTATTGTCCTGCCCATACACTATGCATTTCATATGCGTTTTACAAGCAGTAATTTTTTTTTGTAATTTGATGCAAACATGATATAATAAATAAATACATATAAATGTCCATATGTTTTTAAAAAATCTAAATAAAAAAAAGAAATTTGCAGGATTTTAGATTATGATTATTAAATGTGTCATAGCAGTGTTGTTACAAGAGTCCATTAGATAATATTCCAAATGACCCCAGCAGGCACACAACGTCCTAAGACTTTAATATTAGGTTAGATTTAGGTCGCCAGTATCTGAGGACAGTGTTATTTTGATGTCTAATAACGACGTGAAGGCGACGTAGGGGTGCAGTAGGTAGTGCTGTCTTCTCACAGCAAGAAGGCCGCTGGGTCGCTGGTTCGAACTTGGCTCAGTTTGCGTTTCTGTTTGGAGTTTGCATGTTCTCCCTGCGTTTTGCGTGGGTTTCCTCCGGGTGCTCCGGTTTCCCCCACAGTCCAAAGACATGAGGTACAGGTGAATTGAGTAGGCAAAATTGTCCATAGTGCATGAGTGTGTGTTTGTGTGTGGATGTTTCCTAGAGATGGGTTGCAGCTGGAAGGGCATCTGCTGCGTAAAAACTTGCTGGATAAGTTGGCGGTTCATTCTGCTGTGGCGACTCCAGATTAATAAAGGGACTAAGCTGACAAGAAAATGAATGAATAACGACGTGAAATGATGTTGATATTTGGTTGATTTTTAGGTTGTGTTGGAAAGTGACCAAAATCCAACGTCGAGCCAACATCTTAAGCCGTTATATTGACATCATACTGACATTTATTCGTCAAGTATGGCAACCAAAATCCAATGTCTGATAGACTTCATGATGTTAACATCCACACTACGTCAAGCTGTAACATCATTAGATGTTGATATTTTTGGTTGTTTTTAGGTTGTGTTAGAAAGTAACCAAAATGCAACGTCTGTCCAATGTTGAACATTGACGTCGGGCTGACATTGGGTTCAGGCATCAACCCGATTTCAATTTCCTAACAAAATGCAACGTCCCAAAACATTGGGGTACAAATCAATCTGATGTCATGTTGGCGTCTATAATGACTATTGAAAATGTAGCTTTGCAAAACTACTCAGTCGAACTTAATAGGCTAAAGTTAGACATGCCGTCAGACATTGGCATAAAGTTAAAGATGGCTTCACTTATCATCCGAAAACAGACTTGTATCCATCAGTACGTAGGACAGAAGCCTGACTACAGTTGTAATTAACAAAGAGAGCCTGAACTGAAGCGAGAGAGAAAAAGAGCACGAGCACAAGAAGATGAGCGAAGGGGAAAAAAGAGGAACAAATGAGCGAGCCTCTGGAGAGGGATCTTTTTTGGAGGTGATGCATGACCCCCTCTATGGGCCTTTGAAATGTACCGTATTATCCTTGAATTTTAGCAAAGATGTAATTGAGGCGGCCGAGTCAAGTGCTGCCGTAAATCTACTCAAAACGAGACTAATTGCGCCATTAAGATTTTAGACTCGGCACATTTTTCATGGCAAATTGGTTCTGCTCCTCGCAAGGGTGGTGGGGGGGACGAGCGAGAAAGGCGCTGAGTCGGCTTGTTGGAGCTACGCAGGGGGAAAAGTGCGCTTTCAGCTCTTATGATCCGTAAGTGTGTGGAAGAGGGAGAGGAGGACAAGCTCCGGCACCCTGTTGCAGGGATAGAAAGAGCTGCTTTGTATGCGGCAGACAGACAGGAGGTGAGATGTCTGTAGCCTCCACGCCCCCTCCAACATCAGACGTTTCTGTTAGCGCATGATTTAGGGGGGAGGAATGTTAAAAAGGGGTATAAAGTAGCATAGGATTTGGCTGCTGAGAGTTTCGGTATGGGGGTGGGGGGGTCAACTCGGGGAACGAAACCGGTTAGACAGGTTTGCAGAGTTCAACTCAAAAGCCTGCTTGTGACTTAAGCACTTTGGATATAAATAACAACATATTGTTTGTATTTGATTGATGCAACCTTGTTTCAAAATGTTGTAATGTTGCCAGAAGGCTGTAGGCTTGAATCCAAAAGGGTTTGATCTACAGTATTTTACAGGGATTTTATAGGAAGATGGACACCTATGCAAAGTTTAGACAGAGTTCAGCAGTGTTATTGAACTAAAGATGGCCTTTCTGAGCGGTATCGCTATACAGTTGAAGTCAGAATTATTAGCCCTTCTGAATTGTTAGCCCCCTGTTTATTTTCCCCCTAATATCTGTTTAACAGAGAGAAGATTTTTTCAACACATTTATAAACATAATAGTTTTAATAACTGTTATGTTTTATGTGGAAAAATACATCTTCAGAATGATAGCGAAAGTGGGACGAGTTTAGCTATTTGTCTAATTTGCAAAGAATCTACCAAAGACGCAGCTTTCCAGCACTGTTTGTATCAATATGAACATGATAGCTTATGTTTGGTTCATGTGGCCTTGTGGTTCAAGGTATTTGGTAGATCATCAGAAGGTTGTTGGATGAAACCAAACTTGGTATATAAACGGCACCTATATACAGTTGAAGTGGGAAATATTAGCCCCCCTGAATTATTATTATTTATTTCCTAATATCTGTTGGACGGAGAAAAGATTTTTTCAACACATTTCTAAACATAATAGCTTTAATAACTTATTTATAATAACTGATTTATATTATATTTGCCATGATCACAGGAAATAATGTTTTACTAGATATTTTTAAGACACTTCTATACAGATACAGCTTAAAGTGACATTAAAAGGCATAATAAGGTTAACTAGACAGGTTAGGGTAATTAGTCAAACTATTGTCTACAGAGCAAACAATCGTTACACAATCAAAAAATATACAGCTTAAAGAGACTAATAATTTTGATATAAAAATTTTTCTTGCTCTGTTAAACATCATTTCCTATGTCTGTGCGTCAGAAATTATCCTAAGTTATAATCGTTTCGAATGAGGTAGCCTTTTTAATAGTGCATCTTCATGTTAAACACCGTTTTTACTCTTTTTACAGTTAGGGTTAGGAAAAGAATCTCTATAAACACTATTCTGCCTGAATCGCATGATATGTGACCATTCATGCTAACTTGACATACACATGTTTTGCTGTTATTCATATTTACAGTCTACCGCTGGACACAATGGCCATTTGAGAAGGGCGTTTTATAAGTTTGCATTTCAGTCCGTCTGCTGTACACTGAAACACCAGCATTTCTAAACTACAACTTTAGTCACAACACTTTGTTTTTGCAGCTCAAACAAGCTGGAGGAGTTTATGTAGTTTGCTAATCATTAACTAAAGATGATATTTTTAAGCACGACTGATTTAAAAAGTATATTTTAGCTTGTTTTTGATAGATGTCCTAGTGATATTCATATCACATTAAGATTTGGCTTGCACGATTTAATTTTTTTCAAATTCTGTTCTCAATGTGTGGATATTCACATAAATGACTTACTCCCTGGGCCGTTTATATCTAAGTTCATATTTTAGCCCCACCATGTTGGTGTCTCCTAACATCTAGTTTGTATGAGGTGGGTTGTTAGCCCAACACTCAACCCCCAACCTGGAGGACCAGAACATACACTATGGACAATTTAGCTTAACCAATTCACATAAAGCACATGTCTCTGGACTGTGGGGGAAACTGTCACTTAAAAATGATTTCCTCAAAAACCGATGTAAAATCAGACAAGTTTAGTAATGTAATTGTTTGCTAAGAATGAACTCAAAATGCAGTTTTCTAAAACATTTGATGGGACATATTAGCTAGTACTTGGTTGCAGTTTCCCTATTGTTCAAGATTTTAGTTGGTTACCAAAAGTTTGAAGTCCCCATAATGTATAGATTTTATAATATATTTGTTTTATAATATATTTATTGTTTAAATATGTTTTAACTACTCTTAAATCCATTACATAATATGTAATAAATGAACAACACTATGTAATACATATTGTCAGTGTTGTTAGTTTATTTTGTTCATATACAATTTGTTTGTTAAGACCTACTTAACTATGTCTGTTAGTGCTGCTCAGTTGTGCTTTATTGATTTGTATTGTTTTTAGGGTGACAATTTTAACATTTGTTCAAGGACAAAAGATGAAAAAATTCTAGTGCATTTGCAGTAATACTACTCAATGGACACTGTCAAATTTTGCAGCTACAGGGATAGTTTACCCAAAAATGCAGATTCTGCCCTCAATTACTCACCTTTGTGCCATTGCTTCTTCTGAAAAACACAACCTTAAATGTTTAGCTGAAAGCTCCTTTCCATATAATAATGGTAGAATTAATCTATGCTAAAATGCTAATCATACAAAGTGAAGCTAAGTCACTTTCTTTGTTTATAGGACTTTGTAAACGGCTCCATTTTATCTGACGACCTGGATGAGGAGCCAGAGCTGATCCTGGACGCAGAGCCGCGCTACGCCTCTCCCCTCACCACTGTTGACCTCCAGCCTGACGTAGAGAAAGAGATGGCTGTGGATGAGGAGGAGGAAGATGTAGACGTGAATGTCATGGAGGACCAGCAGAGCTCTAAGGTCAATGACACCAGTCTGCCTTCATATCTCAGTGAGAAGAGTCGCTCCTGGGAAGAACCAGCAACATCCAGCCGCTACCATCTCAACACAGAGCCTGATTTACAAGAACAGGTGAAACTCCAATGATTTGACGGCTTTCCTAAAGTAATGTATACAGTTTTACAACTGTTGTGTTTCTGCTGTGGTTTGCAAAGGTGGACGACGATCTTTCCATGAATTTGGAGAAGATTCAACTGCAGCCATTGAAAATTCCTCTCGGTAAGTGTCTGTTAAAGCTTTTTAACACTTTCCAGGCTGTTGATAAGATTGAGTTTGTCAATTAAGAAGACTACACTTCCCCGCCATTGGGTTTTTACAGCAACACAAATTTCTGGTGTGTTATGGTAAGGAAAAACCCTAATGCATGGCAAGAACAGAACGCTAATCCATTGGTTCATATGAGCTGTCAATCACTCTGTTCCGATGACAGGGTGCCACAGCCGCAAAAATATAAAGGTCTGGATCTGAGAGAATAACAATAACACTGACAGATTTAGTTTAAGAAACCAGCTAGAGTTACAATTATGACACATCTGATTAGTGATCATGTGCTGAATGTCAGTCCAGCATTTACACTTTTCGAAGAGTGGATAAAAGACTTCCCGCGTTTAAAGTCCGCTATGAATAAAGCATTCACTGTAAAGCCAGTAGGGCGGAGTTTTCAGGTAAGTGTTTGCCTCATCTACACATTTTAAGCACAGGATGTTCTAACGTTATTTAATCCTTCATTTAATCTTTACAATGCTGTCAGTCATGCGACTGACACCGCGTTCACCAGCGCTAAAGAGCATGCATTCACTGAGATCATACTGATATTGCAGTTCATGAAAAGGCCGTTATTGCTATTAAGATAACGTATGCAAATAATAAGTTATAATGTCATCTGTGCAATATCAGACAGCACCCGTGAGAACAGCACAGTGATTATTATTAATTCAGTTCATCTCATTCATGCAAGAAATGCGTGCTGGGCCGGTAAGCGCATGCAGATTTTTGTTTATTTGTCAGTTGTGATTAGAGTGTTAATGTATAAAGGAATCTGTTGATATAAAACGTGTAGTAACGGTGCTCCTAACTGTTGGTGGGTGCGACTAAATTTTGTCTGGTGTGTCTACATTTTTGAAGTTAGAAGCACCAGTGCTACCAAGAAAAAAAGCTCATTTCGAGCTCTGTTAAACCTTAATCGGTGGTTCAAATTTCAAGTTTTAAGAAAATGTTAAATGTAATAGAGCCCCTTTACATTATTCTTTCATTAGCCCATTTCAGTCAGATAATTCCTGCTTTCAGGTCCACTAAAATGGCAGGTGACCATTAAATCAAGCACATCGGTGCTGTCTGAAGAAAAGGTGGACACTCATCTTTCTGAAAATAAAACAATTACTTAAAAATATATTAAAAAAGAGTTCCATACAAAAACTACATTTTCCTTTTCTTTTTATTTAACTACTACAATATTACATTTATATTTTTATAAGCAGCTTTTTGGTTTTGAATATAAAGAAGGACTTGTTTTATTTGCAGCTAAGCAGATCGTTTTATCACTGTTTAAAGTAAAAGAAAAAAAAAAACAAGATCATACTTTTATGATGTTAGTTTTAATATATTAAAAAATCAAGGAAATCAGAGAAATCCTCTGGCTTTTTTCTTTTTTTGCTGTATCAAATACATACAGAACGGACACACCACTGTATCGTATCGTATCGAACCGAACCGAACCGTAATGTTTGTGAACAGTTACACCCCAGATGGATGGATGGATGGATGGATGGATGGATGGATGGATGGATGGATTGATTGATTACTTTGGATTTTATTATATATTGTGGTATTAGTGTCTGGCAGCTTAATTAAACACAAGTTAAGTAAACTGTATTTCAGTGCAGTATGATATTTATACATCTGTTTTCAGGTCATTTTACTTCATGGGTGGAGACAGCAGATAGTGATTCAGACTCCAGAAATGAGGGATCAGAACTTACTTTGACGGACACTGATAATGAGTGAGTCTCCATCTGTGGCACACACTCGCACATTTCTAACCATCACTCAATTAAGGCAAGACGCTGTAGGCAAAATGCTGTTTTTTTTTGTGCACCTGTCAATTTTTTGGTTTGTTTGATGCAAAGAAGGCATTCGAAATTCAGATTTAGTGTTTACTTATTTGCACTTTATCAGTTTGTGTTGGAGATTTCCTTACAACAAATATTTTTAAAGACCATTTCTTTTTATTCAAATTTACATTCTACTTCAGAGGAATGTGTGCTCACATAATTTGCCTTATTATATGGTACATTCTATTCTGCACAGAAATGTTTTCTTGGCTCTTAAAAGTATTTTCTGACAAACATAACATGTCATAATCATAAATAAAGTAAAATAAAATAAAATAAAAAGAGATCTCTTATATCCACTTTGTATAAACCTTTGACTCTAATTGTCAAAATTAAAAAAAAAAGAGTTTTCAACCTGACTTCATCCAGTGTTTTGATTTTTGTGCTAGAAAAATATACAAATGAGCACACATTTAATTAAATAATGTCTTATTTGCACATTTAAATCTAATATTCTAATAAACATGTAATACAAAAAATGTTTGCATCTCTAAATGCAATCAATCATGTGTGAAAGTATGGTGATAACTAATAAGTTACATCCTGTTTACGATCAAAAGCAAAGTTTTTGGTGAAAGCTTATTCTTTGTATCTAGCAAATGTACACCGGAAAGCTCTGACATGAATGTTTAATTTCTATGTTGATTTAATATCAGTGACCAGTGTGGATTTTTAATTACCATTACAATGTTTTCTAATAGATCTACAGCGCCACCTGCTGGACAGTTATGCTTAAATTGACAGATGAGCTACAGAACTATATTTTAAAGAGCTAAAAATGAGAATCAGATTAAAGTAGATTTTGGTGTTCATTGTAAATAAGATATTTAGGATTTTTTTTAAATGTTACAAGTATTGTGAAATTATTATGCGTATGGTAATTATTAAAATTGGTTAATTATGATAATCGGAGCTAACACTTTGGTATTACCCAGGTGTGGTGGAGAAATTGTGGAAATGTGAGAAACGGATGTAAAATGCCGTTTTGAGGCACACAATGAAAGGTGTCAAATTGGTGTGAAACGCAGCTGAGACTCTGCCAGCTGTTTATGATGACAGTGTAATAGAGAAGTGCGTGTGTGTGCACGCACATGTGTTGGTTTGTACACACACAACACGTTTTTTTGGAAATCAATAGCAGAATCCAATTTACTGTTCACTGTACGCAATATTGGAGTTTTGAAAAGAGTTTTAATGTTACTTAATTTTAAACATCTATTGAAATTTATATATATATATATATATATATATATATATATATATATATATATATATATATATATATATATATATATATATATATATATATATATGTTGTTGTTGTTGTTGTTATTAAATAATAATTTATTATTTAATAATTATAATAAAATAATAATGTTAATTGCGTTTTTTTCATATAAAATCTTATTAGTTATTAAATAATACTGTTTTATTTTATTTAATAAATATAAATAATATATTAGGATGTAGTAGCAATAAAATAATAATTTATTATTTGATAATAAAATTAATAATTAATAATATTATTTTGTATACAATATAATAGTTCATTAATAAATAAATTATTGTTTTTAATTATTTAGTTGTAGTAATATGCTATAGATTACTTGCTATTGTCGCAGGGTACAGTATTATTAAAATAGTATTAATTGCATTTTTCATATAAAAACTTATTAGCACGTAAATAGCTATGTTTTATTTTTATTTAATAAATATAAATAATACATTTGGATGTAGTAGCAATAAAATAATATTTTTTTATTTTTTAATAATAATAATAATACTCAATTTCAAACAATATAATAGTTCATTAATAGTTAAATTATTGTTTTTAATTATTTAGTTGGAGTAATTTTATGCTATAGATTATTTGCTATTGTCATAGGGTACGATATTATTACAATAATTAATTGCAGTTTTTTAATATAAAATGTTTTTAGTAATTAGTACGATTTTATTTTGTTCAATAAATATAAATAATACATTAGGCTGTAGTAGCAATATAATAATACTTTACTACTATTTAAAAATAAATGTAATAATTCATAATGATAATCAATTTTATACAATATAATAGTTCGTTAATAAATAAATTATTGTTTTTACTTATTTAGTTGTTGTAATTTTATCCTATAGATTATTTGCTATTGTCGTAGGGTACGGTATTATTACAATAATTAATTGCGTTTTGTATATAAAATTTTATTAGTAATTAGTCAATTTATTTTATTTAATAAATATAAATAATACATTAGGATGTAGTAGCAATAAAATTATACTTTATTAATATTTAATAATAATAATAATAATAATAAATAATAATAATACATTTTATACAAATATAATAGTGGATTAATGAAATTTTTTTTTTATTTAGTTGAAATAATTTTATGCTATGGATTATTTCTATTGTTGCAGGGTACGGCAATATGACAATAACATTAATTGCGTTTTTTTTCATATAATTTTAATAGTAATTAAAGAATACTGTTTTATTGTAATAAATAAATATAAATAGTACATTAGAATGTAGTAGCAGTAAAATAATAATTTATTATTATTTATTAATAATAATAATAATAATAATTTTAATAAAATGTTATACAATATAATAGTTCATTAATAAATTAATAGTTGTTTTAAATTATTTAGTTGTAGTTATTTTATACTATAGATTATTTGCTATTGTCAGGGTACGGTATTATTACAATAATATTAATTGCGTTTTTTTTTAAATAAAAATTTATTAGTAATTAAATAATGTTTCAAATATACCAATATAGTACATTTTAGGGCTGTGCAATTAATCAAATTGCAATCGCGATTTGAAACATTTAGATTAACTAATCGCAAGAGGCTGCGTTATGAATATAATACAAACAAACAGGAAAGCACAGACAAGTGATGGCGTCTGCTGCTTTAAAAACATTAATAGACGAATTAATAGCAAAGAAAAACAACACAACGGTAATATGGGAATATTTTGGTTTCAAAGTCACAGACACCAAACAAAAAAACGTCATTTGTAAGAGCTGTTGCAGAATTGTTGCCAGCATAAGATAATGCAGCAACCAGCACCTAAAAAAAAGCACGTATATGCACGTTTATAGCAAGTATAAGGAGTGTGATTGAGCTGAAGCTTAACTAAAAAATTAAGTCGCAGATCAAAACGTAATCACAATATCCGTCACAAATTTTCAATTAGATATTTTCCCTAAATCGCACAGCCCTAGTACATGTAAAACTTATTATAACATGATTTTGTTGTTGTTGTTGTTGTTGTTCTATTTGTGTTTATATCGCACAGTTGATGTTAAAATTACTAAGTAAAAACAAATATTTTGGACACCTTTTCTCTTTTTTTCAAATCTGTATTAGCTTAAACAGTTTTTTCTTTCTTGATATTACACTTGCCATTCATTGGAAATCCATGCTAATAAGTCAGGTGGAGTATTTAAAAAATAATGATGAATCTGAGCAGATTTTTATGAGTCAGAATCTTAGTTTGCTTTGTTTCCATGTTACTCAGGTCTGCGCAACGGACTTCCTCTCGCAACAAGAAGAGAAGAAACCAGGCTGGTCCAACTAGAGGGTAACTGTCAACTTTTCAGTCTTAGTGAGATTTCAGAATTTTTTTGTTGACCTAAAAAAAACTGGTTATTTAAACTGTAGAGTGTGTGTTGTTCACAGTGATCTTCCAGAAAGAGAGGAAGGAGAAGGTGAAGAGACGCCAGTGTTCAGCCATTGGGGTCCTCCACGCAGGTGCAACACTCTTTCTCTACACACACTCTACACACTCCAAATGTTAAAGTACTGACAAAAATCTATTGTGCAAGTTACAAAATGTAAACAAATTTATGTCAAAAACATTTGGAAGTAACTGAAGTTAAACGGTACTATTTATTATTTCTAAAATGAAATGTCTTCTTTGAATAATTGTGTTTTAAATAAGTTAAAATGTAGAAACGTTTAGAAATTGTTTATTAACAATAGTAGAAAGTAAAATGTAAATCAAAACAAATGTATGTAATCTTTTAAATGTTTATGAAATTAAGCCTTTTTGGTTATTTTATGTTTGTAATTTATGAAGTTAAAATCTATAAAATTATTACACCCACACATATGTACATTCATGTACCAAATAAAAAGTATACATTTTAATATGCATTATAGATAAAATTTTGAAAATAATTTAAAAAGATGTATATGATTGTCTTGTGTCCATATATACAGGTTATTATATTTGTTTTATATTTAAAATATATAATTTAAACATGCTGTTCTGAATTCAGCAAAGTAGTCAAAAACTTTCCAATTGTCAGGTTGTCACGTTGCTTAGCCTCTTGTTGTCACGTTGTCTCGTCGTGTTGTGTAACCTCACGTTGCATAGCCTCTCGATGTGTCACATTGCTTTGTCACGTCATATTGCGTAGCCTCTTGTATTCCATTGACACATCACATAGTTGTGTCTTGTTGCATTGTATTGTCACATTGCGTAGCCTGTCCTTGTGTGACATTGCTTTGTCACGTCGCGCTGCGTCACATTGCGAAACCATGCATTGTCACATAGCCTCTCGTTGTGTCACATTGCTTTGTCACGTCATATTGCGTAGCCTCTTGTATTGCATTGACAAATCGCGTTGTTGTGTCTTGTTGTGTAGTCTCTTGTTGCATTGTATTGTCACATTGTGTTTTTGTGTCATGTTGTGTTGCGTCACGTTACATTGCGTAGCCTTTAATTGTGTGACATTGCTTTTTCACGTCGCGCTGCGTCATATTGCGTAACCTTGCAGTCACATAGCCTCTCGTTGTGTCACATTGCTGTCACATTGCGTAGCCTCTTTTTGTATTGTGTCATGTTGTTGCGTCACGTTGAGTAGCCTCTCTTTGTGTTACATTGCGTAACCTGGCAGTCACATTGCGTAGTCTCTCATTTTGTCACATTGCTTTGTCACCTCGCGTCATTTTGCACAGCCTTTTGTTGTGTTATTTTGTTGCATTATTGTGTCATGTTGTGTTATTGCGTTGCTTATGTTGCGTGGCCTCTCATTGTGTCACATTGCTTTGTCATGTTGCATCACTTTACGTAACCTCGCTTTGCATCGTGTTGCGTAGCCTTGTTGTGTCATGTTGCTTTGTCACGTCACGCTGTGTAGTCTCTAGGTGTGTTGCATTGTCTTTGCGTTGTTGTGCCATGTTGTTGCGTCACGTTGCGTAGCCTCTCGTTGTCGCATTGCTTTGTCATGTCACATCACATTAAATAACCTTGCACTGCGTCTCATTGCATAGCCTCTCGTTGTGTTGCGTTGTCTCTTGTTGTGTTGCGTTGTCACATTACATTGTTGCATCATGTTGCGTAGCCTTGTGTTGTGTTGTATTGTCATCGCGTTGTTGTGTCATGTTGTTGCATCACGTGTGTGTTTCGTCAAGTTTCGTAGCCTCTTATTGTCACATTGCTTTTTTTCACGTCGCGTTTAACCTTGCATTGCATCACGTTGCATAGCCTCTTGTTGTGTTGCGTTGTCACATCGTGTTGTTGTGTCATGTTGTGTTAAGTAGCCTCTCGTTGTGTCACATTGCCTTGTTGTGTCACAAAGTTACAATTTTTTTATAATTTTTTTGGGTCTCAGAGTGGAGGTGTGGGCAGAGCCGGAGGAGTCTCTGGGCATCAGTATAGTGGGCGGCCGCACCGTTATAAAGAGGTTGAAGAACGGAGAGGAGCTGAAGGGCATTTTCATCAAACAGGTGCTAGCAGATAGTCCAGCTGGACGCACCGGTGCCCTCAAAACTGGAGACAAGATCCTACAGGTCTGAGATTCACACATACTGCTCCTTTATCTCTTCACATACAAGCCAAACACCTGCTGTTTTCTGCTGACTGACCATTTTTGTTTCGTCAATTCATTATTCTGATTTGCAGCTTATTTTGTTTATTTGACCAAAAGTAGTTATTCAGTATGTAAATGACGTCTTTATTCTTTGCAATACTGGCTTATTTAGGTTTACAAATTGGTAGTGCTGTCTATTTTCATTTACAATTTTTTTTTTTTTTTGCATTAAGTATTTATTTAAAAAAAAAAACAGCTTTTATTTGATTTTCGTAAATTATGTTTTTTTTAAAAACCAACTCTTCGATGTGTTAAAAAAAACATGATTTATAAAAATAATTAATAATGGAGAAATCTGTTTTTCAAAAATACCTATTTTCAACCACATGTCCCCTTTAAATCCTCTGTTATCTCTCTGTCCTCTGTCTCTCTCTCTCTGTCTCTCTCTCTGTCTCTCTCTCTCTCTCTCTCTCTCTCTCTCTCTCTCTCTCTCTCTCTCTCTCTCTCTCTCTGTCCTCTGGCTTGAATAGGTTTCCGGAGTGGATTTGCAGAACGCCAGCCATGAGGAGGCAGTGCAGACCATCAAAGCAGCTCCGAGCCCCGTGGTCTTCATTGTGCAGAGCCTGTCCTCCACTCCACGGGTAAACCTGCCATTTAAAACCCCATCATCTCCTGCTGCCGCTGCGCTCCTCAGATAGGAGCCCGCAGTTCACGCCTGGGCGCTTGCGTTTATCAAAATAAGGCCAATTCATTTCCAGTTCAACAATGATCATTCCCCTGAGCGCTACTGGTAAATGGTGCTACACTTGAGGGCCACCAGTTACCTGTGTTTTTTCATCTATTTTAGCATTAGTATGGTTCTTGGATTGTTTAAGCTTTGTTACATAGTTGAAGTCAGAATTATTAGCCCCCCTCTGAATTTCTGTTTCCTTTGATAAATATTTCCCAAATGATGTTTAACAGAGCAAGGAAATTTTCACAGTATGTCTGATAATATTTTTCTTCTGGAGAAAGTCTTATTTGTTTTATTTCGGCGACAATAAAAGCAGTTTAAAACATTTTAAGGTCAAAATTATTAGCTTCTTTAAGCTGTATTTTCGATAGTCTACAGAACAAACCATCGTTATACATTAACTTGCCTAGTTACCCTAACCTGCCTAGTTAAACTAATTAACCTAGTTAAGCCTTTAATTGTCACCTTAATTTTATTAGAAATTAGTTAAAACTACTATGTTTAGAAATGTGTAGAAAAAATCTTCTCTCCGTTAAACAGAAACTGGGGAAAAAAAATAATGAGGGCTAATAATTCTGACTTCGCATATGTAATTGATCACATATTAATTATCACAGATTAATAATCGACTTCACATATGTGATTAAAAACACAGTAAAAAATCTCTCAAGTTGGGAAACCACATTATAAAGCTACCTATTATGTTCAAACTACATTTGCTTTTTAATAACATTTACAGTTAAAGGGGGAAATTAGTCATCTTCCTTCTTTTAAATATTTTCCAAGTGCTGCTTAATAGACTTTTTAAATACATTTTTAAACAAAAGGGTTCATGACTAGTTTATAACAACTGCTTTTTTTTGTCTTTGCCATAATAACAGTACATATTATTTTACTAGGTATTTGAGCTTTAACCCTTTGTTGCACAAGCTATAAAATAGATATAGAAAAAATAGGCATAGATGGGTTACTTTAGACCCATGTAGTGCATCAAAGGGTTAAGTACAATTTAAAATCATAAAAAGAAAATCTTAAGTGCTAATAATATTAACTATATTGATCGTATTATAAATATAGATTTTTTTATATTCATGAACTGCTTTATTCTAGTTAAACTAAACTCTCAAAACAATATATTATAGAAAATCATTTGAAAGTTTTCCTTACTATGTGTGTTTGTCTCATTTATAATGCTTTGTTGGTTTAAATCAGGCATGTCCAAACTCGGTCCTGGCAGGCCGGTGTCCTGCAAAGTTTAGTTCCAGCCCCAGTCAGACACACCGGGGCTAGCTAATCAAGTTCTTACTAGGCTTTCCAGAAACATCCTTGCAGGTGTGTTGAGGCAAGTTGGAGCTAAAATCTGCAGGACATCGGCCCTCCATGACCGAGTTTGGACACCCCTGCTTTAAATGCTTATACATTAAACAGCCACTTTATTATGTGCATCTTACTAGCACTGGCTTGGACCCCCTTTTGCCCTTAGAACTGCCCTAATCCTTCATCATATACTGTAGATTTAAGAAGATACTGAAAATATTGCTCAGAGATATTGGTCCATATTGACATGATAGCATCAGCTGCAGATTTGTAAGCTGCATGTCCATGATGTTCTTAGCTGACAGGAGTGGCCCCCTGTGTGGTCTTCTGCTACTGTAACCAATCCACCTCAAGGTTAGACATATTGTGCATTCAGAGAAGCTCTTCTGCATACCTCGGTTGTAACGAGTGGTTATTTGAGTTACTGTTGCTTTTCTATCAGCTCGAACCTGTCTGGCCATTCTCCTCTGATCTCTGGCACCATATAAGCATTTGCACCTACAAAACTGCCGCTCACTGGATATTTTTTTCTTTTTAGACCATTCTCTGTAAACCCTAAAGATGTTGCCATGTGATTGGCTGATTAGAAATCTATGTTAATAAGCAGTTGGAAAGGTGTACCTAATAAAGTGGCTGGTGAGTGTATATTTGAATAATATTATTGCATTTATTTATAAATATTTAAGTTATGTATATGCAGTTGAGGAGTGCAGTTTGAACACATATTGGCTACTTTTGCAACCTTCCAACTCATGATGTCATACATTGCCCTGTTAGCATGTCTGTGCTAATCCCTCCTGATTGGATGCTTGGAGTTGTAATAGCGACACTAACGGGACGTCAATGATTGATGTCTTTCTCTGTCTGAGATAATTGATTCTGTTCGCTCTCAGGCTCAGTCTGGGAACACAAATCTCTTGAGCTGATGTGTCCGGGTTTGTTAGACGTGAGGTTCACTGTCTGTGTTTTTGTGTGTGTGTGTGTGTGTGTGTGTGTGTGTGTGTGTGTGTGTGTGTGTGTGTGTGTGTGTGTGTGTGTGTGTGTGTGTGTGTGTGTGTTCACAGCCTGTTTCAGTCACAGCCTCTAGCATTAAACAGCACAAGGCTAAGAGAAAAGCTGCACAGGTGAGTCAAGTTAAATATAAACTTAATAACAATAACAATTGTTAATTGTTTGTAACAATAACAAAATAACAATTATTGTAAGTATTATTATTATTATTATTATTATTATTATTTTCTATTATATTACTTAATAAACATATTTTTTTGTTAATTACAATTAATTTTATTTTATTAGATGTGGATTTGATTTCTAACTTATTTTTTTGTTAGTTTACTTGCATGTTGGTCAACCTTTTAATTTTATACTAGTAAAAGTGTGTTTGTGTTTGTGTGTGTGTTTGTGTGTTTGTGTGTGTGTGTGTGTGTGTGTGTGTGTGTGTGTGTGTGTGTGTGTGTGTGTGTGCGTGTGTGTGTGTGTGTGTGTGTGTGTGTGTGTGATATATATACACACCCCCTCTCACACACACACAACAGTTCTTTCTGGTTCTTGAATCTTATTGGCTTATAGCTTTGCGTCCAGCCTCTTAACCCTTCACCCATGTTTATTACTCCGCCCACATACAGCAATAGGCAGAGGACACTACAATTTGACAAATATTGCTGCTGTTGGACAACAAAATGTACATTTGAGGCTTTTTAGTGGGGAATGTAGTTGTTTAGATTGCAACTATGCAGTTTATTTATAAAGATAGTGCCTGTTTTAAAATATTTATAATTTCTGAGAGACAGCGCAGTCTTTGAGCAAAGATGGTTGACAAACTTCATCCACAAGATGGAGACAGACCACATAATAAGCCCCTAGAGAAAACAGCTTAATTTCAAACTACAGCTGATCAAATCGTTATTAAACTGGTAAATGACTTTCTAAGTCGATTTTTCTCTTTTGTATGTTGTAGCACTGTATTTATACCATAGGAATATTGTGATCTTCATATTGCAACTGAGAAATACTGTGAGATATCTCTGTAGACTGAGGTGGCATTTCATGCCGTTCAGCCTTATAATCTTAAAAGGCCAGCAAAATCACCTGTTTTGTCATCACTTTAGATATTACACTAGAAAATCATTCAAACACTAGCTCTTAAGTGATGTTGGTGAAGTAGCAACAGTTTCCACTGTTCTGACTTCAGCTGCAGATGTGAAGGAATGCCATATCGAGTAGTTCCTTTTACAAAAGGATTTGGAGGCTCTCCGTGTCTGATTTTCTTTTTTATACACACGTTTTTATTGTGCCGTTGAACTGTTGTATAAACAGTTCAGCAATATCACATGAGTAGCAGTGCGATGTGGCTGTATATCGATAATTAATTTATTTTTTATTTTTAATTATGCATACGTTGAGACACAATATCTGTCTGCAAAATGATTCTCCCTGGACCTGAATTGTCTGTAATGATCAATTATTAAATCCCTGCTGCCTTTAATGATCGGACTTTGGTCTCTTTACAAGGAAAGTCAATACTGCATTTATTTATTAGCATGTCTGTGTCCACTAATGCAAGCATCTAAAGCTGGATTTCACTCGGGGTAAAGCACAATCCACCGCAAATCTGTCAATTGCCAGAATCTGAAGAAAAAAAAATGCAAAGAAAAGAGGACAAACGTGCAGTCGAGGAGCAGTCGATGTTTCTGAGAAATGGTGTCTCTTCCCAGGAGACCTGTGGAAGAATCCTGGTCTGAAGTCTTCTAGACACCTCTGGAGTCACCGTATTTTGATTAAAAATGGTTTTATCTAGCAATTAATTTGAAATTACGGTAATTTGCCTAATTGCTCCTTCATCCATTCGTTGCATTCGGCTCCTGAGGCTACGTGATTATTCACCGCAATCAGAATATGCGGCCCTCTAATTACACCCTGCAAATTTAATTAACATTTCAGCTCGTATCTGAAGAAAAAAAAAGAGCATGCTTTCATGCTTTCAACTTCCGATGCTGTGTTCAGAAAGAAGTGGAAATTTGCATCCTAAAAATGGGAAGCACAACGGATTATGTTTCATAGTATTTTATAAATGCCACATAATGTGTTCTAAATTGTTTATTTGCTAATATAGCAAAATTAGCCAAAAATGCTAATCGCTGTATTCACAATTTAAGTCTTTTTTTTTCCTTCTGTTTTGTACATCCACTATTCATTATCTATTAATCAGCAGTAAGTGCGGCTCTCAGGAGCATGGAAACTATATGGTATTCTTCTTAAAGCATTAGCTGATTAATGGTAACAGATCTGTTAGAGGAGGCTAACGCAAGCTATAATAGTTATGGCTCTGTTGAGAGATGGTTAACAGTGGTTAGACATTGTTGTCAAATGTTTTAAGTGTTAATCTTCAGCTGTTAACTTATTCTAAAGCAGGGGTGTCCAAACTCTGTCCTGGAGGGCCGGTGTCCTGCAAAGTTTAGCTCCAACCCCAATCAGACACACCAGGGCTAGCTAATAAAACTCTTACTAGGCTTTCTAGAAACATCATTGCAAGTGTGTTGAGGCAAGTTGGAGCTAAAATCTACAGGGCACAGGCCCTCTAGGACCGAGTTTGGAAATCTCTGTTCTAGAGGAAATTGCCTAGAGGTTTGGTAAAACTGCTCAGAAATAACTAATCACACATTGAAATCACATAGCAAATGTCCTAAAAACAACTCTGTACATCCTAGAAGTTGCTATTTAGTGCATTTTATTGAAAAACTAGTTGCATCGTGTTGCTTTGCAAAAAAAATGCATGGAACATTTTAGAAAACGCTATACATGCACACAAACAATCATTGAGTAGATTTAGCATATTACACAGCTGTCTGGAATACTTGATTCTGATTGGTCTGTCACGACATGCCAAGGTATGTTATTCCCAGATAACAACTGAAACTAATAGCAGAGGCTCGTTTATGTTCGCCTCTGTCAGTTTTGTGTTTAAATAATTAGCAAACTATTGCAACTCAATTCTGTCAACTTTTGTTTGTCTAATTTTTACATCTTGTAGCAAGTAGCCGTGTAATAAGAGGGAAAATTTACTGCCAAGCAGTTGTTATCAAATAATAAATCCCCTTCAGTGTTATCAGCATTGTTTTATAAGTACGTTCTGTAAGTAAGTCAAGTAAAGTGTGTTTATATAGTGCATTTATTGTGTATGGCCATACACCCAAAGCGCTTTACAATCATGAAGGCGGGTTCTCCACACTACCTCCAAGTTGCAGGATCCCCTTAGATGATGCATTGGCAGCCCTAGGACAACAGCGCCAGTGTGCTCACCACACACCAGCTATTGGTGGAGTGGGGAGAAAGTGATGCAGCCAATTCAGTGGATGTGGATGAATGGGAGGCCATCATGGGTAAAGGCCAATTGATGAAAATTTGGCCAGGATAATCCTGTCAGGCTTTATTCTGCGATAACAGCTGCCTGGATGTACTTTATAACTTACTGAAACACTTACTTGCATGTAAATTTGTTACATTTACACTTACTAGAATGGATCTACTAGTCTCCCATTGACCCGTGAACCGAGTCAGGGTGCAATTAAAGCACATGAGGTCTAATGAAAGCACAAGTGGCAAATGGTCTATTACATCTTGATAACAACTTGAACAGTCAGTGGCAATCCAGAAACTAATCTGCATGTCCAATTCCTGAGGCGTTTCTTTAACAATAACATTTTGGATGGCACTTCTCGTAATAAACCATCCTCTAATTTCCACCCTCTACCATTGGTGGCTTTCTTCTCAATCTTATCATTCACGTTTCTCGCTCTCTCTTTCTATTGAGCTCTCTTATCCTTTCTTATTGTTGGTATTCTAAGCCTTTTCAGGAACATTTCAACCCAAAATCCAATAGAAGAGCTTTAGAGAAATGGCATAATAGGCTTCATGCAACTTGTGCTCTGTTTTCAGCCTCCGAGTCATCATCTGAGCGGTGAATCAGTCTGATTGGTCAACAAAGCATTTGGCTTTTTTTCAAATTGGATGTATCATTTAATTGAAAACATCCGATTCAAAAGAGTTATTCTTTTGTTTGGGGAATACATTATTTTCATTTTAGATGAGCTTTTCTATCTCTGTAGCTATAGTGTTTTCCAGCAGTGTTCACGCGCATTCATCTCTCTCAGTTTATTTGTTTGCATGCAGGGGCGGACTGGCCATCTGGCAATTCTGGCAAATGCCAGAAGGGCCGGACCATTTTTTAAATGTGGGCCGGTCAGCTATTTTTTCATTTTTAAATTTTTTTTATTTGTATTGTTTTTACATGCAGGCAGCTATTATCTCTTGCAAGATGTGAGTATTATGATGATGATGATGATGATGATGATAGTAATAATAATAATAAATGTTAAGCATTGGCCCAATCAGCAATGACCGACTGCTTTCGAGTTGGGCTGACCCAAAATCTGGCTAGAATGTCAAAAAAACAGTAAGTGCAACACAAGGTAATTGTCAGAAATGGACCATAAAAAAGGAAAGGAGGTGCCGAAAAGCTCAGAGAAAGCAAAAAAAAAAAAAGTTAAACTCTGCCGAAATGCATAAAATGAACAGACGAGTCTTTGCTGAGGCCATCTTCCAGCCTAAACCACGACGAATGAAGTTCTGCACTAGACTTTTGGCCAGCGGAGAAATTAAAATGGTCGTGCCCAACTGAGGCCCCGTTTACACTAGTGCGTATTAGTTTTAAAACGGCGTTTTAGAATGAAAACGATCCGCGTCCACACTCGCGTTTTACCCAGCGTTTCTGAACTGCTCTCCGTCCACACCAAAACGCTGAAAACGCACATCACGTGACCAAACAGACACTCTCGGGCAAGCGCTGCAGCCCATGTACCCAGATGAGAGCTCTGCTAGTCGGACTTCTCATCAAGCATCTCCCGCTGGATCTAATCTCACTATATTTATTAAACGGGATATTTCATTCATCTTGTTGTCTTATCTAACGACATATTCCCTGACTTTGGGCATTGGAATCTATGACTTGTTCTCAGGTAACGTGTTTTGGCTGAGCGCAAAGATAAGTTAATGATTAATGTAAGCACGTAGCCTACATTCTGTATATTGACTGATCGCTTGCCTTTATTTCCTATAATGTATAAACTTATTGTATGTTATACTTTTATAATGGCCATTATCGATTATTAAAACTGATATTCAGCAAAAGAGAGGGTGTGTTTCGTATTTTCACTGAAATTGAAAGGAGGCAGTTGTTATCGGCTCCGTTTTGTTATAAATATGCACACAGTGAAGATGACGCTCATGCAGCACGACGCCTCAACATTTCTGCTGTCTGTTTAGTTGTTAATATTAAAATAAAAATAGGCAGTTCCTTATATCAAGTTTACATTTTATTGTTGAGAAAGTGAAACAACGTAGCCAAGGTGATGTGAATGAAGTTATAAAGTACACTGTTCCCTGTGAAGATTGACGCGTGTCCTCGGTATGTTTTCCATATCAAACTGAGAAGAAGAGATGCAGCCTTGATCAAACTTGCGAAGTCTGAACTTACACGGAGAAGATTCAGGACTGAACTGTGTGTTAGGCTACTTAATATTGAGGAAAAGCCCCAATCAGAGAGGCGAATGTCTGCAGCCCCGCCTCCGTTTTCAGATGTCTCCGTCTTTCCCCATCCACACTGAGACGGAGCTGCAGCGTTTTAGAATGAAAACGGCCTCTCCAGCGTTTTCGAAACGCTCCGTTTTCGGCGCTCGAGAACTCCGGCGTAGTGTGGACGGATGGCGTAACCGTAGCAAAACTTATGCGTTTTCAAACTAAAACGCATTAGTGTAAACGGGGCCTGAGTCTGGTTCTCTCAAGGTTTTTTTTCTTCACTCCCATCAGGTGAAGTTTTTTTTCCCTCTCCGCTGTCGCCACTGCCTCGCATGGTTCAGGATTGGTAGAGCTACGCATCGATGAATTGGCTCTTCAGTGTTTGAACTCTCAGTAATGATTAAATCACACTGAACTGAGCTAAACTGAACTGAACTTAAACACTAAAAACTGAACCACACTGTTCCAGTTACTGAACCACACTGTTCCAGTTACTATGACCATTTATGTGAAGCTGCTTTGACACAATCTACATTGTAAAAGCGCTATACAAATAAAGCTGAATTGAATTGAATTGAATTGAATTGAATTGAATTGAATTGAATTGAATTGAACAGAAATAGTCTCGAAAGAGGGCAGCGGAGGGGTGCAAGAAGGTTGCTTTTTCGAGCCTCGGCTGGGTTAGTTGGTGTTTCCAACACATGTTCGCGTGGGTTTCTTCCTGGTTTCCCTCACAAGTCCAAACACGTGCTGTAGGTGAATTGAGTAGGCTTAATTGTCCGTAGTGCATGCATGTGAATGTGTGTGTACAGGGGTTTCACAGTGGGTTGCACTTTGGAGGGCATCTGCTGCGTAAAACATATGCTGGACAAGTTGGCGGTTCATTCCGCTGTTGTGATTCCAGATTATTAAAGGGACTTAGCCGAAAAGAAAATGAATGAATGATCGCATATATAACTTTGTTTTTGTTCCAGTCACATACATTTAATGTTTAAATATCTATTACATATATGGTACTGCTTATATTATTTCACCATCTGTACACCAAAATAAGTAGTGAATGTGCGTGTCCGTGCATGGGGCTGTGTTGGTGTAGTAATGTGGGCTGGTGTGGCTACAGTGCCAGGGCTGATTTTTAGTCCCAGTCCGCCCCTGTTTGCATGTGTCCTGTGGCATTGTTCTCACTCTCGGTTTCTTTGGTTTTGTGCAAAGCAGAAAGCAGGACAGGGTGCTGCTCCTCCACCCATGCGTCTCCCCCCACCCTACAGACCCCCTAGTCAAGTTCAGGAGGAGGAGCATGAGCAGGAGGAGGAGGATGAGCAGGATACAGGTGAGAGACTGCTGGTCATTACACACTTGCTGTGTTTGGAGTCAAACTGACATTCTGTTGAGCATATTATGATTTTTTATATGCCTGAATAATTTACATGTGTTTGAGTGTATATGTTTGTTTGTGTTTACACATTTGTTGTGTTGTGTTGGTATTGGTGGTTTACAAGGACTCTCCATAGCCGTTAAATATTTTTATACTGTAAAAATCGTTTTATTCAACCGCTATCTCTAAAACCCAACCACCTCAAAGGAAACCTGTGGCAAATTTTGAATGTGAAAAGAGCCTCTTAAGTATAATTTTTAAGCATTTAGATTTACAAAACACAAGGTTTGTCCTCATAAACCACCTCAATTTTGTAATACCTAGAGCATACCCATGTGATTATACAAATTTCTGTTTTAAACAGTACACACACACACACTCTACCATTGTTCTAAAGTTTTTAGAATTTTTGAAAAATTTTATTTAATTTTTTTGTTTAAAGAGTACTTTTCTGCTCACTAAACGGTAAAAAAAGTAAACTGTCAGGCCAGTAGCCTATCTCCATTGATTCTCCCCAAAGCCAAAGAATTATGATTTAAGATATTAAATATCCTTCTAATACACATCACTACATCTTTAACACCTACATTTAAAAGTTCTTTTTAAAATTTTACCACATCATATAAAAACAGAAACATTTGTTTAAGGTCATAGAACACATTTTTTTACGTGCAGTTTTTCCCAATCCATGTAAAGCAGTGCAGGATTGGATGACCGAAAAGAAGGTCAGTTCAGCGGGAATCAGGCAGATAAAGCACGTCATCGCATCATCATGAAATGATTAAAATGAATGACTGAATTCTGTTGGAATATTTTTTTTTTAATTTATTTTTTCCCTGTTATTTCTAAGCAGAGTTTTTCACATTACTCCATTCACATGGTCATTCTGAATGCTTTCTAATATCTGATTTGCTGTTCAAGAAATTGTGTTAATAATAATGATTATTAATATTCGTAGTAGTAGTGGCAGGAGTATTTTTTTTACTGTTAAGTTTTTTTTTTTTTTTTTTTTTAATAGATTCAGTTCAATATCATGGAGTCGGTGTATATATGCACTCTAAAAATATTGTTTGGACCAAATTAATGCAACAGTTTTCATCAATATATTCAAGTTACGACAAAATCTATTGACAACATCTAACAAAATGAAGTTCGGACAACAAACTTTGTTAGCCAAATGACCGTTTCCTCTTCAATCAGAGGTATTTTACATAGCATAAACCATTTAAGTTAAGTACTGTTTCAACTAGTTTTTTTATAAAAATGTAAAATAAATCCAGTGTTATGTACTTAATTACCATAACTATTATACATTTATATAAACAAACTTGTTTATACAAGTTTTCAAGTTTAGAACCCCAAATAAATTAGGTAGCTGAAATTGTTACATTTTTTTGTATGTTTTCAAATTTACTGTTCATTTAGTCGCTTGTAAAAAAAAAAATATTTTTTTTTAAATTCCAGTATTGGAATTCATTGTTTTTCAGTATTTTAAAAAGCAGAAATGTGTGCTTCCCCATATAAACGATATGAAGAAAAACTTGAAAGAAATTATAGAAATTAATTTAGCAATAGCAGTTTTTCTTTTTCATAAAGGGTGTTGAATTTAGTACTCAAAGTGCCCTGAAACCAGTCTACTCAGCTGTTTTCAACATAATAATAAAAATAATAATAATACGTTTTCGAGCAGCAAAAGGATTATATGTCTGGAGTAATGATGCTAAAAACTTTGTTTTGAAATCACAGGAATAGAAAAATAGAAAATATTACAAAATTGTCGTTTTCACTAGGGGTGTCAAAATTAATTGTATTTTGTTTTGATGCACTGTAATGCAGACCCGAACAATTCTGTTTCGGTTTAGTAATAATCATAACCGGTTATCATGTACAGATGTCATTTATCACATATGCGTTATATGGCTGTAGCTTACTATGGCGAGGGAGGAGACCACGAGAGCCACGCTAACCGCTCGAGACAATCGCAGTCTTTTCTGTTGAGTGCGTGATTAATCAGAGGCATGTTAAGAACATGCTCAAAAAGCAAGCCGGATAATATTTACATTAGTTTATTTGCTATAAATGTTTGTGTTGTTCTGTGCATGTACTTAAGTTTTGTTTGATACATTTAATATGCATGTTTTCTGCACCACTGTGACGTCCTTACAATTAATATATAAATATGTTTATGAATTGTGCATCTTTAATACAAGAATTATGTTGCTAAGCAAACTATCAAATTGTTTATGGAATCTAACCGAACCGATGGCATGATAATCTTAACCGAACCAAACCGTAAGACCAGTGTAGATTAACAGCCCTACTTTTCACTGTATTTGTGACTGTTAAGAGACTTCTTTAAAATCATATAAAATCTTACTATTTTATTACTACTATATATGTAATTATGCTCACACATACATGTCTTTTATTTGTTAGACTATCCATCAGAAGCTCCATTATCACTATCAAACAAAACAAATCATATGCAATTATAATATATAATGTGCAGCACATGAAGCGCTGTACTAGATACTGCATCCCAGTGTACTGAAGATGACATGGATGAATGTGTTTCATTGTAATAACTAGGACGTACCTGCTGAATTAAACATGTTGCATGCTAAGTTCATGCACCTATCATATTCTGTTTGAACCATTTATCATTGCACATAATGCATAGTCTATGCTTTACGCCATACACCATTATTCTATTTCAGACCTAGCCAGTGCTTGAAACGCATTACTGAAAACCACACTATGAGGCATCCCAGCACCAGATCTCATTGACTCAGACTTTCTCAGCGTCACACCGCAACTCTAATCTCTTTCCACTTTCATGATCCTCAATATGCCATGCGAGCAGTGCGGCGTCTCCAGATCTCTTTTTCATTCCTGTCCTCCTATGGTCTTTTGACTGTCTCTCTTTCTGGATGCCATCCAATGAGCATGTCCTGTGAAAACCTTGTAGTGTGAAATTAAGTGAGATTTGCCGTATTTTGGGGGATGGTCGGTGGGATGTAGGACCAGTTACGTAAGGTGTCAAAGCCAGTTCCCGGAGCCCGCAGCCCAGCACAGTTTAGTTCCGACACTGCTTCAAGACACTTACCTGTAGGTTTCAAACAGACCTGAAAGACTCCATCAGTTTGATCAGGTGGATTTAATTAGGGTTGAAATTAAATTGTGCAGAGCTCCGGCCCTCCAGGAACTGGCATTGACACATGTGAGTTGAGCGGTGTGTCCAATTGAACATGTGGCAATGTAGCGGTGGATCCTGATTGGAAACTGAACATAGGGAGCTTTTAACATTTTCAGTAGTTGTCCTTGAATTTCAGGTTGCCAACCTTAATCTATAGCACACACTCTCATGCTTGGTTCACATCAAATTCAGAACTAAGTATTTGCGTGAGTAAACTTCATACCAAATAATTCGTATACGCGAATAAGGTCGTATTATTGGTGCATGTCAAGAATGTGGGGAATAAGGATCAATCACATCTACTGTGCAAGTTCAGATATTTGAACTCAAGTGAAAAATTTGCAAGACGGGGTAAAATATCCCACTTTTAAGGCTCTAAATGTACTTGGAACTTGTTTTTTTATTGTTATACATCACCAGCTAGATTACTAGTAAAGCTACATACAGTATCAAATTCAACAAAATGCCACTTCTTGATGCTTCAGCTGTTTCCACCAATCTCCACCATTTACATGGACACTAATAAATTGATTATAATACAATTAAGACATACTCTGATTAAAAGTCTACCATGTAAACAGCGATTTTTATTTAATTTTTTTTATTATTAATTTAATCTGATTAAGGTCATTATCGAACTAAACTGAAATCGAATTATACATGTGGAGTATGCTGATTTTAATCACATTATTGAAGTACAGTACAGACATGTATACACCGCAATCAAACCATTACCGCCGTGTAGGATTTTTGCCACAGGAAAGTCTATACACACTATTCTCTGCACATACCAAGTCAGTAAAGGACCACCGACCCTTGCATTGTGAAATGCGAAGGTTTTTTTTCCTATATAGCGTGTGGTATCAAATTCCTTTAAAACTACACTTCCATCCAAATATCTCGTTTGTCATGAGGGCATGCATGTAATGTTCCTGAATAAAAGTGAAAGTGCCGAACTGCAGTTAAAGTCGACACATCCAAAAATGAAACACCTAAAATGACATGAAACTCCGGAGGAAATGTGAATAGCATTGTGACACAATGACGTTAATTAAATATGTGCCATAACATGTAAAACGGGATCTTGAAAGAAACATTCATAAAGCAACTCATGGAAAGATCTTAATCATATTATTGTCTTTTTCAGATTAAGGCAAATAATTTGATTACTGATGTCAATTTAAACGTAGTCACTGATACCACAACATGGTGGATTTCAAGTTGCAGATATACGCAGTGACTTTTTAGCGTTTGCCTTTTCTTAAGCTTCTATCAGCATTTAGCTTCTCCATAGTGAAACAGCATATTGTTGTCTATTCAGTTTTTCTTAAAGGGGTCGTTCAGAGTGTATTTTTAAGGCTTAGTTGTGTTTATAAGATACAGTCAGAATTATTAGCCCCCCTGAATTATTACCCCCCCCCCCCCCTGTTTTTTTTTTCCAATTTCTGTTTTACAAAGAGAAGGTTTTTTTTAACACATTTGTAAACATAATAGTTCTAATAACTAATTTCTAATAAACAAAATATTTTATCTTTGCCATCATGACAGTACATAATATTTTACTAGATATTTTTCAAGACACTTCTATACAGCTTAAAGTGACATTTAAAGGCTTAACTAGGTTAACCATGCAGGTGGCTTTAATGAATGTTTATTACATGCTGTAATCCATTTTTTCAGCCAGTTTCTTGAACTTCCCTCATTTTCAGCAAAAACTTTTGGAAGTCTATAAAAGCTGTTTGGCATTTCCTATTTCTGTCGATATAAACAATAATAAATAACATTAAACAGAAACATTTAGATTTTTTGATAGCAATTCCTATGTAGAAGAACCACTTCCTGCCCTCCACCTGAATTTTTTATGTCATCAATGATGTCATGTGAAAACAACCTATACTGTACATGATAAACACCTCTTATGGTTTTAATCACGTTTGATAATCCATATAACGGTTTCCATCTGTGTCCTGAACAGTTCTACCTGTAAAGCCTGTCTTCTGGTGTGTAGATTTTGAGGTGCACATATTTGTCCATGCTACCTTCCAGTCTGTCAGTGATAAATTACTTTAGGTTACCTCATCAGCTGCTAAAGCACTTGCTCCTGTCGATCCAATCAAAGAATTCTTTAAATGGATTGATGGAAGTCAATACATCAGTTTTGCTGAAGGCCTCGACATGCCAAACCGCTTAAGTTGGAGGGCTTTTTCTTTTTTACACTCCAGTGCGTTCAGGACAACCTAGTCAGCAGTTTATGTAATCCCTCAACATAAGAAAACGTCTGCTCGCGGATTAAGATAAGAGTAATATTGTGTCGGATTTATTGAATGTTGAATAAACACAATCTGAAAACTTTGCCTAAAACTTGTCGCAATAGGATTACAGGGCGTTTGCCTTGCTATGTAGGACATGAGATAAGTCCACCCCTTATGTCAGGATTTGCTGATGTGCTTTCATTTTTGTATTTTAAATCATATTCCGTTGCCAAACGTTTATTGCGCAACTCATATTTGCTCACCTAAAAGTCTCTGTGTGCAGTAACGTTTTTTAGCATATAGTATGCTAAACATGCTGCTGCTTCTGCATTAGATTTATACACATATAAGAATGAGTGAATGCCGCCATCTGTTTGCATCTGCGGTGAAGGCTGGGGAGAAGGCCGGCTATTGTCTGAGGTTGAAACAGGGACCTTGAAGGAGTTATTTATCTCAGTTCAGAACATCAGTCAGGCTGATGAATTATAAGAGGCTTGCAAGATGGTCAATCGGAAAAAAACGCCACGATGAAGCCAAAAGGCCCATTTTTTTGCTCAGATCTGTCTTTGGCAGCATCACTTTTAACATTTTCCCTGAAAGAATGGTTTTGTTTTGTGGTCTGGGATCCTCTGTTCTTCGTCCATCATTTGGTCTTTGATGTATCACGCTGTGTGAGGCAAATAGAAATGCTCAATCTTCCTTTTAGTATCACATTCCATGGACAATCTAATATAGTGTATTCTTTGAGACATTTAGTATATATAGCCATGTGAGCAAGTTCTTCAGTTTTTCATCTTTATTTCTATAGTGCTTTTACAATGTAGATTGTGCCAGATCGGCTTAACAAAGAGGAAGAAAAAAGAATAATAAGGCCATAACAGTTTTTCTGACTGTGGGACATTTCAGCATATCAGGCAGGCAGAAGATTGGTGTAAAATGCTGGTGTAATTCTAGGAAAATTCAGTTCTGTTAAATTCATTTCGGTTTAGTTAAAAAATTAAATTACATTTTTTACAATTGTTTATTACAATGTCACTAAGGTTTATATTCATGTGGAAGAACACCCACCGAAGAACAGCTCCACAAGCCCCAACCTAGCAAGTGACGGTGGAAGAAACCTTGGAAGGAACCAGAATCAGCCAGTGCAACCAGTTCTTCTCTGGCCAAATGTAAAAGACAGAGCTGTTGCCTGTGTGTCGCAGGGCTTGAGAATAAGGAGCATTCTTCATGGAGAAGATGCAGATCCAAAGAGGTCACCAGGCAGGGGTTCACATT